TTAATACTATTACTATTCTGGTTCTTGTTCTTCTCCTTCTTCTGAAAGAATCCGATGCCCAGAAGGGGCTCCAAGTTCTGGACTTGACAGATCGAGGGGCTTAGAAATTAGGCTTCTAATCAGGCGAACTCCGGCTATAGCGACTTACGTATAGCCCGACTTACATATAGCCCTATAGTTCAAAAACTAATAACTTATATCCATGCTTCTTCGGGGTACTTAGAAATAGTTTTTAATTTTTGGTTATTATACGCCCTAAGAAACAACTAAAATTATAATTTTTGCTAGGGTTCTAAGTTCAGTATAGGCCTGTGGCGGCTCGTGAACCGCCAAGCACCCTTCAGCAAAGTCCCAAGCTCAGACCCGATCCCCTTAGTTCCGGAACTCTGCGACTAAACCAAAATCCACAACCCAAAACCCCAAACCCTAAACCTCGAACCCAAAAAAGGCTAAACCTGAGAACGAGCAAGAATCTGAAGTTTGGGGGCACCCAACGGCTCAAACCCTACATCCTGAACCCTAAATGGGCAGGAAAATGTCCAAGAAGAAGATTACCAAGCGCACCAAGGTGAAGACTTGGCCTCAGCTGTCGGGAGGTTTTGTGCTGGCGGTTTGTGGTTTGGGGTTGAGAGTTTAATATTCAGGGTTGAGAGTTTAGGGCTTAGGGTTGGGATTTGGGGTTAAAGTGGCGTCTGGGCTGAGAGCGCTGGCTTGCTATTAGGGATCTAGAATAGGGTACTATAATCTAGAGGCCAATTTCAATAGGGTTCCTTGAAAGGTTGCCTTTAAAGGACTGATTTTAAAGCCCTGGAAGTCGTCATCAGTTTACTAAAGGGGCCTTAATGGTTACCAATACTATTTTGGGGGTTCCTTCTTTTTTGCATAGTACAATAATGGGCCCCAGCGCCGTGTTCTAATCATTAAGGCCCCTATATTAGGTATGTGTCTTCTACTCCTTGTTCCTCTTCTTGTAGCTACAGCCCAGCTGTTCCCAGCTTTTGATTCGGACGCATGAGGCCTTTCACCAAGTATGTGAACTACAACCACATCATGCCGACCCGATACAACGCCTGCGCCTTACCATGCTGGTCCACTGTTGCACCTGTGTCCACATCGCACTTCTCACGCAGGTGCCTGCCGAGATTTCCCCGTCCACCATCTGCACGGATGCGCAGATGGACACTGCGGATGGCCGCAAGGAAGCCAGGAAGTTCGCAAAGAGTCGCCAAGCAGCACTGGTAAATAGTTCTCATAGATTGAGAGATCCCGCCACAAAGTTGAGGATATATGTTCAGGGGTTTGCGTGCAACGTGGATCAGGCCTGTTCCAGGAGAAGTTCCAGGCACCACCGCAAGACAAGTCGGGACGCCCCTCCAAGGCTCGAGCCAAACATGCGCCAACGCCTCTGTGTTCACTTTGTCAATTGGAATAGGGATTTGGGGTCATTTTTTCAGTATATGTACTTATGTAGGGACTACAACCTTTTGCCCTAAACCTTTACCGCCAGGCCGCCAAACCCTAAACACCTGGGGTGGAAGACCAACAGACGGGCGCAACTTTTTGCTTTGCAGGACGTCCTTTACTTGCGCAAGAAGCTGCGCTTCTGAGATGCTCAAACACTGCTGTGGCCGTGTGCGAAGAAAGGGATTCTGCACGTATTCTCGGTGTTGCGGGTTTACGGTTTGGCTGTTGCATTCCAGATTTAGGGCTTCAGGGTTTCAGGGTTTAGCTCTGCTTCTCGGAAGGTCGAAGCTTTGTAAATCTCTGTCTCTCTTCTTCTGCACCCATGCATCGACCTCACCAAGGTCTGCGAGAAAGATCATTTGCAAAGAGGCCTGGGAAGGGCAGAAGGCTCTGTGAAGAAATCGAATCTGGACTCTCGGTTCCGAAATCCGACATAGAATCTTCCGTTGCGGCATGACCTTCTGAACGGTCGCAGGCACTGGAGAATGCTGTGGCGATTGTCTATGCCCGGGCCCTGTCGCTGGTCGCGACTGTAGCTCACAGCATGTCCTCTTTGAAGCTCTTCCCTCTTGCGAGGCATTGGGCGGCAGCACGAATGCAGTCCTTCACATCCTAGCCATTGCACACGAGGCCCTGCTCTTGGCAAATGCTCCGCAAGTCAGGGCTCTGAGCCTTGCAGGTTGCTGGAAGTGTCTCCTCCAGTCAAGGGGGCTGTCTGCACTGCGAAGACCTGTGCTGCATTCCTGCTACGATGTTGCTCAAAGGTAGGTGGTCTTCCCTGCTTTTCAGGAGTAGCTGAAAGCATAGTGCATCGAGACGATGCCTCGTCAATCCGCGAACTACAACGCGCAGTATGGTGACCGCCGCCACCATGGCGAGCATAGCTATGGACGGTGGGACCATAGCAGATATTGGCAATGGAGGCATGCTCAGTCTTAAAGATCTTCGCGAAGATCGCTCAAATGTCGTTGTTGCTAATCCTGTTTCTTCAATCATGCTACTCTACTGTGGATTGTATTGTGCACTTCTGGGGGCCTTCAGAACCCGTAGGCTTTTGAGTGTCAGGCCTCAGGGAGTGATCCCAATCTGCGGTGCCAGGAGTGAACACTGGGCAAGGTCATCGGCAAGGATGAACATCAACCGAGCCGACAACAGTTACCCAGGCGCAGGCAAGAACTGGTACAACCGCGCAGTGCACGCACGGCCAAGCGGCCATGGGAGAAGAGATGCACTACGTCACTACGTCACATTGGCATGATGAACACGACGACACCGACCTCTGAGCTGGTGATGTACGACTCGTACGACGCTTTCGGATGGGCGAGAAGGCCTGGTTTTATGAACGTGCCAGAGGTCGCTCCCCTGTCTCTTGCGCCCTCGAGCAGTGATGTTAGAAGCATCATGGCCAATATGGTCCTGCTACGGAGCATGGGGCCTGAGCAAGCGGCCAGAATCTTAAAGCATACAGCGGCCATGCAGGGGCCGTGCGAAGACTGAAGAGCGGCGAGCTCCGTGTACAAACGTCGGAACCTTGTGTGGTATCATGGATTTGCGCAGTAATTCAGCGAGACAAGGTTACAAAGGACGGTATCAGCGAACCTTTGGCCCGAGCGGGCCTTGCACGTTGCTGGTGAAAGGAGCTGTGTAAGTCTTCAAAAAGCCGGCTCCTCCAGTCATCTCCAGTCAAACGCTGTCTGCACTGCGAAGACCTGTGCTGCATTCCTGTGTGCTACTATGTCGCTCAAAGGTAGGTGGTCGTCCCTGCTTTTCAGCAGCAGCTGAAAACACACATAGTGCATCGATACGATGCTTATAGTCGATCGGCAAACCTGAAACTTGCAGCACGGTGACCGCCGCCACTACCGCCGCAGCGAGCATAGCTATGGACGGTGGGACCGTAGCAGTTATTGGCAATGGAGACTTGTTGATTCTTAAAGATCTCCGGGAACATCACACAGAAGCCGTTGTTGTTAGTCTTGCTTCTTCAGTAACGCTACTCTGCATTATGGTGCTTCAGAGCTTGTAAGTTTTTGAGTGTCAGGCCCCAAGGACTGTCCCATGGTCTCGTTCTCTCTCTCTTTCGCTCTCTACTTGGTAATCCCACTTGACATCGATGTGCAGAAGCCAGTCATGGTCTTAACGCTCAGAGGCTCATCTGTATCCTGCGCCACCCTTCGCACAAAGGTTTTTGTCCTTGTTGCACCGTGGGTTTTATGACCCCCCCAGGTTTAGCAGCAATGTCCGTTTCGTTCGGGCGCAGCATTTGATTTGACGGTTTCAAGGCTACGACTTCCGCACACCTTACAACCCGCCGTGGGCTCTGTGAACGGGATCCAAAGCTAGATCTCTTGCATGCTTGATATGGACGGCGCGAGGAGGGGTGGAACCGTGCTGGCTTGTTCTGGCTCGACACAGCTCGTTGTTTGCCATCTTTTCCTTGCTCGTGCCCTGCAAAAAGAATGCAGCCAGGCATTTCCTTCCGCATCCTTTCCAACCCACTCCCATGCATTGCCCAGGAAGGCCCGGATCTTGACCGTTCTGTTTTAACGGCCGCGTGAGCCATGGCGCGGCCTGTGCAGGCTTGCAGCATCGTATCCTCGCCCAGGCGTGTTGTGGACTGGGTCTGCTTGTGGCTTCAGCCCCACCATCCAAACCGTCGAAGCTTGCAAAGAACTCAACTTCGCCACCGAGCCCAGTCAATCGAGAGCAGGAAAAAATCCGAACCCAACGCCAAGCTTTTGACCCGGCTTGCAACTACGTTGCGAAAACGCGAAGCGAAAATCCCACTTGAGGTCAGGCCATGGGAGGATTCGTTGCCAAACTGCCATAGAGCAGGGTGACGAACTCTGAAGGCCACTAGTCCTGTGTACGGAGTGAGCTCACGCAGGCAGAAACGCAGATTGCAGGGTAAGCTTGTGAGCCTTCATCAATAAGAAGTCCCGTCACTGAGATTCTGGGCTGTTGCCTCCTCCTGAGCCGAGCTGCGAGAGCATTTGACACAGAGGACCGCACTTGGGCTCCGAAGGTCGCGTCTACCTTGCAAAGACACCATTCCGCACTCTTATGGGGAACCCCCCGAGTGCCTCTGCCAGGATGGCTTTCAACGAGTCACTTCATTTGTCGATGGAGTGCTGCTGTTGACAAACTGTACGCCGGCTGTGTGCGACCTTGATGGGACGAACAAGCTCCCAGGGCTTGCTTGTGCTTGTGGAAGAGGCTATTTTGGCCAGGTCCGCTGGCGGCATGACGAAGCAGAGAGTACCTGCCTGCCCCTTGGATGCCGAGGACGATTCGCCACAGGAACTGAGGATGAGTGCCGCTGCAAGGATGGCTACGCTGGCACAGTTCGAAGATCCGGGAATGCCGACTACAGCATAGCTCATTGCAAGCCCGCACCGTGCGACGTTGAGGGATCCAATTTCCAACCAGGATGGAAGTGCTCTTGTGCAGATGGGTTTAGCGGGTCTGTGAGATGGAACAAGGACGAGCCCCGTGGCCAATGTAAACCAACGCTCTGCGCGATACAAAACTCCAACATGGAGCCTGGACCAAGATGTCGGTGCAAACCTGGGTTTGAGGGCAATATTACTCGGAATGGCATGTCTGTCTCCGGCCGCTGCGAGCCGGCACCTTGTGGCGTTCGAAATTCCAATTCCGGGCTAGGTCCAGCGTGTCGTTGTGCAAAGGGTTTTTTTGGTCTCATCATGTGGAGTGGCGCCGTGGCTTCCGGATCATGCGTGCCTGGACCTCTGTGTTCCAGCAGCATTGCATTCTTCACGCACCTCCAGGCAGATCTGGAAACCAGCGGTACAGGCACCGGTTCCTGCAAAGCAGGGCAGGCAGTACTGGCTCGAGGCCATGCAGATATTGAATTCGGGAGGGAGGGTATCTCTTGGACCCTGGCGGAGCCTATGCCACCGAATTCTTGCCACCTGGACAGGTCTGCCGTACAGATGCTGGCAGACAATTATTCGTTTCCGGCTGGGTGTTCCGCCACACCAGCCCAACCCCGATGCTCCTCAGATATCGTGTACCCCATCACCGTCGTCAATGCCTCGCAGCACTCTTGTTCGAATTGCAACGTGGATGGGTATGCCCAGGTGGAGTTCCGAGGTCGGCTTTGTGGGTACGACCTCATCCAGTGGGACTCCTTCACCGTTTCACCTGGCTCGTCTGCGTCGTGCGACTGCTTCTTGCACCTTAAGTGTGGCCAGCCACCGACTGACGAACTTCCACGATCTTGTAACCACTTCTCTGAGCCTGCGGTTTTGGAGTTCATGGAGGACTGAAACACAGCTCCTGCCACATAACTAAACCGTGAAGCCTCGACAACACCTTAAACCCTGAGCTGCAAACCCCACTGAAGCCCTGAGAGTAAGAAGGACAATATCACCTTCATGTACATGCTTTTTGACAGTGGCGTGGCATCTTTGTCCAGCCCAGACCTCAGTGAATCAAAACCGTTTATGTGGAAGGTTGAAAGCCTTGGCTTTTGTAAGAGACTGTTGGCCCCAGATTGCGATCTTGAAATAGTGACTAGCTGACTAGCCGTGAGAACCTGTTAGCATTAGTTCCGGATGCTGTCTCGCACATAGTGTCTGGTTCTGCTGCATCAACTGACTGTGCTTCGGTTGGGCCGCAAGATGTGTCTAAAGACGTTTTGAGCGCATGCCAAATGCTTGAAGGTTTGGAAGTAGGATGCAGGTGGGGGAGGCTGTTGCTTTTGCAGCTGTGTGTTGTACTGTTCAACCCTTAGTCTGAGTTGTTGCACACGGATCTTGTTTCGATAGAACGATGAACATCGCAACGCCAAGTCATGCCCGCCCAACGTGTTAGTTAGCTGAACGGGACGTCCGAGGTGGCAACGCTGAGTGGCAGGCAAGGGAAGCTGCTACTGCTACTACTAGCTCACGATCCGATGCTTGGTACTTTGATGGGGAGTGCCTTTCGGTGCCAAGGGCTCCTCCATCTCCCGACTGGATAATCCGGCTTGTGATTAACGATGGATCCGTTTTCAATTCTACAGAAGATGGATTGGTGAGAGTTGCTGGGGTGCCTCCACTCTGGTGGTCATATAACTTCCAGAAGGATGCCACGTTGCCCGGTCCTTTCAATGCAGATAAACTGCTGGGGCACAAGGTCGTGTTTGGCTCCCTCGGTGTCTGCTACAGCGCAGAGTTGGGCAGGGAGTTCTTGGCAGTCCCTGCGCAGGGAGATTGTGCTTCCCAGAACTTCGCCTCAGATATGGGCACCAGGTACGTGTACCTGTCTTCAGCCTATGGGATCCAAAGCTACCGTTCCGAGCGGAGCTGTTTCCCTCTCGCAGCCTTCGAAGAGCTGCAGCTGGAGGTGGTGGATGTTACAACAGCAAAAGGCGACGACAACTTCACGGTTTCTATCTCTCCATGCCGAACCTACGTCCGCTTCGTCGTGGATGCCGAGCCCCGGCAGTCGCATTGCCGAAACATGGCGAGGATGACCCATGGCTGATTCCGAGTTCATGATCGACCCGGCCCTGCTCACGCATAGCCGAAAGAAGCAGACTTCTGTTGTGCAGGCTTCGCAAGGCCTCGCGTTTTGGGGGGTTTGGTTGTCTGAGTGGGCAGTTGGTCTTCCGGCTTCTGTTGCGCAGTCGCTAAAAACGGCACGTAAAGTCCAGAGAACACGCAGAGACTGTCGTCAACATGTCAGTTGTCACCACTGCTTGTTTCATGTTGCAACCCCATTTTCTGCTGCAGCAGGATAGGCCCAGATGTTTGGATTTTGTCCGAAGGCCTGTAGACAGCATGGGGCCTGATCGCCGCAGCTCATCCCCACTTCTCGACTGAACAGCCGTCGTCCCTGACTATCCAGGGGACGGCCAGGGACTCGCAGCTTCGCCGGCGGAATCTGTTCAGTGTGCTCGCCACGGGAGCGGGGCTAGCGGGCAAGTACTTCGCAAGAAGGGTGAACAATATCAGCCGGTTTGTCGGCTCGGTTGATGTTCGGCCTCCTTGCTGCCGAAGTACTTGCCCAGTGTTCCCGCCTGGCACATTCAACGTCGACGCAGCCGGAGAACTTTTCAAGGCGGCCTTGGAAGAGGTCGTGCCATACGTCACATGGGAGTTTCCTGAAATAGGTCCCTAAGTCGTAGGTTCCTTATTATAAGGACCCGAAATAATAAGGTACCCCTAATTTTCGGAAACTCCCACATGGGACTGGATAGACACGAAGATGCCCCCTTCTGTCGTTTTTGGGGGTGTTGGCGCTCAGGCAACCTGCCATTGAGAAGGGCGCGGCTTCATCAACCCCCAAGCGATGATGTTAGGACCATCACGGACAATGTAGTCTTCCTGCAGGGTAATGGGGTCTGAGACGGTGCCAGAATCTTAAAGCGATGGCAGCATCGTTCTGTACGAAGTCTATGAAGCGGCGTGCTTTTTGTACAACTGTCGAAACTTGTGGTATCATGGACTTGCAAAATAATTCAGCGGGACGAGGTGACGGAATCTGCGAACATTTGGCCCACTGGGCTTTGCACGTTGCTAGTGAAAGAAGCGTTGCAGACGTCTGCCAGAAGTTTCGTCGCATCGTTTGGTATTTCTTCTCGAGTGCTGTCTTTACAGCCGGTGCATGCTGTTACGAATCTATCCCAAGCCCAGAGCCCTAAAGACCACAATCCCACAGCGAGAGGCTGGCTTGTCCTCCGAAGAATTCAACATCGAGGAGTCTTTCAGCATGCCCTTTCGGGCCTCGGGTTTGTGCAGGTCCTACGGGTAAGGGTTGTAGGCTTTGGTTTACAGCGGGAAAGGGATGACGGACATTTCAGCAGGTTTTGAAGGTGTGTTGAGGTCTGATTTCGCAACTGTAAGGTACCGTCATAGAAGGTCCGTTTCACCCGCGACAAAGGCCAAAACACCCTTCTTTCAGCTCCTAAACTTGGGAGCGAACCCCGGAATCCTAGACCACATCATCCGATGAAATGTCCGATTTCCTCAGCAATTCTGACAAAGCGAGCATCGGCGAAGTCATCATGGACATGATCGCCATCACGGTCGTCATGCGAGTAGCAATGGCAGTGGCGATACCGACGGACTTTTCATAGTCGTCGCCGCCGTCGTTGTCGCCGTAGTAGTCGTCGTAGTATAGTCGTCGTGGTGCTAGAAGTTGTGGTAGGTGTATCTGTAGTTGCAGTTGTAGTCCGTAGTTCGGAACCAGGAGTCCGCAGTCAGTAGCCGGTTGCCAGTGGGTGAGTAGTCAGAAGTCAAAAGTCAGTCTTCAGCAGTCAGAGCCGCCGTCGTCGTAGTAGACTACTGATAATCAGTAGTATTAGTCGTGGTAGTAGTAGTAGTAGTAGTCGTCGTTGTACTTATACTGGTACTGGTACTAGTACTAGTACTAGTACTAGTAGTAGTAGTAGTAGTAGTAGTAGTAGTAGTAGTGGTAGTGGTAGTGGTAGTGGTAGTGGTAGTGGTAGTGGTAGTGGTAGTGGTAGTGGTAGTGGTAGTGGTAGTGGTAGTGGTAGTGGTAGTGGTAGTGGTAGTGGTAGTGGTAGTGGTAGTGGTAGTGGTAGTGGTAGTAGTAAGTTGTGGTAAGTGGTAGTAGTAGTAGTAGTAGTAGCAGCAGCAGCAGCAGTAGTAGTAGTAGTAGCAGCAGCAGCAGTAGCAGCAGTAGTAGCAGTGGTAGCAGCAGCAGTGCCAGTAGTCGCAGTAACAGCAGCAGTTCCAGCAGCATAGTTGAATAAACTTTAGCTAGGTAAATGACCGCGATCAGTGTCATCATCGTCAGTCTCGCCGTATTCACCACCATCATCATTATGGTCAGACTGGCCACCATTCCTTTTGTGTCACTGTTCCCATCACCTTCTGTTCATTAGCCTCCTCCTCCTCCTCCTCACTACAGCGTTGCCATGCTGACGATCGGGGTGGCCCTCGCCGAAACACTGCGAGGACATCCACCGAGTCGGCCAAAAGGTTCCTTTGTTGGGGAATCTATCGCCACACGGAAGGCCGCCTCGGGTTCAGTCATCGTCAACCGAGGCTTGCAAGAATTTCCGAAAGGAGTTGTTTGCAATAAACATGACCATTACTATTCCGATTTGTGGTCAGGAGATTCGTGATGTAGTTTTGCATGCTTAGGGCCCAGTCCAGGATAGACAGCTTGGGTGTAAGGCTGCAGCAGGAGTGGTTTGGAACTTCCGGTGAGGAGACCTCCGTTGAAGGTTGAAGCTGCGCATTCTGGGTCTGCAGCAGTTATGGGGCTCAGTCGTTTGAGACACGGAGCACTATAACATGGGGGCCTTAACAAATACCTCTACTATTTCGGGGGCTCCTTAGTATAAGTATAAGTATAGTATACTGGCCCCCCAAACCCTATTCTGGTTATTAAGGCCCCCTATAGTATACGTTCGGCACGTGTCTGCTATGCTGGGCAGGTATCACATGAGTGACCTTGACAAGATCGGGGGCGTGCCGGTGGTTCTCCGGGAGCCATCACGGGTGCATTAATGTCCTGTCCTGCACTGCAGTTTACTTTGCTATGTTGCAGTTCTTTCCATTGCATTCGTACACTCCAACACATCATCTAAACCCATCTTCGCCATGTTGAGGAGTTACTGGACGCTGGTCTGCTGCACGGCCACTGCATGACGGTCACTGGCAGGCTCGGTGGATTAGAATATGAATATCTTCTTGTTATTATTATTACTACTACAATAATAAAAGTTATTACTATAAGAATAGTAATAGCTAATTTCTATAATAATAACAATAATGTTTATTATTAGTTTTATTCAAACTATAGTGAACCCCGGAAAGTTGGAACATGGATTTAGGACTTTACTTTAAGGGCATGAGGCTACTGATGTTCCAACTTTCTGGCTTCTACTGTATATAATGGAGGGGAGCAGAGCCTCCGGGTGTAGGAGCCTTTGAGGCATCCAGGGGCCTTGCCAGGGCTTAGTATATTATAGTATATTATCGTATATTATAGTATATCATCGTATATTATAGTATGTTATGGAAATTTATAGTATTTTGAAGTATATATTATAGTATATTATAGTATATTATAGTATATTATAGTATATTATAGTATATTATGGTATATTATAGTATATTAGAGTATATACTGGTATATTAGCTTGGGAGTCGATCGTTTCCGTTGAGGTGAGGCCTGCATGCCTCTGAGTTGTGAAACTTCTGCTCCTGCTCCTGCCGTGCCACTGGGATCTTCCCCAGGGTTCCTTTAAAGGGTTACTATAAGGGTACTATAAGGGTTCTTTTAAAGGGCTCTATAACTATAAGGGTACTATAAGGATTCCTGCCTGCTCGAAGTTGCGATAGGCACGATGGCGGAACGTGCCTTGCAATGGTGACTGCAATCCCGGAGTTCGGTGATGAGACTGATAGTGGCACTCACCATGTCTACAGCAACCATGCTGATAGCAGCTGATAGCAAAGCTAGTATGTACGAAGCCAGCCACGGCTTGGGTCAACCAACCTTTACAGCAACCGACCTGTGATGCTGCGGTAACTGTTGCTAAGGGGGCATGTATTGAAGTTGCAGCCCCTACACCCTCAACCCTGTCCCGAGTTCTTGTTTTTGAAAAGGTATCGGAGTGTTCCGCGCAAACTTAGCACCCACGCAGGGGCTGCCTAACCGTGAAACCCGCCAGCCCGGAAGCCCCAATTCCTAAAGATCCCAAGTCTGGGATCTTGTTAAGACGTGGAGCCTAAAGTTACCAGAATAGGGATCAGTAGCAATCAACATGGCTTCCTTTTGTAACATGGTAACCTCAGCTAACCTTCTTAAGATGACCCCAGAAGCCATCCACCAAGACAAGCCCGAAGCCCTGAAGGCCTTAAGCCTGAAGCCATGTATCCAAAATATAGGGTTTAGGGTTTGCAGCCCAAACATTCGAGTCAGAGTATTTAGGGCGTGGGGATGTCGGGTTTTAGGATTCCCTAAGCCCTAAAGGCCCTGAACACCCCCAAACGACCCAAAAGCCTTGAACGCCCCTAAAAGACCTAAAAGCCCCAAACACCCCAAAAAGCCCTAAAAACCACAAACACCCCAAAATGCCCTAAAAGCCTTAAACACACCTAAAGGCCCCAAACACCCCAAAACCCTAAACACCCCAACAGCCCAAAAAACACCCTAAACCAACGATGTCCCACAGGACCATGGCCGAAAACTTGGCCGGCATCCCCTCGGCCGGTGGCCTACGGAGATTACTTGGAGGATCATTGGACTTAGTGCTCCTTTTAATAAGGGTACTATAGGGTTATATAATAGGGTTCCTTAAAGGGATCTATAGGGGTTCTATAAGGAGGATCATGGGACTTATTAAGTCAGGTTATACCCTCCAGAGCCCTGTTCGCGCGCAACATGCGACGGGTTCAGGCTTGCGATTTTGCTGCCGGGCGCAGTACTTTCAGGCATTCTTGCTTCTAGAGGGTGCCAACGTACTGGTTTTTGCAGCATTTCCTGCACGTGTCCGGGTTGTTCCCGCAGACCTCTGAGCCTCGAGGAGGCTTCAGCCATGATGACGTGCAGATCAGACTCCATCCATTGCCGCAGAGCATCCATGTGCCAACCATGATGACGTGCAGATCAGACTCCATCCATTGCCGCAGAGCATCCATGTGCCAACCATGATGACGTGCAGATCAGACTCCATCCATTGCCGCAGAGCATCCATGTGCCAACCATGATGACGTGCAGATCAGACTCCATCCATTGCCGCAGAGCATCCATGTGCCAACCATGATGACGTGCAGATCAGACTCCATCCATTGCCGCAGAGCATCCATGTGCCAACCATGATGACGTGCAGATCAGACTCCATCCATTGCCGCAGAGCATCCATGTGCCAACCATGATGACGTGCAGATCAGACTCCATCCATTGCCGCAGAGCATCCATGTGCCAGCCATGATGACGTGCAGCTCTTCGCCTGAAGAGAAAAAATACAGCATTTTTTCGGACAGTCTTGCGTGGCCCAACATCTCGAATTCATTGGCAGGGCCAACGAATTTGCAACATGCGCGCCTTTGCGCGCGCGCGAACAAAGCCCTGGCGCGTTGTATAAGTACCTTAAGTGGGCTTATAAGTGGTGATAAGTATAGTTACCATATATATATCCCCAGTTGCTAAGTCCCACGATCCTTTAAGTAATCGGCCTTAGGGTTCGTGGGCAGGGCGGGGTTTCATAGCGTTTTTGTAAGGGTTTCAGAGATTTTTACATGGTTGCCTATGTAGGGGGTTTTCACGGGGTTTGGGTAAGGGTTTCGTAGTTTTTTGGTGTGGTTTATGTAGGGGGATTTCAAAGGGTTTTAGTAGGGGTTTCGATCATCGGCTTTTGGGATTTTTTTGGGATTTATGACTATGGCTGGTTTTAACTTTAGGGTTCAGAGCGCAGTTTGAAGTCCTGAGCCCAGAAGCCTGCACACTGACCCCTAAACCCTGAACCCCCGACAACCAAACCCTAGACCTAGTAGTCGAGTAGGTAACCTTTAACCTCTTTGGGGTAGTATAGTCCCTATATAATCCCTACATAACCAAAAAGGCTATAACCTCTAGTTCCCCATGATACCCGACAAGGAGGTAGACGAACCAGACGTCCCGCAGCCCTAAACCGTGATTCCGGAATCCTTGGCCTGGAGCCGAGCTACAACAGAGGCACCCAGAGACTCCAATATCCCTTCATGAAGGAGTCTTCCTTAAATTATGGTAAGATCTCTTATATGATTTAAGGCAGATTCCTTAATTAAGGGATCTTGGAGTCTCTGGGCAATCATACACCCGGCCGGACCCACACTCTAAACACGACGCAACTCAAAAAAGCTCTACCTTCTGGACTGGGTTCTTTTTTGAAGGAGCTTAATGTAAGTTAGTATCGTAGACACTAGGGTAATCCAGGGCTTAGGACAACTTAGACCCTGGGAGTCACGAGAAGCTGTTCGAGGTCAGCCCCGAACCCCACACCCTAAACCCTAAACCCCGAAACCCAACCCTAAACTGGTAAACCCCTAAACCCTGAACCCTCAACCCTCAACCCCTAACCCCTACACCCAAAACCTCAAAACCCCCAAACCCCTACACCCCTAAATCCTTCACCCTCAACCCCTAAACCCTACACCCTAAACCTCCTAAACCCTGCACCCCTAAACCCCTAAACCCTACAGCCTAAACCCTGCACCATAAACTCCTAAACCCTCGAGGTCGCGGCCCTGGGAGTGCAGGATGTCCTTTACCCGGTATCGAAGCCACTTGCCTTGGGCCCGGTGGATTGGGATGTGGGGTTTGGGGTTTAAAGAAATTGTTTAGGGTTCGGGTTCGGAGTTTTGACAGGGTTTTGCGCGAGTTTTGCCTTTTGCTTCCTGGGCTGATTAGCTTGCGGGTTTAGGGTTTCGGGTGGGTTTGTGGGTCGCGCATATTTCGCGTCAAGCGACCTTCCTTGCAAGTGTCATAGAACTCGGCGAAACTGGAAGTTCTCTCAAACCCGCCCGGTGTGATGATACCACAGGCAACCACCGAAAACATTCCCACACCGGCCAGGGGGGCTAGAAGAGGCCAGGGGGGGGCCAGGGGGGCCAACTACCGGGTTTTGGAGCTGTGGCTGGCCCGTGGCGAGGGAGCCCTTGACAGCCCAGATCCGGCTGTATTCGAGCATTCTTCATAGGCTCCACCCATGCTGGATTTTCAGTGTCTGGGCACCCAGTTATGGGTGGGAACGGCCCAGGGGGCCGGGCGCGAATGTAGGGTTTAGGGTTCAGGGTTTAGGGGAAAGGGTTCAGGGTTTAGGGGTTCAGAGGTTACGGCTTGGGGTTTTGGGGGATACGGGCAAGGTGTCAGGGCAAGGGGTTCTGGGTTTCGAGTTTAGAGGGTTTCCGCTATAGCCCTTCGGGTAAGATAGGGTTTTGAATGGCAGTGGCAATGTCCACGTTTTGATCGAACGGTTTTAAACGACATCTGCCGTTTTTGCAAGTTCCGGCTTGCTCTTGACCCCGAAACCTTCTGCCCTAAAACCCAGAACCTGCAACTCCCCTGCGCACTGAACCCTACACCGAATAGAAGATGGCTTACATGTTGCCAGAATGTGCTTCTCCTTAAATCCTACAAGAGTTGTCGTATCTAGCCTAAACATAAGGTGTTTCATTCATACCTCGTGCTTTTCTTCATGTGATTCACGGCGATGAGCTGAGGCCCCAAAGGGAAATCACATCCTCGCAGGAAGCCGAGACAAGACCGTGCGGTTCTTCTACCTGATATGTTCGGTTTTTGGCTTTTGTTACTATGACTACCGCCTTTATGATGATGATGATGATGATGTCATCATCGTTATGATTCTCCTCCATCATCATCATCATCAGCATCATCACCATGACCATCATCATCATCATCAGCATCAGCATTTGCATACTCATCATCATCGTCGTCGTCATCATCATCATCTTCTCCATCATCATCGTGATCAACTGTATCACCATCAGCATCGGCATCAACATCAGCACCGTGCCACAAATGACGACGACAACCACTTGCCACTGCTGTGACTGCTAGCACTCGCACTACCTGGCGAGCCATCCCATGCTCTCCTTGACTATGTTACTGGTCTTTAGCTTATTGCACCAAGCCTTAGTTCTTCATCGGTGCTGTTGTTGCTGATGACGACGATGGTTTGTTGGTGATGGAAGTGGGATGACGATGAAAATCGTGTCGACGGCCTGGTGGTGGTGGTGGTGGTGGTGGTGGTGGTGGTGGTGGTGGTGGTGGTGGTGGTGGTGGTGCTGGTGGTGCTGGTGGTGCTGGTGGTGGTGCTGCTGCTGCTGCTGCTGCTGCTGGTGACGAACATGGCTCGATGCAGCCGACTGCTTCTGATGCTTGGCAGCATTCCTTTACAGAGTCGAAGTAGGATGTTGACGCTCTCCTACATATTGCTGGCATGCTCCATCTAGAGTCCTCCACCCAGGTTCTGAAGGGGAACCTGGCAGACTCTGCAGTCCGCCGGCCAGTTTTAACTTGAGCGTTTTGGGATGCTCTGCACTGGTCCTCTTCAAAAGGAAAGCGCAAGATGAAGTTTCGGAAATGTGGGACCCTGGTATATCCAGGGGTTGAAACGCTGCAGGTTTCTTTAGTGGGCTTTTTCGAGGTTGCCGGGCTTCGAGGTTTTAGGCTTTCAGGTTTAGACATGTATTTACGGCCGTTGCCTGGGCTCGAGCATTTATTCTCGCTCCTCGGCTGCAGCGTTGCGTGTGGAAGCAAGAGCTCCGCTGTAAAGCATGGGCGCGGGACCCAGCTGCAACCTCCGCAATCCTCATCAATTGGACATAGAAGCGGTTGATGCAGCAAAACCCCAAATGGAAGTCTTTGAGATCCACAACGCGACGCAGTGCAGCGAGAAAGAGAAGCACGGCGACGCTAATGCTGGAGCATCCGATGCCGACCAGGGGATGAGCGAAGAAAGCCGTGCCTGTCGCTCAACATATATATATATATACATATATATATATATATATATATTGTTTAACGAACAGAAAAGCACATCAGACTAATAGACCCTATACAGATATTGTTTCTGGCGACTGCAGGTAGTGAAAGTGACGATTCCGGCTCCCACCCGCGCGTGCGCATCAGCAAAGCCCTGACGGTGAACAGCAAGGAGCTGATGAGAGGCAACCTGCTATTATAGGGGTTTCTAGTGAGAATATAGGTTCCTTTTAAAGGGGTCTACAAGGGTTACTATAAGGGATCTATAAGGGTGCTATATTATAGGGGCCTAAATATTTACCAATACTATTTTGGGGGTTCCTTTTTATAATTATAGTATACTATGCCCCCAAACCCTATTCTAATTACCAATATTATTGTTAGGGTTCTGCAGGTTCCTTGTAACTATACTACAAAGGAACGCCAAAACCCTATTCTAATCATTGAGGCCCCTACATTATATACTCTAAATTGGACAGCCCAAGTCCTAAGTCCCTTAGTCCGTCCTGTAGTCTTAAATCCCTGAACCCGAAACCTTTCTCAAAGCACCAAGGACTCGCAACACCCCTTCCAGGAGCCCCAGATCCGTAAACGCCCAGAATCTACAAGCCCGACGACTGAAGACCATAAACCCCCGAGACTCAACTCCGAGGTATCTCAATAAAGGAGACCCTGCGAAGCTGGGGACATCTCTGGCGACAATCCCCCATCGATTTACCAGAGAAGGACCGGTGTCTGCCCTACCTTAACCACACATTTAATATAGGGTCCCAAATAATTACCAATACTATTCTGGGGTTCCTTTTTATAAGTATAGTATAGTGGTCCCCAAAACCGGTTCAGGGATGCGGATTTTTGAAGGAAATCATACTAAGGCACCGTAAACATGTAGGTTTGTTGGGCCTGAGGTATGGTGTACTGAGTTCAGTTTAGAGTCTAATTAATAGGGTCTAGGGTCTAGGTCTTTTTAGGCACATTTCGGTGAGTAAAGGAACATGAAGCACTTGGACCCGAGAAGGACAGAGTTCATGCAGGTCTGGCGTTCAGGGCATCAGGGTCTTGAAGCTTTGGGCTTGAGGGTCAAGGTCGAGAGTCCAGGTTTGGGATCTTACGGCTTTGGTACCAGTTCGGTCGGGGTTTTCGGCAGGTTTCAATTTGATTCTGGCCTCTCGCACCTGACCGAATTGTGGTTTTGGCAAACCTGCCTCACGGCTCCGGGTTCCTTTTTTGGGCTTGTGAGGCCCTCGAACGTGGGGGTGTTGATTCAAAGATCGCCACAAAAATGCCGGGCCCTGCACTCTCTTTCAAAGGTCCAGTGCTTGCAGTTGGAGGGCCAATCAGGCGCAAATAAGGTAAGCCACTCCATCAGTAAAACTTGCAAAGTCATAAGCTTTCATATCGCCAACCCAAAGCAACCCCAAATTATCTGCATTTTTCAGGAGAGAGCTGGCCTGTGGACTCGTTCGAGACAGGCTGCGACGTATGGCTTAGGGCCTTAGATTGTAGGGTTCAGCGGTGTAGGGTTTCGGGTGCGAATTCTCCGAAGGGCCTCGGTCAAGGATGGTAGATTAAGGAGCCGCTGTGACCGAAAGGAGGTGGCCGCCTCCATGAACGATCTCTGCTGTTCCTCTACACGGCTTACTTTGTGACACAATACATCATGCACCCAAATCCTACCTGTCCTAAATGAAGAGTTTAATAAGGACTACTTGACAATAGTTTTGGTAAAATCGCCAAAGTGTCACGGCATCACAGTGTCATGGTGTCAAAGTGTCATAGTCTCGCAGTCGTAGTTGTCATGACGACAGCAATGGACGGCAGCGGTGGTCGCAGCAGCAGTAAGACTGATAGCAATGGTAGAAGTGCTGTTAGAAATAGAAGCAGAAGGAGTAGTTGTCGCCCTCCGGCTGAGCAGCAGCAGTAGTAGTAGTAGTAGTAGTAGTAGTAGAAGTAGTAGTCGTATGTGCAGTAGTAGCAGTAGTAGCAGTAGTAGCCGTCGCAGCAGTAGTAGCAGTAGCAGTTGCCGTCGCAGTGGCAGCGGTAGTAGTAGTAGCAGAGTAGTAGTAGTAGTAGCAGTAGTAGTAGTAGTAGTAGTAGTAGTAGTAGTAGTAGTAGTAGTAGTAGTAGTAGTAGTAGTAGGAGTAGTAGGAGTAGTAGTAGTAGTAGTAGTAGTAGTAGTAGTAGTAGTAGTAGGAGCAGCAGCAGCAGCGGCCGCAGCAGTGGTAGCGGCAGTAGCAGTAGCAGCAGCAGCAGCGGCAGCAGCCCGTTTCAATGCCAAGGCAACAGTGACCCGAGTCATCCGAATATGAGTTATTAGTCATGCAGTAGCAACAGCAGCCTCAAAGAGCAGCTACAACAACAACAACGACAACAACAGCACCGGCAGCCGGCACAAGTCCATGTCCGTCCCGCCGACCGGGCAAGGCCGACAGTATTAATATAGGATAGCTGTAATGAAAGGGGACCCGGATTTAAAGAATGACCAAATTGAAACATGTGCTAATCTTCATGTCTTGCCTGCAGGTCACGCACTTCCACATGTTTCTATCGCACTCATGGGCCACCAGTGGGCGTTGGAAGCATCCGGGCAAAAGTTGTTAGGTTTAAGAGTTTAACAGCAGTGGCATGACTAGAGCCGACGGTCCAAGTATTGAAACAAGTACATAAGTACATGCTGTGCTTCGTCTCTGGAGGCTGTTCGTCGAGGCCCAAAGTAGACTTAGGGTTGATCACCTCCGCTTGCCCCGCCCAGGGCGTGCCTGATAGTCAGAGCAATGTTGTGCCTGTGTATCCAGGTCCGAGTGATGATAGTGTCCATACTACCAACCCGTTTTGGGAGTGTACCTGTCTTTAAAGGATGATAGCATCCATGCTACAAACAGGTCCATGGGCCAGTGTATCCATGAGAACGTCATTGGCCAGTGTATCCATGCCCCAAGTATTGATATTGTCAGGGTTAAGAGTTAAGGGTTTCGGATTTAGGGACTGAGCGGACCCCCGCCGTTTTTCATGGCGGTCCGGGTGAAACGGCGCCACACATCCATTGGCGAGTGCATCCACGCCCCGAGCGATGAAAGCACACCCATCGGCCGATGCATCCATGCCCAAACGACGACAACGTCCATGGGTACTGGCACATTCATCCGTCGGTGTATCCATGCCAGAAAAATACCACCTGTGCAGACGCTCACCCAATTCCTCAATCCGAATCTGCATTCACGTATCAGCGCGGGAGAACAACTCCGCAGACAAATCCCAAGTTATTGCGTTTTTGCTTGATACAACTAGGCGTAGCGAATACCGTGTTCGAGCATGGCACAATGCCATTGTATCGGCTCTGCCATGCTTTTGCAGGCATGACCACGAGTAATTCCGTAGCAAGCTTGGGCAGCACGCCATAAGGCCAGGGCTGCAACAGATTGGATGTCGGTTTGGCTGCAGATTTAGGGAATCCTGGAATCTTAAGACCCTAGCAGCCCAAAGCTTAACCCCAATCCATCCGTACGCCAGGCGATCCTATACACCTACTCCCAATAATGGGATTTCCGTGGAAGTTTTACACCACGCGTGAGCAAATCCAACATCACCTCTCTCATGCGTCGAAGGGCGGTCATAGACAGTTTCTTGCCCAGATTCCCCACACCCTAAACCGTAAACCATCCGTAAACTTAACCCTAAACCCTAAACCCTAAACCCTAAAGCGGGTCCGTAAACCATCAAGGTACTTGGCACTCAGCTTCCAGCATAGCTGGCCCTACGTTCTGCTCACCTGGCTGCTCGCGCTCTTGGTTGTGGAGCTCCTTGTTAAGGGAGTGGGTCCATGTGGGTGGCGGTCAAAATCAGGGTCCCTTTTTGGGGTACCCCGAATATTAGGTGCCGTATTATATAAGGGACCCAAGGAGGGACCCTAATTTTGACAACCACTCATGTTTTCGTGGCATACATTAACATCAACACCCAAACTTAAGCCAAGAGAGTTCGGAATGACTGGGTGCGCAGTTAATGGCGCTGGATCTCGCACTTTTGTGCTTTTCGGGATGGTATCACAGTTTTTCTGGGCCCAGGGTACTCAGCAAAGGCTCTTGACTTGTCTGGGCCTTGTACCGGTGATCAGCTACACCAGTTTCAGCTACCAGGGTTTCACTGCAGAGTGCCCTTTCAGTGGCTTGGACGCGCTCAGAATTTTCCGATTGGAGATTGCTGCAAACCCTAAACCCTAAACCCTAAACCCTAAACCCTAAGCCGTAGTTTTACAGCCGCAGAGGAGTCGATGCCCTCAAACCCCACAGCCTCAAATCCTCGAACCCTAAGGCCCTAAGCCCGAAACCGAGGCAACATACCCAGAGACTCCAATATCCCTTAATTAAGGAATATACCTTAAATTCTAGTAGGATCCTTAGTATGATTTAAGGAATATTCCCTAATTAAGGGGTATTGGAGTCTCCGGGCAGTTGATGTGCTCGCTCAGAGAACAGACAAGGTGGCCTTGGCCTTTTCGTCGCCCTGCCACTGTCTGTCCTGACGTTCTTCCTTGCTCCCTATTTTCCAGTCGCTCGGCCGTTCTGGAAATCTTCCCCCAATCAGTGGTACCCACTATGGGCTTCTTAAAACTTCTTATATGCATCGTGGTGGTCCTGGTGGTTTTGGTTGTCCTTGTTTTTCGTTCCGGTTGTGGTCGTTTTGGTCGTCGTGGTGTTTTATTACTGTTTGGGGATCCATCGTGGCATTATGATGTATTTGAGTAGAGTCAGCTTCTGGTTCTTCAAAGAATCAAAGAAGGGTTTAGGGTTTAGGATTTAGGGGTTTAGGGGTTTAGGGGTTTGTCTTTTGAGTGTAAAACACCTACCTTTCACAGCTTCCCAGAGCAGTCAAGGACATCGGGAAGGAACGCCAAGCTTGCTTCCTTGATGTGGTCAGCATCAACCAAGTTGACCCAGAGATGATGCGGCAGGGAATCTATGGACTCGCGGCTTTCAAAGACTCAGTATCCTCATCAGCTATATCGGTTTCAGGGCCTATCCCCACAATCGCAGGATTTTTTGCTGCATAAGTCTGTATGACTCCAACTGTTGCAACATCGAAGACAGGCTGCACAAAGTAGATGCAAGCCATGCCTGGAGCGCCACGAAGAGACCTTCACCTGAATCGTTGACTTGACTACACAGTCGCCCTGACTGGCCAAGGGCTGGGTGGCTTCCTGAACGCATCCGAGGAGACCAAGCCCTTTCGTAGTATCCTTGTGCAAGAAGCTTTGAAGGTGGATAGGGTTGAGGGGAAGCAGTAGTAGTAGTAGTAGTAGTAGTAGTAGTAGTAGTAGTAGTAGTAGTAGTAGTAGCAGTAGTAGTAGTAATAGTAGTAGTAGTAGTAGTAGTAGTAGTAGTAGTAGTAGTAGTAGTAGTAGTAGTAGTAGTAGTAGTAGTAGCAGCCGTCGTCATAGTCGTAGTCGTAGAAGCAGTAGCAGTAGTAGCAGCAGTAGCAGCGGTCCAAATCCCTGAACCCTAAACCCGAAACCCTAAGCCCTAAACGCACAAACAGCCTCGTGGAGATCGAAGGTTTTCGGGTGTTCGCGCCTGGGTTCTCTAAGGAGCCGGATGGGAAGTTGTGGTAGTAGGGAAAGCATCATCTTTACTATGTGTCCCTGTTTTATGTGCATATGCGTACATATACACACGCACACATACATGTATATGTACGTGTGTATATACATATGTATATACATACATATATATATAGAGATATGCACATTATATATACTGCATATGCGCATAAAATGTTTTTTCTGGTGGCTTGACAAGCTCCTTAAGAAGAGACGCCTTGAGGAGCTGAGGATCCTTTACTCCGCGCCCTACCTCACCAGGCACGGCAGCTCTGGGTTTTTGGCTCAAGATTACAAGGGTTACTCTAAGGGATCTAGAAGGGTACTCCATTATAGGGGCCTAGAAATAATTCTAAACACCTATAAAACATTTTAAAAACCTATAAATCATTCTAAAAATATTCTAAGGTATTGATGGTGTGAGAGACTCCGATGAGAGGGCATGCTTGAACAGCATGGCCTTGCAGTACCTAGCTCGGAACACCCTTTGTGAGGCCTGAGTGCATACTGTCAGGGTACATGAGGGGCCAAAACACTTACCAATACTGTTTTGGCGCTCCGAATGGAGCTGCAGTATAATCGGTATAATTTGCCCCAAGATCCTGTTCTAGCTATGAAAACCCCTACATTACACTCCGTGTCCGCGGTCCCGACACCTAGAAGCCGTAGGCACAAAATCCCAAACTTTGAGTCCTGAACCTTAAGGACCTCACCCTAAACGCTCAACCCTAAACAGAAGCCCCAGACCGTCCATGCCCCAAAATCCTGAATCCTAAGTCAGTCACAGGCTGTGGTGCGTCTTCGAATTGGCTGCCTTTCGAAGGGCCAACCCGTCCGGCAGGACAACGTTTCTCAACAACTCAGGGTTTAGGGTTGAGGGGAGGGGTTTCGGAAACGCCTTTAGTTAAGGAAGGCATATGTACTCTACACCCCAGACCCTAAATCGTTACAGTTGACAAGGCATGTTGTTTAATTTAAGGGCTTTTCGAGGCTTTGGCTTCTCCAGGTTTACCGAAGACTTCGAGCGTGCCCCGCCCAAGTTGGTCTCCCTCAGTCTCCCAGTCAGAAGTTTATACGGTGCTATGAGGTTTATGAAGGTTGTACCTCCCCAAACAGTGCAGGAAGCATTCACTGGGTTTCTACCTTTTGTTACAGTAGAAGCCCAACAGTTGGAAGCCGGAGTAAGGCCAAATAGTGCTGGGATTCCCTATACATTACTCTGAAGGATTGAGGCTATTGGGTTTCCAACTGTTTCGCTTATACTGCAAGTCAGAGACCCCACAGGGCGGGATGAAGGTAGGCAAGGTTAAGGATTCCTCATGTTAGGATTCTTATTTGGGATTTCCCCACCTAGCTTCATCCCACCCTTGGAGCCGTTTGGTTTTGGTGACCGCCGGGGGAAAATGGAAAAACGTTTTCCGGACGCTGCGAGTACTCGGGCAGAAACATTTTAGCAGTGCTGCTAAATCCCACCAGTTTTGGGCGGAAGATACCCGTCGCAGTCAGGTGGTCATGTTTCTGAATCCGCCAGAGCTTGGGGGAAGCATTTTAGCCATGCTCTTGAATCCGCCAGTATTTGCCTGGTGGTCTCCTCGTGGTCTCCTAGTGATCTCTTGGTGGTCTACCTGAGGAGGGTTTAGGGTTTAGGGTTGATGGTGGATGGTCGTGGTCGTCTCGGTGGTCCCCGTGGTCGTGCTCGTCGGGGTCGTCAGAGTCATCTTGGTCGTCAAGTTGGTCCGTCACTGTTTGGGGATCTTCAGTGATACGCTGACATATTATATGGAAGTCCAAAACCTGCTGGTCAAGGGGCATACCTCAAGCGGCTTCACAACCCTGACTTAAGGGCAGTTGGCTTTTTTGCGTAGGACGTTTGAGATAGGACATCAGTGACTTTACCTCGTGACTGTTTTGGGTTCCATCTTGGCCCGGGGGGATGGAGCAGCATGCAAGTCTTGACCTTGGACTCGGGTTTAGGGTGTAGGGATGGTGTAGGGTAACAAATCTTGATTGCCCAAAGCCTTGGAAGCCCCGGACAATAAGCCGTAAGCCCCTAAACCCCTAAACCCTAAACCCTAAATTTGAATAAACCCCTAAACCCTAAATTTAAATAAACCCCTAAACCCTAAACCCCTAAACCCATAGTCCCTGGGCTCTGAAGCTCGAAGACTCCGGAGCCCCCAAACACTAGACATTACTATAGGGGCCTAAATAGTTACCTATATTTTTCGGGGGGTTCCTTATTAAAAATATAGAAGAATAATTTGCCCCAAAACCCTATTCCAATTATTAAGGCCATTATATTAAACATTTCTGAACTCTGGAACTTCCAAAAGTCTCCTTCGTTAGGCGAACTTAAGGCCGCCGCCTTAAAAGCAATGGTTTAGGGTTTAGGGTTTAGGGTTTACATTTTTAGGGTTTAGGGTTTAGGGTTTAGGGTTTCCCTAAACCCTAAACCCTAAACCGTTGTTTTGGGCTTTGGAGGCGCGGAACCGAAAAGGCCTCAACACAACAAGCCAAGAACGATCAACAACACCCTCACACCCCAAGTCCAAGTGGGAGTTTCCGAAAATTCGGGGTGCCTTACTTTGGGGTCCTTATAGTAAGGATTAGGGTACTATACTAGGGTCCCCTATTTTCGGACACTCCCAAGTCCTAAACCCTTCAGCAGGATCCGCTTCGCGCCTTTGCTCCTCTGATGCTCTGTTATCGCAGATGCGGGTGTGTGCGTTGGGTGTGTTGGGAAATGTGTGGGATGATTTCGCTTCAGGCTTGAGGTTTCAGGATTTGGGATAGGAGTTGCAGTACGTATGTCGGTATGTAGTGTGCGGGTGAGAGCATGTGGACAAGCGGCAGCTGTTGTGGTTCTTGTTGCCTAGCTGCAATCGCTGTCATCTTGCTGTGCACTACAACAAGGCTTTCCGCGACAGCAGGCAAACAGACGGCATTGAAAGGCAGCGTGCGACTGCAGCATTTTGATGTACATGGAGTAACCGTCTATCATCTTCTGTTTTACGTACATGTCTGGGTACGAAACTGTCTTTCAAGCCTCTACCTTAGCTCAACTGGGTCCTCAAACTGTTCCAATACACCGTTTAATGTACGTACACAAAATCGCGTGCCGGGAGTAGTAAGCGGTTGCTCTGGGAATTAGTGGCAACGACCCATGCCACCAACCTAGTGTAGGGGCCTTAGTAATTAGAATCAGGATTTGGGGAGTTTGCACTACAAGAACTATAGTAAGGAACCCCGAAAACCCTAAAATAAGGAGCCCCCAAAACCCTATAATAAGGACCCCCCCAAAAAAACCGTATCCTAACTATAAAGGCCCCGACATTATGCCCTAAACCCTAAACCCTAAAATTACGCAATCGAGGTTCGTGGAGATCGGCGCAGCTTCGGCCTGGCTCGGTGGTGCTGTGGGCATCTTCGTCTATTGGCTGGTCGTTCGCCTAACAGGCAAGTGCGGTTTAGGGGTTTGGGGGGGTTTGGGTTTAGGGTTTAGGGTTCGGGGTTTAGGGTTTAGGGTCCGGGGTTTAGGGAATCGCGGGTCTAAATGTGCAAGGGTTTCTCAAAAAACACCCCAAAGAAGCGCAACCCTACCTAGACCCCCCCCCCCAGTTAGGACCGTTACGGCTCCAGGATACGTGGGGGAGTACTGGTAAACCAACCCTCCATCCTGCGCCATCCGCAATTGCACATCTAAAGCCACAGTGCAACAGCTCGCCAATATCCTTCTTCTTTGTCTCCGTGAGTTCTGATAAGGTGGTTTTCTTCCGAAAGTTCAAGCTTCTGTTCTTCGAGTATTGGGGAAGCAGGGTTTTCAAGCTTAGGAGCCGCAAAATTGAACGTTTTTTCTAGCTCCCTTGAACGTTGCTGTCATGTTCCTCGATGGGGCCATCGTCCCCTTCGGCACTGGTTGGGAGGTTGGGGAACAGTTCTTAACTTCCAAGATTCTTATCGTGGTCCATGAACCCCTACCTTCATCCTAACCATAGGGGTTCCAGGTGCAGAGCCCTGCACCGCTTCCTAGCGCCTTCCTTTCTGGAGCAATGTCAGTAGAAGTCCTCGCGTGTTTCTTCGAAAATTCAGTTCTAAACATTCCCCAAATGACATGCCCCTGCACTTTGAAATCCGCGGATGCCCGACCGGTTTCATGGATCAGGGGGCATAGTAAGGCAACTGCCCCCAAGTAAAGTGCTCATTCACTTACCGCATCCCGGCCGGGAGGATGGCGGAGTTTCATTCCCTTAACCTTCGCCGCGATCCCCTTCTTCATCTTCTTCCACATGCTCCGGAAGAGCCTGTCCCAGAAGCGCCAGGTGGGCAATGGGGATCCTTTTGGCCTCAGCCGCCGGTTTGGGGTTTTAGAGTTCAGGGCGGGGACTCCGGGCAGGTGGCAATATCAATGCAGATGCATCTATGGTCGTGTGCTGCCCGGTCCCCAAGGTTACGCGCTGTGGGTGGGTGGGTGGGTGGGTGGGTGGGTTTGAGCCTGGATTTAGGTAGTTCCTTTCGTTTTGTGAGCATGTGGCTGAAGCTTGAGTTCTTGTTGGTGTTGGGTGTCCTCCTCCCCACCAAAGGGCAAAGACCTTCCTCTGGGATGGGTGGATCTGGGTTTGGGATTTACAATCCCGCTCCCCTGCTCCCGCGTCGGTGGGTGTCGAACGAGCAGCAGAACAAGGCAAAGCCCGATGTTGGGGGAATTCGTGGGTGGGGTTGGTTGGGTCGGGCTGTGTTCAATCCTCCTCCAAGTTACCTGCGAGTGCTGGTATGTTCGGGTCTCTCTGTGGACATGCTACCGTGATAAAATATAATCAGCATAAGTACTGCTGGAGCTGATTTCAGTTGCAAAATGGTGGGGGTGGAGTTCAAACCTGGAGTCAGTTAGTTACGACATCTCTCATGGTTATATCTTTATTGAGCTTTTTCCAACCTGGAAATACTCTGGGGTGTGCAACTCTCACCAGGTTCTAGATGAGTTTCCAGAATTCATACGCATGCGGAGTTAAACCCTGCGTCCTGGAGGGCGTGTTAGGGTTTAGGGGTTAGGGTTCAGGGTTCAGGGTTTAGAGTTTAGGGTTTATGTGGTTTAGGGTTTAGGGGAAACACAACTTCTGTTGTGGCAGCCCGGCTTCCTGATTGGTTTTTTTTTGCCCGCCGCCCCGGCCCTCCCCCCTGAGTCATCGACCCGGCACCTTCTCTCCGGTTTAGGGTTAAGGCTTTAGGGTTTAGGGGAAGTCTTCTATTGCTCGATTTTGGGAGTTTCCGAAAATAGGGAACCCTAATCTAGTACCCTAAACAATAGGATCTTTATTATAAGGACCCCCAAAATAAGGTATCCCGAATTTTCGGAAACTCCAATTTTGATGGATGTTTCAGTAGGCCATGTGATCATGTGCATGCACATTTCAGAGCATTTGTCGTCTGGAACAAGTCTTAAGTCATTCGAAACCGGAAACAGGAAGTGACAATCCACAAAGCATCGAACAACTGTCAGGATTTCACGTACTTCGCCAGCGGCGGAAGGATGCCGTCAGAGACCGGAACTCCTTGCAACCTTACAGGAACCCTTGAACGAACCCTTTTTAGGAAGCCCTTTGAAGGAACTCTTGTGGCGAATCCTTCAAGGAACCTTCTTAGGGAACGCTGTAAGGGAACCTTATAGCTCCCGAACCAGGTCTTCCATGATTTGGCAACTTTTGAGCTCTCCGCCGCGGGATGTCGGAATGCCGTCGACAAGGAGTTCATCTACGCCGCCATCGAGAACTGGTACGGTACCTCGACTGTGAGGGTTGTCAGGATTTGGGCTGCGGGGTTCAGGGCTTCAGGCAAAGCAGTGTTGAAGGGTGGCTCGACAATTTAGCCTGAAACAAATTGTGGTAGGGGCTTACAGAGAGGGTCCAGAGAGGTGTGGCTGATTCTTGAAGGCGTCTACCGGAAACACCTTCGAATCTGTGGCATGCGCTGATGCTCTTCATGTCGGTTAAAATTAGACTAAAGCCTTTGAAACTGCTTCTTGAGTTGTTTTTTAAAGTCAGGCTTCGGGATATTTGGTAGGAATACAAAGACCCCGCCCAGCGAGTGGCCCCGTAATTGCCAGAAGCCTCAATCCCTAGACCCTAAGCCCTAGCGGGTTCTGGCAGCCTGCAGGAAGCCTAGATGCCTTCACCTCCTATGTTCGTGGCCCCCTTCGGGACGAGCTGCTGGCAAACCACTTGGGCACCAGCCTTCCGTGGAATTACACTTTGCTGATCGCGACCCCATGGATTACACTAGGTAAGCCGCCGCAATGAGCATTTAGGATTTGGGATTTGAGGTTCAGGTTGGGCATGTCTTTCGATTGTGCTTGATTGCCTCGATGCACTCAGAACGAGCGTTAGAAGAATGCCGAATAGATACGCTCAGCTCTAAAATTCAGCTCAATTTTAAAATGCGCCGTTCCAGAAATTGCTCGAACTCCCTGAGCCTGTTTCGATTAAAGTTGTAGAAGAAACTCATAAAGATGAGGAGGCCAGCAACGGGACTTGTTCGCAGATAAACCCCCGCCCAGGAATGGACGCTCTGGCAGCCCAAGTGAGAGGATGGGTTCCCCTACACCCGAAACTCCCTAAACCCTACACCCTTAGCCCTAAACCCTTAACCCCTAACCCTAAACCCTAAACCCTTAAACCCTAAATCGTCCTAAGCCCTGAGAGGAGGGTTTCCCTTTCGCAATTTGGTGTCCTATGGCTCCGGAGTGGCTTTGGGGCTCTTTGGCTTCTGGTGGATCACAGTGGTGCAGCTCCTCGGCATCCCGAAGCTGGGTTTAGGGTTTACTTAGATAGCGAACGGGCGAACTTCAAACTTTTTTGGCCCTATATATATACACATACATACATATATAAGCTCTGTCTTTCTAAAGTTTGAACTATTGGGGGCCCGGTTGTTGAAGAAGAGAGTTTAGGGTTTGTCGGATTATGTCCAGGCCGGGTTGCTTGGCCTTTTACGATAGGGGCCTAAATAATTTCCCATACTATTTTGAGGGTTCCATATGATAGTTATAGTATAGTGGGCCCCAAACTTCGTGCCTATTCTCATTCTCTACGACCCCTTTTTTTCTTAGCTTCTCTGGATTTCTACCAAGTGCTGCCATGACGAAACAGTAAAAACCCTTGCAGTGCCAGAGCTCGGCCTCGGCGAAGAGGTCGAAGTCTTAGTTTCTTGGGGTTTAGGGAGTCCAAGTCTAAGTGTGGTGTTCTAGTCATAGAGACCCTGAAAGGGTAGGGGGCAGGCTCGAAGTCTTAGTTTCTCTGGTGGTTTTGGGGAGTCCAAGTGCCTTTGGGGGGGGTAGGGGGGGGGGCTAGCGGACTCCCTTCCCCATTATGAGGATTATGGCTACCCCCTTCCCCCCTACCCCCCTGAAGGTCCTTATGGTTTGGGGGAGGTTGAGGGGTTTCAGGTTTCTAAGGGTCCAAGCTGTATTCTAAAAGTGCAAGAAGTATAGTACATGAGTGCTGGGAATAATAGGGTTACCAGCACCATCAGTAAACCGTCGGTCTAACGGGAAGTTGACAAGTATTTAGCGAAGCATGACACATGGAGACTTCCAGAAAATGAAAGACTCCTCCCGCGAAAAATTCTCAAGGGGCCCCAAGCGCCCCTAATGTTAAGAAAGCTGCATGTCGATGTAAATCCGAACTCTGTAGCGAGACAGTGCTGACAGACGTGAAAATCCTACACAATCCTCACAAGAGAACGGTTCGAAGAACAAAGCAAGCACGTCGGTCGCCAGTATCTCCAGCCAGTCTCCAAACCAATACGTTACTATGTCTAATCCCTAAACCCTACATTCTAAAACTGCAGGTACGCACAGGCTTAGGGTATAGGGTGTAGGGTACAGACACACACAACAAGACACAAAATCAACATGCGCACACGCAGACCGAATTCGGGCATGCAGCAAGGTTTGTCATGCTTCTCGCCGGACGGTTCCCGATGTCAAAGGAAGGCCGATGGGGACTGGCACAGTGTCTTGGTTACGGGAACCGGAGCAGAGGTCAAGCGCAACACGGGGGTTTTGGGGCTTGGCGCTTTGTCTCGGATTTGAGGCTCTGGGCTTCTGGAAGGTAAAATGTGTTGTTCGGCGTATGGACACCCCCCAGCACCCTCTCAAGCCTAGGTTTCGTGGTCGCGCAGTGTTGCAACAATGAGTTGAGCAACCAAGGTCGTTCGTGCTCTACTTGGTGTGCGTCGCATGTATTTTCTCCGGAGCCATCATAGGACATTGGGCATACAAGGATAGTGTTGCAGCATCACTTGCGTGGTGTTTTGTATCTGGCATGCTAGCATCTCTAAGCAGTGGGCTGAAGGTCTTTAAGTCTGCCTTTGGCCGCAGTTGACCGCCGCCGGTTTTCCTACACGATCGTTAATGCTCATTCGCCTGACAAGGCGTTCGAGCTGCATATCTGAATACATGTACCGTCACAGCTCTGAAAAGGGCATTGGTTTGCTTGTACTCCCGCCTGTGCAGCAGCCCCCGAGTTTACACGGACACTGGGCGACAATACAAGCAGAGTGTTGGAACATGACGCACGTGTTGTGCTGCATCTGGCGGTGGGTTCATGGTCTCTGTGCGTGTCCTTCGCCACAGTTGACCGCTGTCGGCTTTCGAAACGACCAAAAGATCGTCATTCCTCGACCGACGGGTCGCTCGAGGCGAGCATGATTCTACCGGCTTTGTAGTTCTGGAGTTCTGAGTACATCACTTGCGTCACAGCCCTGAGAATGGCACCTTTCGCTGTGCAGGAGCCCCCCCACACAACAGTAAACGTCGGTTGCAGCTTAGAGTTCGTCGGCTTAGAGTTCATGTTGCATGTTGCATCTGCAGAGTGTGAGTATGGTCTCCAGAGTGGCCACAGCGTTTCGACTCGCTTTGCCATGGTTGGCTCTGAAAAGATTTCAATACATTTCCAAACAGCGCCAGGAAGGCTTCTTTCTAGCTCTCGACGGCCGTGAGGGTCCAAAGTACCCAATAATTAAGTGCCTAAGTTAAGATAGTAGTCATTGTAGGCTCGCATGTTTGGGGGTTTATGATGATTCGGTATATGGACCCTTGTGGTAAAAGCTGATTGCACATGTCTTAGCTTATTGGCCAAGCGGCCACCTGCGTGCATCCACTCAACAACAACATCGCGCAGACTTCGCCGTCCGAACTCTTCTGGGCTTTGGGTTTAGGGATCCGAGTTTTTATCCAGGCTATAGTCAGGCTTGGAACTAGGGTTGAGGGCTTAGTGTTCACGGCGGCCTCCACCAGCTAGTTATCCCAGAGACCCGAATACAGTCGGACCCGTGTGCCTGCATGAACGTAATCACGTTGACATACATATCCTTCATACCTGGACCCCAAAAGTATGTAGAATAATCGCCTTCTATAGGTCTTGGGTGCTTCTTTTAGGGGGTTTAGGTAAGGCTGAGCCATCTGGAGCTTCCATGGTAGGGTTTAGGGCTGACAAGGTTTAAGGTTTTTGGTTTACTTGGGCGCTCCCGATTAGTGGGTATTGATTTTATACATATGCTTGAGGATAGCGAGGATCCGAAAGAAGGGTGCGCGCAATGGCCGCAGAACAGCGTGGCTTTCCACACGAGGGTCCAGCGCATCGATAGCTAGGGATTCCAGCTTGCGGTTGCTACTTCAGGATGCATCTGCTTGACCCTTCTCGTTTCACGGCCTGTATTTTGCAGGAGCCATTTGTTAAATGGCTGAGTTCGGGTTCCCCGTGGTAGCTTTACACCACCAGCATCTCCATCGTCCCATCACATTGCACGTTTATGGCTTGGGGGTTTAGGGTTTAGAGGTGTTCCGGGGTTTAATGCTCAGCCCAAGATGCGCCAGCCCTAGATATCTGGTTGGAGTTCAGACATTTCGGGTGAAGGTTTAGACTTATCGTCTTGGCCACTTGGGTGCTAGCTTTCGAGTCTGCCAGGTTTACGAAGGCAACCGGGGGGAGTGTCGTGGTGCTTTGGGTTTGACGTTAAGGGTCTAGGGGTTAAGGTGTTCCAACCCGAAACCCTAAACCTGACAAGAGACTATCGGTTCACCCCTGGCCGGTGCGATCGTCAAGGTTTACATGGAGGATCACAGGGCTCAGTAAGTGCGCTTATAGGTACCTTAATTGGGGCGATAAATAATTTTTGGCTTGGTTACCTGATTTATAGCCCTAGTCACTGAGCCCATGGTGTACCATCCAGCACAGATCCTCAACGAATTATTCATACCCCCCGTGATATCCCGCGAGATGTGCGAGCTCTGCCACCCAGTAGTACAGGAGCCTACATGATTATCACTACTATTTGGGGTTCCTTATAAAAGTTACAGTAAATGGGCCTCAAAACCCTGATAAACCCCTTGAAATAGAGTTTCTCAAGATTGAGGGTGCTTTGAAGCACAAACGGCCACTGAAGCACCTAAACCGTAAAACGACTTCAGGATCTGACAGAGATCCTGGGCACCCCAGACTTTGCAGTTCTAAACCGTGTATCCGTATATGGTGGACTACTTCGGCCTTAACTGGTCCTTATAATAAGGATCTTAGTATTTAGGGTTCTATATCAGGGTCCCCTATTTTCGGAAACTCCCATATCGGGGCTTTAGGGCCACATGGCTAGTTGTCAAAACTAGGGTCCTTTTTTGGGGTATCCTTAATATTAGGTCCCGTACTATATTAGGGACCCAAAAAGGGACCCTAGTATTGACAACCACCCACATGATATGCTGTATAACATCGGCCCTTCGAAAAGCCTAGGACAATCTGGCGGCCGAAGCTTCCTACACCCAGTACCCTAGCCTTATAGGGTTTAGGATTAAGGGTTTCTGATAAAACGGTTTAGGGGTTAGGGTTTAGGGGTTTACGGGTTTAGGGTGTAGGGGTTTAGGGTTTTAGGGTTTAGGGGTTTGGGGGTTTAGGATGAAGGGTTTGTGGCTTAGGGTTTGGGGCCCTACACCTTGTACCCGGCTCGAGTCCCGAAAGGGCGCCGAGCAAGGGAAGCCAAGTATCCAGACAGGCGCAAGAAGACCAATTTATCCCAAAGGCTCCCGGGGCTCATACTGTTGATGGCCAAAATCCTGCATTACCCATTATAAGGAATATACCATAGTTCCCATAGTTTAGAGTCCTCATGCAGGATTCTGTCCATCAGCAGTAGCATAAGGTTTCTAGGCGCAAAGACCATACAGGACCCTGCTTTATGCCAGACCTCGGGGCTATTCGGAGCCTTCGGGTTTCCATTGCTGCCGAGCGATGTAAAAACTCAGATGCTTTGCGAGAGAGAAATCAAGCTGAAGGTCTCAGGATCCACCACATGACCTGAAAGCGCGTGATCCCGAAGCACCGCACTACCCATCTGTGTGAAATCTGTACTGGCAGTTTCCGAAATAGGGGCAAAATCAAGTCCGCAAAACAAGACTTGCTGGCGCTTTTTTCAGGCGGACGGTGGACGGTGTAATTTTGGATCCTGCGCGTTTGTAGGGGAAAGTGGAGGGCTGGACACAGCTGGAGGGAGCGAAGGGGGTATAGGACTGGCAGAGACAGGGGAGGGGCCGTGCGCATTCCAAGCCCAATGCGGACATGTTCTGGGTACTGTAGATAGCCTAAGACTAATAATACCAGTTTAATAGTAAATTTCATTAGAATGGGACAAGAGGCTTGGAGGAAAACTGCGGGATAGCCCTTAAATGACTCTTCCCCTCAGCCTGCCGGGGTTGCCAGAGCATCCCTGACTGCGGTATTACCAACTCCCATTAAAGTCCCTACGCCCTATAAATCCTGAACCCTAAACCCTAAACTGCCTGCCATTTCCTGTGCCAGGTCTGCAAGCTGTCGGGCAAGACGGACATAGAGCTGACAGGCATTGAAGCGAATTGTAAGGGAGGTTTTTGAGCTCTACAGGGTTTGGGGAAAACCCTACACCCGAAACCGCTAAACCCCTGAAAACACAAACCCTTAAGAAAACCTTTATGAGCCCCCAAAGAACCCTTCTTTCCCAGTGAACCCCTGCAAATCCCTGATGAACCCGGTTGGCTCCAGCAGCAGAGCCCATAATGCACTACCCCTGATTAACCTTGATGGTAGCCTCACAGTAACCCTCAAGCCCAAACTCCAAACCCTAAACCCTAAACAAAAGCCGCAACCCAAAACCCAAAAACCCTAAACCCTAAACCCTAAACCCTAAAAGCCTAAACCCGTAACCTCTACGCCCCCTGGGCCCCACGCTCGCGGGTGCGTGAGGCCCTGCGCGATGCTTCGAGGATGAGGCCGGCTAGAGCAGCTGCCCAGAGCGATCACTAAAGGGTTTAGGGTTTACGGTTTAGGGTGTGTGTACGTATAAAGTACATATACACACACATGCATGCATGCATGCATATGTATATGTGTATGTCTATGCCTATGTCTATGTATATGTGTATGTCTATGCATATGTGTATGTCTATGTATATGTATATGTAGACGTAGGTGTAGGTGCAGATGTAGGTGTAAATAGACGTAAATACGCATGCATACCTACATACCACACATATAAGCTCGTGCACATACATACGCATATGATCGCATATGCATACATATGTACTGTGTACCGCTCCAATCGTTGCCATTCTTTCTTCATTTCGATGGGGAGTGCTGTTGTAAAAACAATATGGGTCGATAGCAACGACCTGGCCATGCTAGTTTTAGCCGGAACGTTCCAGTCTGGTACGACTATGAACACGAGGATGGCATCTTTGTGTGTGGTTTTGTGGTGCTGATGATGGTGTGGAGAAGGATGCTGATGAGGATGACTGTAACAATGATAATGATAAGTAGGACGATGATGATGATATTCATGACGACTCGGATGCTCTCGTTGACGCTGCCCGCGAGCTTGCTACACCAGGTGACTGTTCTTCTGATGATGCCGCTCGCTTTTATGAGGTTGTGAGGCATTAATGTAGGGGCATAAACAATTACCAATACTGTAGGTTATAGTGTAATATACCCCAAAGCCCTATTGTAATCATTAAGGCCCCTGTATTGCGGGTTTCCATCAGGCTGGCTGGTGGAGGCCTTCGGGGTTTGGGTTCCTGCCGGTCCGGGTGCAGCACGCAAAGTGACTTTAACTCCGCTGCAAGCATAGCAGAAAGTCCCCACTAGCTTGCAGAAGCGAAAACCAGATCATGAATTTGGAAAGGATGCTGCCTTCGAAGCGATCATGGCGGGCCGCATCCAAAAAGGGGTCCTGGCCTTACTCGCAACTGTCTGTCTCAGCTTTGCACGGAGTCTATATTGGTATTGAGGCCTTCAAGGGTTAGCGAAGCGTTTCAGAATCTCTTTCAAGGCACCTAAAGAGTTACCACGAAACACAGACCCTAGCACAGGCTGCAGTGTTGTCCTCGTTGTTTGATTCGCAGCTGAGGCTAAGTGCCAGAGGATCCTCGTAGTAGAGTAGGGAACCTTTAACCTCTTCTTGGGTAGACATAACCCCTATATAACAAAAAAAGGTTAACCTTTAGTTCCCAATGATACCCGACAAGTAGGAGATCGCAAAATATGCCAGAAGCTTCAGTTTTTTTAGTTTCAGGCCCCGTCTGGTCTTCGCTGTTGCGAGCGAGCCCCACTAGATTCTGTCCCCAGAGTTGAGAATTTGGGGGCCGAAGCTGCGAAGATCAAATGGAGGAAAGCCAGAGCCCAAACCCCGCAAATCCTGCAGCTCTAAACTTTAAACCTTCAATCCTGAATCCCTCCAAGCTAAGAGCCCACAACTCCCAAATCCTGCGGCCTTAAACCTAACCCCTCCAATCCTAACCCCCTCCCCCCCAACCCCCAAGAGGTCCCCAAAGCAGAAAATGGACCGCCCTGAGGACGTTCTGGTCATCCGCTTCGAGGGTCCGAGAGGCTCCCCCGGCATGCCAGAGGCCGGTGCTTTTCGCTTCGTCTCTTTCAGGGTAACGGCTTAGAGCTTAGGGTGTAAGGTTGAAGGCTCCGGGTGTAAGGTTTTTAAGGCCCAGGGTTTAGGGTTTAGGGCCTGGGGTGTAAGGTTGAAGGCTCAGGGTGTCGGGTTTAGGGTTTAGGGCTGAAGGCTCAGGGCTTAGGGTTTAGGGGTGAGGGCTTAGGGCTTCGGGTTCAGGGCTTAATGGCTTAGGGCCTAGGGGCTCAGGGCTTTGGGTTCAGGGCCCAGGGTGTAGGGTTTGGCGGCCTAGGTTCAGGGCTCAGGGTTTCAGGGGCCTTAAGGTTTTGGGGGCGTGTGGCAGGGTGCAATGTTTTCCGGTCGATCGGGCTTGGATTTTAGGATTTACGGCTTCGGGTTCAGGGTTGTGGTCTATGGGCTTTCTAGTCTCAACCATGCACCTCGAAGTGTACCACGACTCCAGAACCCAGAACCCAGAACGGGACAACCCCAAGTATGAGCTTAAATCAAAGATCTGAGATTGGAATCTTCACCCGCCCTAAACCCGAAAGCCTTTAGACCAAAAACGGTTTCTTTTCAAACCTAAGAACGAGTTCCTGTACCCCTAAACCCTACACCCCCAATCCTGAACCCTCCCTTAACTCAAAATCCTTCAGCCCTGGTTTATATAGAAATATACATACACACATTACACTAAATAAACAAAAAATAGAGAGATATATATATATATATATATGTATGTATGTATGTATGTATGTATATATGTATATATAAATAAGTATGTATATACACACACACACATATTTTTGGCAAGTTATGTATTACTGTCTTTTCGCGGGCAGATGCTCAGCCCCGGCGCCGCCTTGGTGGGCTCCGGGCTCGGCAAAGACGTGGCCCTGGTCACCGACGGCAGGTTCAGGCCGGCGATGCGCTTTTTGTTTAGGGTTTAGGGTTTTAGGGTTTAGGGTTTGGGTTTAGGGTTTTAGGGTTTTAGGGTTTTTTGCTTTTCGGACTCCGTCTTGCTCTTTTTTTTTTTCCAGTGTTCGATGTTGCTTGTCAGGGTTCTTAATCAGTGTACATTGTCGCCAATGATATACTTATAATGTTTTTTTTTTTTGGGGTGGGGGGGGTGGGTGGGCAGTGGTTGAAAGTAGCCATGGCATGCTTTGTGTCAGTGTTAAGGGCCATGGGGATTGTGTAAGGGTTTGTTTCCAACCCCCTTCTGCTTTCGACAACCCGAAACCCTAAACCCTAACCCCTAAACCTCAAGTCCTGAACGTCTCCTCTTGCTTGCAGTGGCGCTTCCCACGGCATCATGGTGGGCCACGTGACGCCCGAGGTCGGAGGCTTAAGGTTTAGGGTTGAGGGCGGTTGAGGGTTTCGGGCTTAAGTTGCCAGCCACGCCTCGAAACGATTGTTGGTGAGTAGAATGAAGGCTTTCGCAATGACCAATATCAGCTTTTCATCTTCCTAATCATGGTTGTGTAATTATGCACACCGAAACCCAACTCTACTCGAACTCTAAAGGTCCCTATGTTAGGGTTACTCGAGAGTGACAGGCCAGAGGTTTGTAGCTTCCCTAAAATAAACCCGACACTTTACATCCCAAACCCAGACCCCCAGACGCAGGACATCATCTTTGGAGTGTTGCCCGTAAAGTCTGGCAGGGGATGTGATAGAAATGCCTCGTAATCCAGCAAGCAACCTTTCATCACTTGGGGTATCATAAACCTTGTACAGGCTAAAAGGTTCACTTTTAGTTCCCCTTCAGAATGGGACAAGAAGGAACAATGCAATAGTCATGCCCAGAATGATTCTGGTCTAATTGCGGAAGTCACTATCTAACTATAGCTGCAAATTCAGGGATTTCTCCGCATCATCAACATCCTGCCCCACAATAGTTCGGGTCATCACATGCGCTCATCACCCTTACCATCGCCATTACCAGCACAGATACCATCATGACTACCGACCATCATCATCATCATCGTGATCATCATCATCATCGTCATCGTCACCAGCATAGTCATCATCACCATCGTCAGCATGATATCACTGCAGTCATCGTCTTGATCATAATGTCGCCATCATCATCATCATCTTCTTCTTCAGCATAACATCATCACAGTCATCATCTTGATCAGAACATCGTCGTTATCATCGTCAGCATCGTCAGCAGCATCTCATCATCATCGTCGTCATCGTCATCACGGTCACCATCATGAGCGTCATCACCAACATAATCGCCATGAGCACCGTTCTATGATCCTCCGGTCGTAGTAGGAGCAGCAGAGCAATTGCTCTGTCTACAAGATAGATGTAGGGCGAAGTGTATTATTTGAGCAATCACACGTGAGCGTAGTCACAGTCGTGGCACCGGTAGCAATCAGGCTTGTGTCAATGGTCACGGTAGGAGTATTGCCACAGTAGGCCCGCCAGTAGCGATTGCTGTTGGTCGCTTCTTGCCATGATTCGGAGTTGTATTGAGCTTCGCCAGCCACTAGACTCAGGCGTACATGTTTGCCGTTCGTGTATCAGCTGTTACCACATGTAGTTCCATTTCTGCTTTCCCCTGATCTTGCGTTCTGGAAGTTTTTATGCGCTTCGTTCATTCTTCGTCTTTTACGCTGCCTTTGTTGCTGAAGCTGTCGTTGTGGTCATCTTGCCGTTGCCCTAGCCCTGAACCCTAAAACCTCAAAGCCGAACCAAAAACCGCAAGCCCCAAGGCTTCATGGTAACCGAGCAACCCTTGTAGTAGCCAGTACAGCAACCCTTGTGACTCTGTGAACTGCAAAGGCCGCGGCTGGTGGCCCGATAGGATTGCTTGTGGAAGGCGACATGGTGACAGTGCCCCTCGGCGGCGAAGCAGCGACTTAGCGTCTGAGGGTCTCAGATCTAAATTATTCTCCTGTGGAGCTTCCGAATGATTCCGACTTGATTGCAGCGAAATCCGGCTAACCAGCGGGTGAGCCACGACCCCCAGATGCAAAGCCATGCTTTAACACAACCCCCCCAAAATCAAAATCTCAGGCCCAACTCCACAACCACAAAAGCTTCAAACTCTGCACCCTAAGCCCTAAAGCTCTCGCCCCAAGACTGTAGTTCTTACCCCAAACGGGATCCTAGGTGAGGTGATGGTATGTAGTGCTAAGTCTGAAGTAGTTGAGAAGTTGAGAAGTAGAGTTTTAAGTTCCCGAAAAGGGATCCTAGTTGCGGTTATGACACTTACAATTAAGTTGAAAAATAACTACTCACTCTAGTGGACGATGCCCAAGGGATTTGAGACGCATGACTCTTGTGTCCTCATTGTCACCACTGTCAGCATACTTACCTGGCTGTTTGTAGAAGTGTCAGCGATCGTCGCAGTGGTAGGGTAGAAGGAATAACAAGGACTAGTGCTGGCAAACTACAAACCACGAACAGCAAACTGGCCCAAATCCTAAACCCTTCGGTTTCCGAGGCGGCCAGCCACCCGAGAACTCTCGGTGGCCGTCTCTGACGAGGACGACTTGGCGACGCGTCGTCATCGGGTCATAGTCTGGCGTAGTACCATATAGTATAGCAGTATAAAATCGAGTATAGTAGAGCTTAGAGGATCGCATGACCACGTGTCGTATAGTGTAATGTGGTACAGTATAGTAGAAGTTAGTAAAACTAGTACAACATCGTGTGCGTGGTAGTGCTCCTCACGTCCTGCTTTCTTCCGCCTCACCCTCCTCTTCCGCAAAGGCAAGCTGCCTTGTTTGTATGTATGCATGCTTGCCAGCGTGCCTATCTGCATGTCTGAGTATGTATGTATGTGTGCATGCATGGATGAATGTCGGCACACATGCGAGTCTCGCAACTCCTGATGAGGCGTAGTTTCACAGGCATCATTGTCATAGTTCAGTATATACATGCCTAGGGTGGTACATGCCTGCCTGTATGCATATGCATGCATGTGTGCACCAACAAAGTCTCAAGGTTTGGAGGTTCTCCGGACAAGCCCTAAATGTAAGCTCTTTACAGCGCTGGTCTACAAGAAACCCGTTCCAACACATTACCCAGGTGAATAGCTCGAGAACGGAGTATGACGCATCATAAGAGCTGCTTCATCCTAGTGCTCTGCGACCTGCGGATGAAGTGTGGGGGTGTTTCCACAGGCTAGGGTGTCCTTCAAGCGGCTGCTTCTACCCAGGAGCTACAAAACCACGGCAAGGACCATATCTTGTAGAAGCCTAAACGTTTCATCCGTAACCCTAGACTTAAATTCCTACCCAAACTGCTGAGCCCCATAACCTGAACCCTGAATCCTAACTCCCAGATACCGTAAACCGGCAACTGCAGCCCACAGGAGCTGGCGAAGCGGCGAGCGGAGTGGCGGCCACCAGCAGCCAGGCCTTGCATGAACCTACGTGTCTACGTATGAGGCCTGGGTTTTAGGTCAAGGGTCTAGGGCTTTAGCAGACTTTCGAGTTTCTTTAGGAGCTTCCGAACTTCAGAAGATAAGGGGCATGGCTATAAGCCCTGAGTAGTAGGATCCGTATTGTAAGTGCCCCTGTACCCCAGTTTGGGATTGTAAGACATCTTCCATTACAGTGTTTTCCAGCCGGATACAGAGGTATACTAAATCATATCTGGTCAGATCTTGTGCTACGGACAACACCGAAGGAGGCCCAATAATACTTCACAGCTTCTGTCCGAGGTTGAAATACTTTTGATGCTAGTCTAAGCAAGTGAGAGATAGCTATTCTGTAGTATCTCGTAGTAGTATGCTATAATGTGTGTTGCAATCAACGAACAGTCAGTAGCAGCAGCGGTTCTGCAAGCGACATGTGAGCGTTTGTCAAAGTTTGTACGGTCCCAGTACTGTAATTTGCATCACCATAAGCAAAGAGGTGCTGGAGTATATGGCCAGACCAGACCATTAAGAATCTACAACACAGTACCAAAAACATGCAGTAATGCGCAAGGTTTTAGAATCACGAAGGCGAGCATAGCATGATGCTCGACACCGGAAAGTTTGACGTTATTTCACCCACTACGATGCTCGTCGATTGTTGCTGTCGTAGCAATCTGAAGTAGCAGCAACAAGATGGCAGGTATATGGTGTTCAGACTACCACCTAAGGTTCTGTTCAAGCATGACAGAAAGCTTCACCAAGCAACCCCGCTACAGTAGCTCCCAAGATGCCAAGAATGGCAGTAAAGTTATGACATGGCATAATGCCACAAGCCGTGAGTGTTTCAAAAGCCACAACTCCCAAATCCCAAATTACATATTGCAGCCTGTGTTGGTTCTCTGACCCCTTTGTTTGGTACCGCTAAATGCCACATAGACCCTTTTTCACCCTCATCCCAAAACCCTAACACCGAGACCCCAACTCTAAACCAATAGCTTGGCTTAGAAGGGGACCCCACCCTGTAATAGTAGTATAATAGGAATATACTAGGGCCCTAATATAATCCTTATAGTCACTATTACAGGGTGGGGGCCCCTTCTAAACCAATAGCCGTGGGAGGCCAGGGACTTTTGGTGTCCTGGCAAAGTACGCAGCGCAGGCGCCCGAAAAACCCTCCCACGCCAAGGGCTCACATGGGAATTCCAAACGAACCAGTGGACCTGATAAGCCACGGGATGCTACAGAAGTCCCGGCATTTTCGGGCGTTCCTGCCGGAGCCCGAAGACCGTGCTATGTATGTTTGCCGAAAATGGTGCACTTTCAGCCTCAAGACGAGCTGATGGGTGACCTTAAACCTCAAATTCTAGTCCCTACTCTTTAAATGAACCCTAAACGCCCTTAGCAGTTGGATAGCTAAGGGAAGAGCTCAAGAAGTGATAGTTGTCCGTAGTAATTTACGTGTCTTGGTTAGATTTAAGGTTGCGCCATTGGTCTCTGTTGCTTTGGGTCTTTTCCACCCAGGATTTCGGCCCCGTTGTTTCGGTACCCAGAGCAACACATCGACAGGCGCGCAGACACCGTGACATTTATGTACGTAGGTCGGTCTGTATGCATGTGTGTCTGTATGTTTGTGGGTCTGTAGCTCTGCAGGTCTGTATGCACGCACGCATGCATGCATGCATGCATGGATGTATGTAGGTGTGTAGGTCGGCAGGTATGTAGGCATCTAGGTATGTAGGTGTTAGGCATGTAGGTGTGCATGTATGCAGCTATGTATATATGTATGTACGTATCTATTTATGTATGTCTGTATACATGCAGTGCAGCGCAGTGCCGGGCAGCTCAATGCAGTGCAGTTTAAGCGAGTGTAATGGACTGTATCCGTAATTGCCAATGCAAACGTTCATGCAGTTGTACATGTAATGTAGTACATACATACATATGTGCATGCATGCATGCATACATACATATAGACAGGCAGACACACAGGCAGACACACATACACACGTGCACACTCATACGCACATGAGGTCGTGTATATATACATACACATACAAGTACGTACATTCAGATGTGCTTGAATGCATGCATACATACATAGGCATACATACATACATACATACGTACATACGTGTATACATACACATATACATATCCTTATCCATGTACATATCCATGTCTTTATATATACATATATATATATATATATACATATTTATGTTTATTTGTATATGTATTTGTATAGACATATATTTACATATACATACACATATACATACACATATACATACACATATACTTCCACATATACATATACATTTACATATACATCTACATCTACATCTACATCTACATATATGCATACATGCATACATACATACAACACAAGTTCACCTATTTTGTATAAAGAAAATATGTGTATATGCAGCACATATATATATATATATATATATATATATACAGGACCGGGACACGAGGACCCTAAACACCTGAACCCTGAACCCACCCCGAGCCGCTTTGGGCTTCAGGGTTTGGGCCGTACCTTGCTGGAACACTGGAAGGTCAGATCGGCCCACGTCGGGGCGACCACTTCGTGAGATGCGGGTTTCCAGTCTCTGCACGTAGGCTGTGGTCTCCAGAAGATGGGGGTCGTTCTGACTTAGGCCCTTTGTAGGAATCCTTGCAAGGCGCTGGATTCGGGTTGCAAAGGTTTGAGTATGGCTGGTGCGGCATCAAGACTTGCAGGCTTTTCATAAGCAAAGGACTACGTGCATTGATAAAAATCGATGGGAACAGAACCCCCCGCCCCCCCAGATCTCAGTTCGGACGGTTCCAGCGGCAACAGCTGCTTTAGTGTTTTATGACTGGCTACGCCGGGCGACCAGCCCAAGTGCCCGAGTGTCCAAAGTGACCTCTAAACGTGCTGACAATGACTCAGCTCTGTTTGTGAAAACTCTCTGTGGAGCTTCCGCATCCTCCGTGCTGTTTCTCCGTGCTGTGTTGTCTTGCTTCGCCGAAACGGGTGGTTGTCCAAATTAGGGTCCCTTTTTGGGTCCTTATTAGAGTATGGCACCTAATATTTAGGGTACCCAAGAAGGGGCCCTAATTTTGACACAGACCCGAATGGATTTGCGCAGGTACATCGCGTCCATCTCAACGATCCGAAGCTGCATCACCTTGACTTCGCGTGCTTCTGCATTCCCGCAGGCCGCATGGGACCCAAGCTGGGACCCTACCTATAGTCTCCATTGTAGTTCCTTTTCTTGGTGTAACCAAGTATATAACTAGGATCCTATAAGGTAACCGCAAAAAGACACTACAATGAAGACTATAGGTAAAGTCTAATAATTGTCCACCCTTTACCGTTGAGAGTCTTGCAGAGGCACGAAAATTGCAGCACCGTAGACGACACTTTTCTTGAGGCGACACTTCTCCTGGTCCCAAAGCCAACCAAGATTTTCTTTTCCGCCTATTTTTGGTGGGGCTTTTTGACTTCTTGTGCTACGCCTGGAACCTAGCCCCGCAACCATGCACCCTGAAGCCAAAACACTCTCTACATATGTCTTGCCATAAATATAGATACGAACATACAGCAAAAGACAGAAGCGAAACCAATGAGCCTTTATGGTCCTGCTGCTTCTTTGTCCAATCCTGGTTAGTCCGCAAATCCTAAAGCCTCGTCAGTCCGTGCCCATGAAGCTCCAAGACCCTTGACCTAAGGAGTGTACCACAATCATAGTCATAGATAGCAAGCCTCATAGTGATCGTTGTGGGGATCCAGTCGTAATAGAGACTATAGTAAGCCTCATGGTAGCCCTTGTCGTGACCCCTTTTGCTGCACGGGATCTCGGTATCTTCCTGAGCTTCTAGGGAGCCTCAGGTAGCCCCTCGGCGTCTATCTTTTTCTTTAGGGTTTAGGGTTGGGTTTAGGGTTTAGGGTTTAGGGTTTTGGGTTTAGGGTTTTGGGTTGTTCTTATGGCAAGAGCCGACACACACACACAATCACCAGTAGCGAAGCAAAGAAGAAAAGCGGGATAAGCATCGGGATAAGCATCGTGAATGAAGGAAGAAAGCGAGGAACGCATAGGACTACGGGGGGTGAGGGTGATATCAAGCGGCATTGCGCGGGTCTGAGCGATCGAACCCTGCAAAACCCTTAGATCCCTCAGCCTGCACAAAACCCTACGTAATTCCCTGAGCCCCAAACCCTACAGTAAGCCCTAATGTAGGAACCTGATTAAGAAACCCTGGGCCTCTAACCCCCAAAACAATGGATTCATACAAGGAACCCGAATAAAGGCCCAAGGTTTCTTACTTAATCACGTTCCTGAAATCGAAACCCCCCAAAAGCACCTTACTTACAGTAAGCCCTACGGAAAGCGAGCTTGCCCTCCCACCATGCCAGGTGAGCAGGAACCAAGGCTCTCTGATGTGTCTGGGGTTTGGGGTTCAGGGCTTTAGGGTTGAGGATTTGGTGTTTCGGCTTAGCGTTTAGGATGAAGGGATTTGGGGGTTTTAGCTTTCGGGTTTTCGGGTTGGATTCAGCATTCTCCGGTTTTGCATTTCCACACCACTTTGCTTGCTCACTTGCTCGCCTCTGGCATACTCGTGGCAACCGAGGCTTCAAAGCTAAAGCTGTAAGATTAAAAAGTCATGCTTTGCTGAGCTGCTGGCATTTGTCTTCCGGTGGCAGTAAGTTATATACGCAAAACATCATGCAGAGAAGGTCTGAGGAGATGGCTGCCCAAGCAATGCAGGGATGCTTTGGGCAGGGGCTTGGCTGTTCATCTACCAAATTTCATATGATGGCGACGCCGATGTCCTTTGCTCGCGGGCGGATGACCCCGCGGAAGACCAGACAGGCCAGGCGGAGATTCGTAATCGAGGTTGCCATATTTGAGTACATGGGAGATGAGGCAGGTTAGGCATGATTTCTGAGGAGCCAACTGTAAATTATAATCCAGTGCTTCGGAGTAGCTCTTATTCCAGGTCATGTCGGGCATGTTGAGTGTTGTTTCATTGTTGTGGTGACTGCCCGTGCTGCATGCTCTCGTTGGGGTAGCAGGGTTCTTCCTGCAATAACTGGACTCAACATCGTCCGCTTCGGCACTTGGCTTGCCTTTCTGTTCACCTCAAAGGACAGATTATGTCATTATGTGCGTTAAGTTCCATGAAGAAGAACTGACGCTCATTTGCTGATGCTCATGCTGGGAGAGCACGGGGCAGCGGCGATGTGTGATGGTGCTGCTGCTGCTGCTGCTGCTGCCGGTACTCCTCCTGGTTCTGCTGATGACGGCGAAGAGGGTCCCATGGAGATGGTGATGATGAGATTTGCAATTCGGTGATGGTGATGATTCTTTTGGTATGCTACACTGGCTGTCGCCGAGTTTGTCATGCCTAGCTCACAGCGAGCCATTAACACAGGTAGAGGAGCCGGTCACCCAAGTGGAGGAGCCTGTCGCACAGATTGAGGCAGGACGTGCGCAGAGACATGTTAAGTGGGTTGGGCTGGGCAAGTCAAAGAAAGCTGCAGTGTGGCGGCCAGCAGGGGGGGGGGGTTGGGGGATTGGGGTGGGCGTTGTAGATATGCTGGCGGAAAAGTTAGGGACGTAATCCCGAGGCTGCTTTCTGAGGGTGCCTCTGCAACTGCCTAGGCCGCCAGACGGACTGCCAGGAGTCCATCCCCAAAGGAGGACCTGTGATAGTGCAGGTCTCTGTCACTGCTCTACTTTCTGGGTGTCTCTGTAGATTCGCGGCATCCTCCCCTGTTTTTGTCTGAAATGTCGGGATTCTTCCTGGCTCTAGCACCCTGCTTATGTGCTGTGACCAGAGCGTACCACAGCATTCAAACACCATCCTGGTGGCTCTGACCTGAACCGCTAAGCCGCGAAGCCCTGCGCCGAAGACAAGGCCCCAAGACTCTAAGGCCGATGTTAACTTTCCTAAAGGTTTACGGTTTAGAGTTTAGGGTTTAGGGGCCGAATCCTTCACGGTTAGGGATAGGGCTTGAGGGTCTAGGGTGCAGGGTTCGTGGGTAGCTAGCCTGAACCCTACATCCCTTGATCCTCTAGATAGCGAGGGACCCCTGCAAGGACGCCAGTTCACGGGACTCCTCGCGGACGGCCTCGCCAGAGGATTGCCCACTCGGAGTTTGTTTCATTTCAGGGTTTTGAGAATTTTTCTGGACCTTTTTGCAGACTTTACTGTCGCTTGTCCCAATTTATGAAGGCCCCTACATTTCCGAAGAGTGGCCACTTGTGAGGACTCCTACCGCGTACCATCTCCCGAGCCCGTGGGCAGAGACGTGCTGGCGCAAAGCCGCTCGCAGTCTCCGGACTCCAGCGACTTCGATTTTAATCTTATTTTTGGTTAGTAGGGAATGGAAAATGGTAGTAATAGTAGTGATAGTTGTACCCCATTCCTCCATTCCCTACTAACCCAAGGTAAGCAATGCCAGAGACTTCGATTTTAATGCAGATGAGTAGTTGTCAAAATTAAAGTACCCTTTTTTTGGGTACTCTAAGTATGAGGTGCCGTATTATAATATGGACCCAAAAAAGGACCATCATGTTGACAACCACCCAGATGATGGCAAGGTTACACAAGGTTTTGTTAATTTGCTTATGATGATATAGGACTTTTAGTTCTCCAATGCCCAAATGATAGTATGTCATAAGGTTCTGTCATATGACAGAATGATAACGTATGATTTTTGCTCGCCAATGCCCAAAGGATAATAAGGTTGTATAAGTACGAGGTTTTGTTATATGACAGTATGATACTATGGGTTTTCACTCGCCCAACCTTTCGACTCTTCAGACTCTCTGGGATCTCATGGTTCAGCCCTTTTCACTTTCTTGGGGATGTTAAAGTGTAGTCCTTTAGACTTTGTGGGGCCTTCTGGCGTAAACCCTCTAAGCTTGTTTGGGATCTTATCGTTTAGTAGAAATCTGAACGTTTAAGCTGTTCATTGTTTCCGTGACTCATTAGAAAAGCAAGGAGATGTGCGGCGGATGCCAGTGCGCTTGGAGCCGGGAAGGTGGTGTAGGGTTGAGGGTTTAGGCTTAACGAGTTTTGGATTTTTGGGGTTGAGGGTTTAGGGGCGAGAAAAGCTGAGCACGCATGACTGTGTTCCACAAGACTGTTCCGTGAGTGTGGAGTTGTGCTTCATGGGGCCTGCATTGGTCGGGGTAAGCAAGCCTTGCAAGTTGTCTCATGTCTGCGATGTTTCTCGTCGTCTTGAACGCTCCTGAAACCATCACGAAAACAGGAAGACTGAATGAGCCATGCCATTGCAAGCCTTTCCGTGTTGCTTCAAGAACCCCAGTTCTCGTGATTGGTTTGATATGTTTGGGTTTTCATGAGTTTCGAATCGAAACCTTTTTTTCCACAGCACATGCTCTCGGAATGATTGGGCTATCAGCTCCAATGACTGCTAGTTTCTTGAAGACGCACAGACTCTCCACAATCGCAACCCCCCCCCCCCCGGCAGAATGTCAATAACGGCCTGAAATTATCTCGATTCGAACCGAGTAGTGGTCGTGACAGCAACACGAGTAGCACAATCCTGATAGAAGGCACCGAGTGAATTATCGAAGTCATCATAGAAGGTGCGAATGATCGAAGTGATCATCACAGATGCATAGCGATCACAACGGTCTTCATCAGGATTAACAGGGGTCGTCGAAGCGAAGCAGGTTCAGTCAACCCTGCAGCACTGTATCCTGGCGCTAGCAAGCAGTAGGAAAGGAAGGACTGAGATTCGTCTTGGTAGAAATTGTTGTCGTAGTGCAACGTCGTCTTCGTCATAGAAGTCTGAAGTAGAAGCAGCAGTTCAAGCAGAAATAGAAATACAAGCGGCAATGATACATTGTAGTACATAGTGTTTCTTTAAGTTTTGGCGGTAGCTGCAGCAGCAAGGACTAGCTTTCGCTTCCTGCTTCTAGTACTAGTACTAGTACTAGTACTAGTACTAGTACTAGTACTAGTACTGGTACTATTACTACTACTACTACTACTACTACTACTACTACTACTACTACTACTACTACTACTACTACTACTACTACTACTACTACTACTACTACTACTACTACTACTACTACTACTACTACTACTACTACTACTACTACTAACTACTACTACTTCTACTACTACTATTTCATTCCAATCGCAGCCGGTCACTCAGCTTGGCGTCAGGTGTGTGTCAGTGCTTTGCACCGGTGCTTCAAGAGCACTGAGACCACATGGGCAAGTTCCGCTACGAATAGCTGCAAACTTGCGACCTACTCAACATGTCAAGAGAATGGTGCACCAGTGCACCCTTCACTCGATCAAAAGAGTGCAAAATCAGGTAAATAGAAAGCGAAGACGTAAAACGTCAAAAAAGTCGTAGAGCTATTGACATCGCTACATCCGTCTGTTATGGCATCTTGCGTTGATCATTATGTTTCTCTGTACAAAAGTGTAGTCATAGTCCTGCGAATTGCAGTGGCCCCAAGAGGGCACACTGAGGACCACGTTCAGCACCCTGTAGTCCTGTGAACTGCAAGTGGCTTTTGGAAGGCACACTGAGAACCCTGTAGTTCAGTACCCAAGGGAGGTCCGGCCGCAGAGCATCGCCGGAACACAGCTTTCTCGCACATACTAACTGTGACCTGGAGGGGCGTAGCCAAAATCCAGACCACATCTCGAAGCATACGTGGGGCCGGGACCCAGTGCGGGCCATCCCAGGATGGGGTAGGTTGCCGCCGCCGGCTTTCGGTCAGCATTCGGGACAAGGCAGCGATGATCTGCAGCTACACACTCCTCGGGTATCTGAAGGAAACGAAAAGTACACGGGTACAAAGGTTGCGCTTGGCCATGTCGAATAGCTCTATTGCAAGCTCGCACAAAAGATCTCTTGACACATCGATTCCACTGATGAGTAGGTTCCTGCTTCCCATCTGTGACCTGTACTCCGTTTAGCTTCGGCACTTGAAGTCGTCGCTGATAGGCAAGGAAGTTGCCTTCCCCAGCTCCAACGGAGAGAGCTGGAACCCTCACACTGTGGGACACCTGACAATGTAGCAATATAAGTAGAGTCGTCAGTCGGCATCCCACCCCGGACTTGGGACCGGGCCGGCTATCCATAAGGAGGTGTGGCACTGTGGACTCAATGGGGCGGCCTGACGGCGCGCGCCCAGGAGGAATGCGGGTGGCATCCACGTTATGCTTTCGCCAGCTGCAGGAAAAGTCGCGCCAACTCCTGGCTGCTGGTAGACACGCACTTGCAACGGGCCAGCACCCAGTGCCCACAGACAGTGGCACGAAGGCACAGGTAGCCGCAGGTAGCCTTTCTCCGGTCACAGGAGTCTGTGCTGGTATGGCTGTCGGGCACCTAGACTGACGCGTTGGCAGGCCAGGGGCAAAGGCATACAGTCGACCCATGCGCCCTTTGCTGGGGCCAAGAGGCACCCAGCTGGCGAGCATGCACTCAATGGGGCGGCCTGACGGCGCGCGCCCACGAAGAAAGCGAGTGGCATCCAGGTCTTGCTTGCGCCAGCTGCAGAAAAAGTTGCGCCAACTCCTGGCTCCTGGTAGACACGCACTTGCAACGGGGCTAGCTCCCCGTGCCCACAGACAGTGGCACGAAGGCAGAGGTAGCCTTTCTCCGGTCACAGGAGTCCGTGCTGGTACGGCAGGCGGGCACAGAGACTGACGCGTTGGCAGGCCAGGGGCATGAGGCATTCAGTCGACCCATGCGCCCTTTGTTGGGGCCAAGAGGCACCCAGCTGGCGAGCGTCAACAGTAGCGCTAGCGCGGCTCGCTGCACTAGGAATGTGATCATCGCGTTTCGGAGCCGGACTCCACCGCAATGTTTGCTCCATGGCATGGATGCTACCACCTCCACAACTATGAGTCCCGCTGCTGGGACACAGCTGAGCCGGAGTGCTTTCTACTACTACCACTACTCCTTCTACTACTACTACTACTACCACTACCACTACCACTACCACTACCACTACCACTACCACTACCACTACCACTACCACTACCACTACCACTACCACTACTACTACTACTACTACTACTACTACTACTACTACTACTACTACGACCATTACTACTACTCACAATAGAGTTTCAATCTGAGTAATGATTCAGCATGCTCACAATTGTCAGAACACAAAGAATAACGGTAGTCATAGCAATAGTAGCAATATTTACATCGATAGAAATACCACGAATAACAATAGTAACAACAATAAGAACAACAGTAGTAATCATCAAGTATCAACAACTTGTTAATAAGAAGAACAGGAACAAATGGTAATCAGACTAACAGCAATAGTTTGAAGACCAACAGCAATAGTAAGAACAATAACACCAAGAGTAACCAGCACGATAAACAAGACAACATGTAAAGTAAACGTAGCAGTAGTCGATACTGACAACAACAATAACAATGGATAAGAGTGAGAATTAAAAGCAACACATTAGTGCCAAGTATCCACGATTAACAAGCATAAGAACGATGATGCAAACCATAATAATTGTGACAATGCTTGGAGGCCCCCGGAGGCAGCAGCGAGAGTTTCTTTCAGTGCGCCTGAGCGCCAGCCAATATTGAGGTCTGCTTTGATTGCTCAGGGTTTACAGTAGGGTTGAGGGTTTAGGGATATAGGGATGTAGGGATTAGGGTTTAGCTGTTTAGCTTTTCGGGCCCAGGGTTCTCGGCTTATTGTGTTTCTTATTCAAGCAGGACGGTATGTGCCCCGAAGCCTTAACCTTCCTAATCATAAGTATTGTTTCGGGGACGGCTGAAATGGACACCTATTGAACTCTAAACCCTTAAATCCTATACCCTAAACCCTAAAGCGGGCAGGCAAGTCCCCTGCTTTGTCATGCAGAGCGGAGAAAGATCTATTGCACCTTCACCTAGGCTTAAACCTTAACTTTCTCTACTTATGTATATTCAAACCTCAATGCTCCCCAGGTTCTCGTCTAGGATTCTGTTCGTAGCCAGTACTGGGAGCTTAGGATTCGAATCCTAAGCCCCGATCCTAAATCCTAGATCCTAAATCCTAAATGCTACGTTTAGGATTCAAGTTTACTCGTAACCAGCACTGAGAGCAGTTTTGTACCCTGAATCCTAGATCCTAAATCCTAATTCCGAGATCCTAAATCCTACATCCTTGGTTTAGGATTCCTTTCGTAGCCAGTACTGGGAGTAGTTTAGAATCCAAAATCCAAAATCCTAGATCCTAAATCCTGGATCGGAGGATTTGGTCGAACAGTATTGAACGTTTCAAAAATTGTAAAAGCTGTTTGTAAAAAGGCAGCTTTACCTTGGGCTGGGAACAATGCGGGGTGATTTTTTCAAGTCTCAGGGTTGCAACTGCAAATCCTAAATCCGAAATGCTAAATTTTAAATCCTGAACCCTAAATCCTGGATCCTGAATAGTAAACCCAGATCCTAGATCCTGAATCCGAAATCCTAAATCCTAAGATCCTAGATCCTGAGATCCTAGATCCTAGATCCTGAATCCTAGATCCTAAATCCTAGGTCCTAAATCCTAGATCCTAGATCTTATATCCAAAGATCCCAGATCCTTTATCCTAAATCCTGAACCATAGATCGCATCCTAGATCCTAAATCCTAGATCCTAGACCCTAACCTTATACCCTAAGCCCTAAACTTTAAAACTGCAGCGGCAGGTCGAGCCCTCCAGCGCCTCCAGGAAGGCCTCTGAAGCAGACTTGGTTCGAACAAGCTGAGGACGTCGATGTGTTTCGGGTTTTAGAGTTTAGGGTTTAAGGGTTCAGGGTTTAGGGGTTTTAGAGTTTAGAGTTTAAGGGTTTAGGGTTTAAGGGTTTTAGAGTTTAGGGGTTTACGGTTTCGGGTCGGGGGGCTGGGTTTAAACTACCCGCAAGACCTTTCCGCAGCCGCAGGAGCAGCGTATGCCCGTCCAAGACCTGCGCGGTCTGCGCCTCCAAAGCCTGGAGGCGAGAATGGAGGCGCAGGGATGGCTTTGGAGGCTTAGGGTTTACGGATTTAGGGGTTTAGGGTTTAGGGTGGCGCAGGGATTTTGGTTTCGGGCTTTGGGGTTTACTACGATAATCTAGGGAAGAACTGGCAAGGCTCGGAGTAAGAACCATTGCAAGGTTCCACATAAATGCAGGCAGAGAACTGTGGCTCTGGCCACGGCAACGACAACTCAAAGATGAAGAATTGGAGATATGTGATTGCTCGAAGAAGTACTACCCGAAGCCATGATTGAACAAATGTTCCAGCTCATGCAGGTTCCGGCCACTGCATGTTCACGGTGGGAACCCGCATCAGCTGGAGTGGTATTCTCTGAGTAGTTTCGGCAAGTGCCTCGTATCACAATCACGATGTTTTGTTTGCAAACGGATGCCGAATTGTGTGATTGTGTGACATAAGTTTGGAGAAGTGAATTGGCAACACCTCGAACAATAGCGGGTGCAACGAAAGTAATGATCAACACTGAGTTGCGGAGATGTTGGCTGGAAGACGGCATGTCGCTGTCGTTGTGATTGCTCGTGGTTCTTCTACAGTGTTTCGTCTTCTTGGCTAGGAGGGCCGCGGGCGTTTCTCGCAGACCCCTTCTGCCTCAGCATGTACTGGCATATTTATCATGATGGTTCTGCTGGTCATGAAGAGCAAAAGAAGGACTGTGAGTGATGATAATGATGGTTATGATGACGACGATGATGGCTGCATCTACGACGAACGCATATCGGGAAGATGAATGGGGGTGGTGATGTTGATGGTGGTGTCGATGGTAGTTTTGACTCTGGCACGGTAATGATGGTGAGACTGGTGGTGATACGGTACTCACGAACATGCCACGGATGATAATGACAGCGACGACGACGGTGATGATGCTGGGATTTTTGGTCATGTGTTGACGGTACCGCTGATGATCGCGACTACTTCTGCTTTTCACACTTGTCTTCAACCCTGGCAAGGCCATGGAGCATCAATTGAAGCGCCTGGAGGTTCGTTGCCCTTGCTATCGGCGTTGAATACCGAACGGAACTGTTCATCGCCTTTCCTCGGATGGGCTAAGGGACGGAGGTAGTTGGTGGTTTAGGGTAACACGGGTAGCACCTCACTAGAATGGACGACATCATGCGATGTGAACAAGCGGCAATACACCATCAGCATCAGATTCCAAGAAGCCGCAGTCATCGCTTGCATCTTTCAGCACATTATCCCAGAAGTGGTTCATGACACGAGACTCGCAGGCAAAGTGTGGCCAGGAGGGGCCTGGAGCTTAGAGATACAGACGAGAGAAGTTATCATTCTTTTGCGCTTTCCTTGTTGCTGCTGCGGCGACTCTTCCTCTGTTTGCTGTTGCGCCTCGTCCTCTCGATGCTATTAGTGTGCCTGCCAGCCTCAGTATGGTCATGCTTGTTGCCGTTCAGCGATGGAGTGCTGTTGCTAGAGCAGCGAAAACGCCAACAGGAACAGCAGCGACACAAAGCCACAACAACTGCAACCGCAGCTCTGCTACTGCTATTGCTGCTATTGCTGCTGCTACTGCTACCGCTGTGGGCAAGAGGACCACGACAATCGACGACAATCGACGACGACGACAATCGACGATGACGAAGACGACGACAATCGACGACGACGACTACTGCTGCTGCTACTGCTACTGCTACTGCTACTGCTACTGCTACTACTACTACTACTACTACTACTACTACTACTACTACTACTACAGTTGCTACTACTACAGTTGCTACTACTACAGTTGCTACCACTACTGTTGCTACTACTACTACTACTACTACTACTACTACTACTACTACTACTACTACTATTACTACTACTGCTACTACTGCTACTAGCTACTACTAACCACTACTACTACTACTACTGCTACTACTACTACTACTACTACTACTACTGCGACTGCTACTGCTACTGCTACCACTACTACCACTACTACTACTACTACTACCACTACTACTACTACTACTACTACTACTACTACTACTACTACTACTACTACTACTACTACTGCTACTACTTTCGAATTACTATTGCGATTGTTGCCACCACCACAGCCCGCCAGAGTTGCGCATGCCAAGGCCGGAAGGCAAGCGACCTGCAGAGATCAACGGCGAGGAATGGCAGGCACGCTGCCTGTATTTTGTCTGCCGTGCCTGCGTCACTTGTAGCCTTGTGGGCCGACGACAGGTATCTTCCAAGGAGGGTTTAGGGTTTATTCCTAAACCCATCACAACCTCAAATCACGGCCTCAGCCAAGAGGCCAGGCGAAGGAACAATGCTCTCAACACCAAAGCAACTAAAGCCTACAGCCCCAAAGCCCGATCAAGCCCTTATAAACCCCCTGTAAAATCACCGTACATCCTAAGCCCAATACCTATAGTCAATACTATAGTCTTCAATGTAGTTCCTGTTTTAGTTTAACCAACTTTATATCCTAGGATCCGAATCCTAAGCCCAATCCGCTTCTTCGGAAAGGACCTGAAGGAGAAACTCTGGGAGGAGATGTATTCGAAGCTTCATAGCGAGGCCTGGGAAGAAGCTTCGGGCTCGGGAAAGGTTGCAAGCCGGTTGAGCTCGGGTGAGGCTTGGGGTTTTGGGTTTCGGGCTTTCGGGTTCAAGGTTTAAGTTTGGAGTTTTGTGTTCAATGCATTGAAGTTCAATTTTATGTTTCGGGTGCTGGGTTTCGTGGTGTTCGGGGTTCAATCGTTATATATGTTTGATTTGGTTTGTTGTTTTGGGTTAGGGGTTTCGGGTTCAAGGGTTCGATTGTAGGGCAGTAGTACGGTTCTAGGCGTGGGTTTCAGGGCTTGAAGGTTTTGGGGGTTTAAGGTCCAGCGGCTTGGGGTGTAAGGATTTCGGTTGTAACAGTGCATGGTGCAAGGTGAAGGTTTCAGGGCTGTGGGGTTTAGGATTCGGCAGTGAAATCACGGCCAGCATTCATGGCAACATGCACAGTGCGAAGGTGCGATGTAGCCCTAGGCCCAAAAGTCTCGACTTCCCAGCCCCAGATCCCGCGCCCGAAACCCCCAGACCTTAAACCCTAAACCCTAGTTCCTAAACCCTAACCCCTAAACCAGCTCGAGGTGGCAGTGCAATCCGCCCACCTGGCCAAGAAGACGGAGGAGCAGATGGCAGCGGCTGATAAGCAGTTCGTACCTGAGCGGTTTAGGGTTTTGAAGTTCTCAAGTTCTGAGTTTCGGGTCTTAAGCTGTCAAGATTTATGGCTTTCAGGGTTCAGCGTTTGTGGAGGGATTTAGGAACGCTCCGCCAAGCCACGGCAAAGCTTGGCAGTCCCTGAAGTCAAATCCCCCAACTGGAGCCAGTCGTCTGGTTATAGGTTCTAGGGGCCGAAAATAAGTACTCATACTATTTTGGGTTCTTATTATAACTATAGTACAATATAGCCCTAGGCCCTACTCGAATTATTACGGCCCGTCTATTAGGATGATGGTTTGCTTGCCATTGTTGTGGTTGTTGCCCCATCAGCAAGAAGAGTGCGCACTTCCGCAGGTATCATTCCCATAATCGTTGCTGTTTTGATAGTCTAGTTAACACCTCAAGCCCTGAATAACTGTTAGATTCACCCTAAACCCTAAGCCTCAAACCCTAAACCCTAAATCCTGAACTCTGAAACCCTAGACCTCAAACCCTTTGAGCCCCCTTAGCCCCCATTCCCCACCTTGACCTGCTTAGGCTGACGGAGATACTCAGCAAGGCTCATAGCCTGCTGATGCAGACCGTGACCCAAGTGACGGAGCAGTGCGCTCAACTGGAGGAGCAGTGCATATCTAGGCAGGATGGGTCCATAGGTTTTACAGGAAATCATGCTTCAAAATAGTATGCCACTTTATATATTTGTTATGCTATATCACATTCTACGATATTGTGTTATACTACTTTATGTAAAAGTATAGTACAGTTTGGCGTTTGAGGCTTGGGGCTGAGTCTCGTGGACCTGAAGCCTACCGTTTGACCAGACGACATTGTAGACGTCTGAATCATATGGGCCGTTGTGTCAAAATTAGAGTCCCTTTTTGGGTCCTTAATATAATACGGGACCTATTATTTAGGGTACTCAAAGGCGGGCCATACTTTTGACCACTACCCATATGCTAAACATATTATTGTTCTTATAGCTCACCACCTAAGGCCCTACTCCAACTAACACCCCCGCTTAGAATCCATAAAGCATAAAGTGGCATCTGCATGAAACGTTATATGACACCCCGAAGATTTATGTCTAACCATTTTAGGTCCTATATTGCCGTACATAGCGTACCGCAAAACCCTATTCCAATCATTAAGAACTAAGACCACTTCTTGCAGGTTGTCACGACGCAGCAGCCAGGTCTTTCAAGAGATCAGGCAGCTTCAGGGTGTGAGCCCCAGTTCTTGCAAGGGTACTATAAGGAGAAAAGGGTTCCAGAAGTGCACTGTACATGAACCATTTGGGCACTATAAGGGTACTAGAGGTTGACACTGTATGATGCTGTTGAGTATCGAACCGGAGTGCTACAGAGTGCTGCAGCCGTCACAATGCTGCGCTGCTCATTTCGATCTTGTCTTTGGTGCACTGCGTGTCACCGATATATGACGGTTTAGCCCACGGATATGTTGTACATGCTGACGCACCGTGACAGCTTAAACCCAATACCCTAGAAGATCTGCATCTCGCTGGAGCTTTCTTCCAGAAAGCTTCAACTCCTAGATCCCAATTATTCAATCGCTACCACAGCCGAACAGTGATGACCGTAATTGTCGAAACGTCGAAAATCGTCTTGGGAGTCGGGGCAGTCAGCAGTCGTAATTGCACTAGTTGCAACTGACCGTGCTAATCGGACCCATAGTCTGACTAGTATACCCCTGCGAGTACTACCAGTATGAGGTCCGAGAGCCCTGAATCCCGAAATCTACACTCACAGCTCTCAGCCGCAGCACCTATACCCAAACCTTAAGCCCCAAACCCTAAACCCTTAGTATACCCGAAGCACACAACACTCCGAACACGAAGCCTTACACTCTAAGTCTGCAGCTCGGAAGCTTAAACCACTGGTCGAGGGAAGGACTCAAGGGTGTAGGGTTAAGAGGTTATTGGGTTCGTGGTTTAGGGGTTGGGGTTCAGAGTTTCAGGGTTGGGCTTAAGGGTTCAGGGGCTTAGGGTTATAATGTGAATAATACCAACAATACCAATAATGCTAATAATACTAGTAATACTACTGATACTACTAATACCATAGCGATATCTTAGGATCTAGAAGTTTTTTTTTGTCCGGGTGGTGTTGAGGCTCCGAGTGTTTTAAGATGCTTAGGACTCCTTCCAGTGTTGGGTGCGGGTTTGGGCTATGGAAACTCATAGCATGGCCATCACGCAAGTATGTTACTAATCCACATGTGGTACATTGCTGTCATGGATAGCAACACTTGATTATCAATGATCTTGAACATCTCTTTTCACTGTAACTGTTCTTTCCTTTTTCTTTGTCCAGTCGTTAGCCGAGAGGTCCCCTCTCGGCACGGGGCCTCCCGGGGGTGGAGGCCAGGCTTCCGCTAGGGTTTAGGGGTTTAGGGCAGTTTAGGGTTCATGGTTCAGCGCCTGCAGGAGAGAGTGGGTTTAACTTGCTTTGTGTGGGTGTATGATCGCGTGTTATGAGGGTTCAGACGGGCTCAATATGTTTGCAAGGGCTTCCGGGTATTTCAGGGCTTCAAAGGGTTTTGTTTGGGATTGTCACGAATGGGTTGTAGATTGTAGGTTTTAGATTTTGGAAAGTTGTTTTGTTTAGAATACAAAGGGATCAAGAGTTTAGGATTAGGGGGTTTGGGCGAATAAGGGTTTTAGGGTGTTTGAGGTTTGTGTTCTTTTCAGGGCTTTGTCGGGTTGGGGTTCAGGGTTCAGGGTTTAGGGTTTAGGGTTCAGGGTTTAGGGTTTAGGGTTTAGGGTTTAGGGGTTTCGGGGGATTCAGATCCAATCCCTTCGACAGCACCTCTCCCTCCACAAGGACATGCTGAGGGTCCGAATAGGCCAGGCAAGACTGAGGAAACCCGTTGGGTGGCTGTCAAAATTATGGTTCCTTTTTGGGTACTCTAAATAATAGGTGCCGTATTCTAGTAAGGACCCAAAAAGGGACCCTAATATTGACAACCACCCCGTTGTGAAAGCTCTTGCTGCCAGGGTTTAGAGGTCCGAAGCCCGGGTAACGGGGTAAGGGTTAGGGGTTTCACGGGTTCTAGCAGAGGGTTTAGCTCTTGACTTGAGGGTCTTGGTGATTGCAGGCTTGCTACTTCTCGGTTCAGGCTCCAGGAGGTTGATGAGTTTGTTTCCCGTTCCCTGTAAACCCTGAAGCCTAGAACTAGAACTCGGCCAGGTCGGGCAAGGTGTCCTTGAAACGCACCCTCGTAAATCTGTTAGCCTTCGTAAGGTGTCCTTGAAACGCACCCTCGTAAATCTGTTAGCCTTCGTGCCTAGACTCAATCCGTGACCGTTTTCCTCAAAGCTCGTAAGGCCAACAGCCAGAACCCCAAGTGCTTGCAACAGTCCTTACATAAAATCGGTATCAGATCATCCATCCTTGAGGCACGTCAGCAGATCTTCACCTGTCAGCCGCTGGAGGACCATCATGAATTCTTTGTCATAGTTGGGGAAAATTTTACATTTTTTATCGGTACTTAAACCCGGAAAGGAATAAAAATGCAGAACCTTAATCCTATCCCGACCATGAACTAGATGAATTCAAGCTTCCGAGTGGCAGCTGTGCATCGCATCCAGAGGCGTCGCCTTTAGCAGCCCTTTCTCGGAGTTCAGGCGGGCGGTGCTTTCGGAAGCCTTATCGGCACTCTTGCTGTGATCACTCTCGCCCCCCTAAGCCCTAAACCCTATACATCCTATACACCCTATAAACCCTATAAACCCTAAACCCTATGAGCCCTATAAACCCTATAAACCCTGTAAACTCTATAAACCCTATAAGCCCTATAAACCCTAAACCCTGTAAGCCCTATAAGCCCTATAAACCCTATAAACCCCAAGCCCTGAACCCTATAAGCCCTAAGCCCTAAGCCCAGATCCCCGTCGTCTCTAAACTTGCCTTTGGTTAGTAGGGAATGGAAGAATGGTAGTAATAATAGTTATAATTGTATCCCATTCCTCCATTCCCTACTAACCAAAGCTAAGTTATAGGATTATTAAGGCCCCTATATTATAGTACCCTTATAGATCCCTTATAGTAACCATTCCCTACTAACCGAAGGCCAGTAAATGGTCGGAGGTTCGCCGAGCCGCCAAGGCCCAGGGCGTCCTCCCAATGAAGCGCCCCCAAAGGCCTCGAGCCGAACAGTGCCCAGCGATGCCAGGCGGGGAGGGTTGGCAAGAAGAGGGTTTAGGCCCTTAGGGTTTTAGGGTTTAGGGTCTAGGATTTCAGGGTTTAGTGTTTAGGGTCAAGGATTTTTAATGTTTTGGGGCTTATAGGGTTTAAGGTTCAGCAAGGTCAGGGTTTAGGTTTTGGGGGATGCTCCCTTTTTGCAAGCCTCGCCATGCCAGGTATTGGGAGGGCCCGCAGGCCGGCTGCCGCATGAGCGGTAGCAGAATACCTTTTGCTTGCAAAAGGGGCCGAAATCAATACCAATACCATTTTGGGTTCTTTATTGTAATTACAGCATAGTATAGACCAAAACTCGGTATCAAGTATCAAGACCCCTATAAAGCGGCCTTTTGCTGCCCTGAGGTGCCTCCCATCATGAATTGGGACCGTGCCCAGCGAACTCCGCGACCCGAGCCAGTGGCGAACCGGACTCTTCGGCCCGAGTCAGTTGTTACTCGGCCTTTGGGATTTTTTTTTTCATATTCGCGCTGGGGTTTTATTTAGGGGTTTAGGGGTGTTTTCTTGTCTTGGGATCTTATTTTCCGAATCCTTTTCGAAGGCTCTAAGTGGCCAGCCTAGGTTAGCGTAGATCCAAACGCAGTGGACGTGGCAATGCTGGAGCCCGTCGCCACACCGAGCCGCCGACTCAGCCGCCTAAGCTTTCCGTCGGTCTGAGTTCTGCAAGCCAGTGGACCTCGGCTTAGGTCGGCGACTGCCAGCCGGTGACATAGGCAGGATCTAGGTCTCGGGCTTGGTTCAGGTCCTTCCGATTCAATTTCAATTCTCTTTGCTCCATGCGCTCAGTTTTGAGCTGCAAACCGCTTCAACTCCAAACCGTCAACCTTGTTCCATCTTTATCCTTGGTGCAGCCGTCTTGTGGCTTTACGTTGATCATCATTGCCGGCACCCTCCAGCATCATCATCTTGCTCCTCGTCGTCCGGCTGGCCTCCCTCAGCGTAGGCTTGGATGCATCACTCTTCCCAATATTGCTACTATTATTGTTACTGTTATTGTGAATGTGACTATTGCTTTTGTCATGATTGTTGATGTTTGTTATCGTCATGACCATACATAAGCAATGTTATTATTGTTATTGAAACAATGATATTGCTACTAAAACTGTCATTACCATTATGATTACTGTTTTGATTATCAATTATGATTATTGTTATTCATTATTGCTATTACTATTGTTAGCATCAGTATTACTATTGTTATTGCTGTTATTTCTAATTATTCATACTGTTCTCATTCAATGACATGTGACATGGGCTCAGGTTGGTGAGAGCTCGTGGGGCCAAAGCAGCACGCGAGCGGCTCTTGGAAAAAGCCTGCGCATCCTTGCTTCTGGTTTAGGGGTTAGGGTTTTAGGTTAGGTACGGCCCCCACTCAGTAATAGTTGAATAATATTCATAATATAGATATAGTAGGACCTTAGTAGTAGCCCCATTGTAGACTCTTACTGTATGGGGGCCGTACCTAAGTTTTAGGGTTTAGGGTTGTGTTTAGGGATCATCCTCCTTGCTTCTGTGAGCATTGCAGCAAGACGCGGTTGAGGGGTTAGGGTTTTAGGGTTTAGGGTTGTGTTTAGGGGTTACGGTCTAGGGGTTTAGGGGCTCAGGGTTTCGGATTAAACCTGAAGATCCAAAGTTGTTGCAGGGTTTGTCCGCCGCAGCTGGAGCCCTAAGCCACAGACCACGGCCCTAAGTCCCAGTCCATGCCTTAACCCTGAATAACCTACCTTTTTAGGGTTCCCTGTTATGATTTCCTTATGTAAGGCCTTAAAAAGGTAGGCTCTTCAGGGTTAAGGTGAAGCTTAAGTCTCAAACCATAAGCAGGGACCCCAGTACCGAGACCTCAAACCCCCAACCCCAGACTCTCGAGTATCGAGGTCGGTGCAATCAGTGCTACTACGGTTGATGATATAAATCCTGCACTACCCATAATAAGGAATATACCATAATTCCCATAGTTTAGGGTCCTTAAGGTAATGCAGGATTTATATCATCAACCGTATCCCGGTACCTTTCGGCTCATACCCTACCCGTTTCTAGGGTACCTACTTTTCTATATAGGAGGTCCTAACCATAAAACTAAGTGAGCTAAAACAAGGGCAGGGTATGACTCTCTAGGTATTGTACCGAGTATAACCATAATATAGCATGATGTGGCTTTTCCTCCGAAAAACAGACTGGGTTTTTGGCACAACATGTCCTAGCCCTACTGCATTCTTCAGTTCCCTATACTACCACCTCAACCCCTACACCCCGAACCCTAAACTTTCAGCCCTTAACCTCAGCATGGAGGATCCTGCCAAAGCTCTTCAAAGCCCTGGGGAAGAACACGCATCTCAGGGATCTGCCTCTCGGCGATGCTCTCTTGCAGGATCTGAGTTTTATAGCGCAGTAGTGTGCAAGACTCGCCCACAACCCTAAACCCTAAACCCTCAACCCTAAACCCTAAACCCTAAACCCTAAACCCTAAACCCTAAACCCCAGCCCCAGATTTTTTTCTGAGTTTCCACTCGTGCTCTCATCCGAAGGTTGTCTTTCTCGGACCTAGTGCGAAATGCTACTGCCCTCCGGCTTATCCCCTAGGGTTTAGGGTTTAGGGTTTAGGGTTTAGGGGTTAGGGTTTAGGGTTTAGGGTTTAGGGTTCCCATGAAACCGGCACAGCGAAGGGCCACTTCGAGTCATGCATATCTAATCTAATGTCTATTCCAGAGAAATTACATGAGCTTCCAAGCGATCCTGCCATGCTAGCGACCTTTGGCTGTGAAAATTGGTAGTATTAGCATCAGTCTTAGTGCTCGTGTTGCTATTTGTACTCAACCCAAAACCCAAGCCCCAAGCCTTTAATCATATCATCAACCCTTAGCCCAGTACCTCAAATTCCGAATAAGTAGGGAATATACCTTAGATTATAGGGGCCCCAAATATTATGATTTATAAGGTATATTCCTTAATTCAGGAGTATTTGCTAGCACTATTCCTCAAGGCTCCTCTTTACAAGTCTAGTGCGAGAACTGCCAAATCCCTGCTCTCATAGGGATCCTTAGGGGTGTAGGGGGGAGGGGTGTAGGGGACTATATTTCCTTAAATAGGCCTTATTAGTCCTTATTATGGGCCTTAAGGCCCCCTACCCCCCCTCCCCCTACACCCCTAAGGATCCCTATGATGCTCGAACTATCAAGGTCCTGTGTTGGACTTAAAGCCTCAACGACTGAGCCCGAGGTTGTTGGGGAATACCGGCCTGAGATTCAGCGAGGTGCCCTGGGTGCTGATGAACCGGGGTTGCATCTTCAGCTGAACAGTGAACCCTAATCCCTAAGCCCAATAACCCTAAACTGTAAACCCCAAATTCTGTAACTCGGGTTTCTTGAAAGCTGACTTCTCAAGCAGGGGTACTCTGAATTGTGGGAGGAGGTCTCCTTGCAGGGGTTTCAGCAGGAATGTAGGAATGAGGGGTTTCGGGTTCATGTTAGGGGTTTGGGGTTGAGGTGCACGGTGCACAAGGTTTAGTGCCAAGTTTGACAAGCTGTGCATCTTGGTGTGGAGTGAGAGACAAAGAGACATATATATATATATATATATATATGTCTATATACTTACACACATACATTTGTGTGTGTATATATAGAAATATGTGTATACACATGTAATTACTAGCAAGAGGCCTCAGGTGTTATAATCGTCCTGTGAACAGAAGCCATATCAAGCGGTTGGGACCTAGGAGCCGTGGGCCGTGCTGCTTTGGGAGCCGATCTGGCTCGTCAGGCTTGTAACGAGCATCGGCAAGCAGGAAATATGGCGACTATTTTGGTATGGGAACCCCAAACCCTAAACCCCTAGATCCCTAAACCCTAAACCGATTCCGTCATAATATGCCTGGGCCATGACTCAAACCACTTAAACACTTAGGCTTCTTCTCTTGTGTCGAAGCACCCTGATTTGCCTCTGTCGCGGTGAGCCTAGAAGCCCAACACACGAAACTCGCGAAACCTGGACCGCAGCCTGAACCCTGAAGCCTCGACACGAACCCCAAAACCCAGAGACACAGAGCCCCCCCCCCCCCCCCCAAAAAAAAAAAAAAAGAGCCCAAAATACCCCAAACCACAAACCCGAAAACGCAAGCGCCAAAGCCCCGAAAACCTGAGCGCGAAGAGCGCTCAAACCGTTTCCTTCACCTGGACATTGCCTGGACGCGGAGCGATCGGACGTCGCCGAAGGCGCTTGGAGGCGCCCGCCCTTTTTGATCTGGAGTCCGCGTACAACTATAATATAATGCTCTAACACCACAAGACTACAATACTATAATACTATAATATTATCATACTAAAATACTATAATACTATCATACTATAACACTATCATACCATAATACTATAATACTACAACGCTAGAACTGTCAACGCCCTCTGGCCCTCGTTAAGCTTTAGACCGTTCAGCTTGGGTCCATGTGTCAGCTCTTCCGGGCTTTGTCGGGGTTGTGGGCGTATAGTAGGTTTCTATAGTATAGGGGCCTCAATAATTACCTAGACTATTTTAGAGGTTCCTTATTATAATTATGGTATACTGTTTTAAAGTCGATAACCAAGGGCTTGACTCAGAAGCTGGGAAGGATACACGAGCTCAAGAAGAATCTGGAGGCTTCCATATTTGCGTATCTCTCCTCTCTCGCTTTAGGTGTTCATTCAAACGTGCAGATGTATATGCATGTATATATATATATATATATACACATACACATGCACATATCTTTGTCAACCCGCAGGAATCAACAGTGACGCTCGTACGCGAATTTGGCAGTTTTGCGGGGTTGAAGCTTGGCGGAGCTTTGCTTCAGAGGTGGGTGTGCTGCAGCAGGTTGATCTGCGCGAGTTTTAGTAGAAAGATGCCGGCGTTGTGGAGATCATGGCGGCGGTGGACATGCCGTCGCCATCTTCAACCCCCTTACTGCCATCATCTCGCTGATTCCTACACCTTGATCCCGTGCTCCATGTGCAGCTCCACTTCAGATACATCTACAGTATACTTTAGTAACTTTAATATACTGTAATAATCCTACACAAGTCGACAATATCTGTTATTTTCAGTATCCTAAGCCCTCTGAACTGAAGTTCAGGGTTCCGGGACTCACACAAAGCTTAGTCCTGCTTCTTCGGATCTAAGCTTCGAGACTTCAGCCCTCGCTTGAATTCCTCGAGACCTTGACGAGTCTTAGATCCCTACTCTCATGTGCTATAAGATACTACAGTATATCTGCAGAATATTACAGTATACTGTAATGTACTAGAATAACCCTGTACTACACCACGTATTCGCATGTCGTAACGCAAGCCTAAGCTCAAACCCTAAACCCTAAACCCTTTCCCAAAGGTCGATGGGGCGGCGTTCCGCCAGCAGAAGCCGAGGTTCGGATCTCTTGGGACGTCAGTTCTTTTCACGCCCACATAGGGGAGAGGCTGCTGTAGGGCATTCAGGGTTTACGGTGTGGGTTATTTTTGGGACTAAAATACATGTCTTGGGTGTTTAAGGTTTCGGGTTTGGGGTTGATTTATGGTAGAGGTTTCGGGGTTTTTGGGGTTAGGATGTCGGGTTGAGGGTGTAGCGTGGCTTGAGGCGTACTCATGATTACCGTTTAAGCAGGTTCAGCCTTAAACTTTTATTCTCTGGAACATCATACCTTAATAATACATTAAAATAGACATCATAATCATATATCGCATACTTAATAGTATATCATAATATACCACAACATTCCTTTCCTTAGTCGCATATTCGCCTAAGCCCTAACCCTAATTAAACCCTAAACCCTAAACCGCCAAGCATTCCGAGGGAGTGGAGGCTCCAGCCCAAGCCTGCCCCGGAAGCCAAAGGCGGGGGATTTCCGTGAGGTTTCAGGGCTTAGGCTTTAGGTTTTAGGGTTTAGGTTTTAGGGTTTAGGGGTTTAATTAGGGTTTAGGTCTTAGGGTTTAGGGTTTACGGTTTACATCGGGGCTTCATCATATTAGGAAAAGGGTTGGGGGCATCCTTGATTAAGAATCCTACCGCTTTGTGGTACCCTTTTCTCTGCCATTCCCGCAAGTCAGGGCTCAGGAAGGACTGAGTGTGTTGGTTGACACAAGAAACTCTGTACGGTTCAGGCTTTAGGCTAGATGTTTTTTCTCGGGTTAAGGGCGCAGGGTATTTTCACAAGCCATTTCTTCGGTTCCCTCTACACCAGAAATTTGTTTGTCCGTGCTATAGAGCGCTTAAGCACTCTGCTTCCCGAGTCCACGGATGATCCCCGAGGCAGTGCGATCAAGTTGCAAGTTGATCAGATTTCGGAGGAATGGGGTGTAGCAAAAGACACTTCACATGTTCTAGGTTTGGATTTCGGGCCGTTTTAGGTTTAGGGTCCAGGGCCTAGGGGGGATTGATTCCTTCTGCGGAGATTGGGATCCGCATCGGCTGTATGGATCGCCTGAACCCCTTTTGGGTGCAAGTAAAGGGAGGATTCTGCATTTCTCAGGAGAAGGAGAGACTGCAAGGGGATGCAGCCACAAAAATGGACGATCATCGGAAACATAGATAGCTAGCTGGACGATTTGACGGTCATACATCCGTTTGAACGACCTGCCGCCTGAGTGTCCGACTCCAGGAGAGTGGTACCGTGAACAGCTGGAATGTGGAGCGGCAGTTTGGCTTCGTTTCTTGCGATGGCAACCGTGGGGACCCCAGTGATGCGATGCGCGAGGACTCCAACATCCTTCAAGAGAAGAAGAAGAAGTAGTAGTAGTAGTAGTAGTAGTAGCAGTAGCAGTAGTAGTAGTAGTAGTAGTAGTAGTAGTAGTAGTAGTAGTAGTAGTAGTAGTAGTAGTAGTAGTAGTAGTAGTAGTAGTAGTAGTAGTGGTAGTGGTAGTAGTAGTAGTAGTAGTAGTAGTAGTAGTAGTAGTAGTAGTAGTAGTAGTAGTAGTAGTGGTGGTAGTAGTAGTAGTGCTCTTGTGCAAGGGATATTGTGCTCTAGGACACTGGATGGGTCGGCGGCAGAGGGACTTCAGCTTTGTTGAATCCTCTCGGGCAGATGCGCCCTGTGCTGGCTACTGTTGATGGACAACATCCTGCATGACCCTTAGGACTCCAAACTATGGGAACTATGGTATATACTAGTATCTACCTTATAATTCAGGATTTTGTCCATCAGCAGTATGGCTAAGGCTCAGACGTGTTCTTGCACGCCGAAGGCTTCAGAGATGTGGACGCCAGCACGGCATGTTGGGATTTGGGGACGTAGGACGTAGGAAGTGTGCGTGCCGAGCCAATCGGTCTTCCCGCCTCTTGCCAGGTGCGCGACCGTGTCAAGAAGAGTGGCCTGAAGCGCCCAGTCCTCAGATGGATGGTGCACGTCTCTCTTATGTGATCTGTTGCAGAACTAGAGTTTGCGCTGCATGATGGTACGTCCAGCAAGCTGTATTGCTTCGCCATGCACTGCCACCGCATGAGACACCAGGGTTTGTTGCGCTACTCAGCCACAGTTGATGTGTCGTCAATCGTAACGAACTTGCAGCATCTTACCATAAAGCCATGAACCCTAAGACTCGGGGTGCCTCGAAGCTGGTGGTGGCTCAGGCGGAGATCACGTCCGATTCGATCTGAAGGACATCCTGGGTTTCTGTTCTTTCGGGATTGGACTCCAGTTTGGACGACTTTGCTTTATGTTTCAGCTTCAGGCAGCTTCGGGTTTCCGCGAGAATGACCTGCAAGCCTGCAAACTCAACCAAAAAGAGTCTACAAGTTTCGCTTTAAATGCATGCTAACCAGTTTGTGCGAGAACAGCGTGAGAACACCATGAAACCAACCTGAACGCCACCGCGAAAGCCGTGAAACCCACCCATTTAACTATGAAACTTCTGCTTCTTAATTGCGAGCGACAGACGTTCGTTTTGCGAGCCCTTTCCTTGCAGCGTCATGACTTCGCTTGCTGCAACTTGATCACTCATTTAGCACAGCATGTTCCGTAGGGACGAAGCTCTAGAATCGAGCCTGTGATCCTGAACGCCACGACTAGTAACCAGAAGAGAAAGGGAGGGACGCGCCAGTCTGTGGTGACGTCAGCTGCCGCTGTGCTTTGCCGTTGTGTTGAGTTCCAACTTTCGTTAATCCGCTTAGTAGCTGAGCGGATATACTTTACACTTTTGGGGATAATATGACCCACTATAAAACCAAAAGTGAACACTTTGTGGGGCTTGAGAACTCAGCAACTAAGTCCGTGTTAGCCCTAGTCCTAAGCCACTGACAGCTTGAGCCTGAAAACAAGAAACTCGACGATGCCAAAACTGCGAGCCTAAACAATAGAATGTGTAACTAATGTCTAAAAAACCCGAACCCCAGTGAAATGCGCGGGGCTCAGTTCTCGACATAGTTTACTTGAACACGCAAACTGATGGGGCTCCTCGAGTACGTATCATGTCGAAACGGGACCTACCATGGGTGCTAAATTTCAACGGCCTCTGTAGATGAAGCTAGCAAAAAGCTTCGAAGCTGCTGCAAGAGGCGGGTCAGTGCAGCCTTCTTCCTGGGTCTTGTCGGGTTCGGGGTATAGGGTTTCGGGTTCAGGGTTCAGGGTGTAGGGTGCAGGGTTCAGGGTTCATCAGGGTGCAGGGTTTGAGGGCTCGGGATTTAGAGTTTAGGGTTTAGGGTCGCCATGCAGGAGCCGGATGGATCCCGTCGCAAGCTGGAGGCACATTGCATGTAGCCCAAAGCCTTGAACCTTGACAAAATCCAAAACAACCCGTATAGACCCGTGCGTAAGTCCTCTAAACATCTATGATCCTGCAAGCTCTCCGAGCAAATATGCTAGCTAACTCCTTTCGAACTGCTTCGCTGCCCGCAGCAGAAGCATATTGCTTTGGGGCAAAAAGCATATAGACCATGAATCCATGTAAAGACTATACTATAAATTTTGGCCAGCTCATGGAACCCTGACTAAACCCTTATGAGACCCTATAAAGATAAAGCCCTGCTAGACCTGGCCATCGCGGTTTCGAGTTGAGGGTCTTGGAAGCCGAAACCTTGAACTCATCGGTCTATGTGTTAAAGCCCTTAAACTCAAAGCCACCTCCCCAAAAACCCGCAAGCCCTGAACCTTCAAGTCCTAAGCTTTCTCACAACCTAACTCAACCAATCTTCACGACTGAAGCTCTGACCGAACTGGAACATGGGTTTCGGTGCTTTATTTCGTTTACTCCCTACCTTCATTGCATCAGGATCATGATGTATCCTAACCGTAAACCGTAAACCCTGGGCCCAAACAGAAGCGTTCGACCCTTCAAGAGTTTTACACCCCAGCTGCAGGCAAAGAACGTGGAGCTGGTTGAGGGTCGAGGCAGGTCAACTGTTAGCCCCTGGGGCTTTTGGAATTCAGGTTTGGGGTTCGAAATTTCTGGCTTGGGGGTTGGGGTTTAGGGTTCTGCGGTTAAGGTTTGCAGATTCGAAGCTCCACGACCAAATGGTTCAGTTTTCGTGGGCTTAGAGTGTGGATTTTCAAACAGGGCTCCAGTCTTGGGCGTGGTTTAGGGTTTGAGGGGTCAGGATTTAGGGTTCACGGCTTCAGGGTTGAGGGTTTGAGGGGTAAGCACATTCGGGAGTGAAGGGTTCCGGGTGCAATAGCTGGTAGTAGTATTCCCTCAGGTATGATAAACCCCAGACACTATTGTAACATTCAGGCCCCTAAATTTACATCCGCTTCATAAGGCTCTGCCGTGACGTGTGTTTCTCACCTATTTTAATGGACATGTCGTGACTCAGGAACGTCGTCAACGAATTTGCAAAAGGAGCTCCTCTTGAATCCTAATCCCAAGATCGCAAGGGGCAGGCCCAGAAGCCCCGAACCCAAAATCCGAAGCCCCTCACCCAGTTCACCAAGTCCGAAGCCCGAAACCCCGCAAAACCCAAAGCCCTGAACTCCGAATCGGAAAGGCATACCCCCCCCCCCTCCGCCAAAACTGCAAGCCCAATAAAACAAAGAGAATAACAGTATCCATCAGTATCCCCTTAAAGTCCCGCCATGAGCAACTGCGCTCAAATCCTACTCCAATTGTTTACGCTCCTAGACTAACCCTTTCAACGGCCATAGAATTCCTGTTAGCTGCCCTACTCTGCTTAGTAAGGCCCTGATATTGAAACCCTTTCAAAAGCCGTACAAATCTCCAAAGAACTGCAGTCTAACTCCTCAGGCCAAGGTATTCAACCCCAGCCCTCGTAAACCATCTATCTTCCTTGTAAAATCCGAAGTAAAACAGATCAGGACCATAGGAAATCCGCGCAAGAATCGATACATACCGCATGCAAGCCTATAAACCCCTTATGAATCCCAACACAACCTTCCAACGCCCCTATAAATCTCTATACGATCATTAAAACCCTGCTTCGGCTCCTCTCTGATCTCCCGAGGCGAGCGGCGACGCTCCCGAAGCCGAAGCCGAAGTCGAAGTCGAAGGAGGGGCTCAGGAGGGTTTTCGGGTTCAGGGATGAAAAATGGAGTTGGGGCATGGGGAAAATATAGCATGCGTTGCTGATTATTCAGACGTCCTGGGTTCAGAGCCAGGGTTCGGTGTCCGCAAACCTTCTGGCCTGTTGTAAAGCCTTCTTGAAAAAGCAGTCGAACCCGAAATGCTAGCTAAAAGCCATGCACCCGAACCCCTGAACCCTGAAGCTTGCACGTGCCAGATTGAAATCCTTGCTCCCTGAATGTAACAGGCGCAGATGACTCTGAAAGCGGCAGCGTGGGGAATAGCGATCCGTGCGCGGAGCAAAAGCTGCGAGTGGATTTGGGGCTTAGGTGCCAGTATGGTTCAGGATTTGGGATTTCGGGTCTGAGTTCCGGGTTTAGTATGGGTTTTTGTGGACATTTGGGATCTGAATCCGTAACCCTGAATCCGAGCCCAGGAAGAAGAATCCCCCGGAGGAGAATGTCGGTTCTTTAGAACTTGTTAAGCCCTACAACACCCCCTAATTCTTGATACGAAACCCGATAAGACCCTCATAGAACACTACAGCGAACCCCTCCCAACAAAAAGTTGGAACATGGGTTACATAAGGGTTTGTGGTGCCAGGATCCCTTGTGCTGTCTGCAGGGCTTGGGAGTAGCCATGTTCTAACTTTCCGTCTTCTCTTAGATGCCCGAACAGGCCCCTTATAAGCTCTAAACTTCCCCTGAACCCTAAACGCCAGCCCTAGAAAAGCCGACTGTCGGAGGCGAACTTAGCTGATCTCTCGGCTTCCCTGCGGAGCAATTCGACCCTCAGAAGACTGGACTTGCAGGCCAGGCTTGGTGTTTGAGGGTTTAGGATTTAGGGTTTATAATGGCATTGGGTTTAGAGGTCTGGTGATTTGGGCGGGTTTGGGGTTTAGGCGGCGGGATTAGTGTAGGGGCCGTCCGATTTAGAATAGGGATTTAAAACTTCTATAAACTTTTGGGGTATCTTGTTTTTTTTATTCTGGGTATATAGAGTCTAGAAGACAAAGGAGATGTAGTTACGAATCACACAGAGCCCTACGTGGTGCTCTGCAAGTCGATTTGTGTAGCGTCCTAGCTTTCGCATGCAGTTTTATGTAAGGGGCTGCGCCAGGACGCTTCAGTTCTACACTTCAGAAACTTTTGGTGTTGCGTTTATAACAGTAAGGGCAATCTTGATAATGATGATAGAAACAATGGTGATGATCGTACTAATGATAATGCTCATAATCCCTTGAGGCCAACTACCTGGAGCCGCACGATCTGAAGGCGAGACGCCTCAGCTCGCCAAGACAGGTCTTGTTGAAAGGAGGGCTTGAGGTTCTCGTGAGCTGTGTGTGTTGTGTGTTTGTGTGCATGTGTATATCGAACATGTCTATAATGTATATCATCTAAGATGTGTACGCGCACCTACATACGTACATACACACATACCAGATGCGCCAGTTTCTACATAGACACATGCATATACGGTACATTATCTAAGTACAAATATATGTGTATATGCAGACCATCAAAGCTTTGGGGTTTCGGGAATCCGGATTCCGGCACATTGGCCACGAAAAGTCGGAGAGTAAGGTCGGGTGGACAGATCGAACCCTGAAACCCTAAAACTAAAACCCTAAAACTAAAACCCTAAACCCTAAAACCCTAAACCCTAAAACTAGAACCCTAAACCCCAAAGCCCTAAACCCTAAAACTAAAACCCTAAATCCTAAAACCCTAAAACCCTAAAACTACAACCCTAAACCCCAAAACCCGAAACCCTAACCCTAAAACCCCAAACCCTACGCCGATACGCCAGAGAGGGAGTTTGGGGTAGCTTTGCGCGGTCAGATTGCAGGATGCCGCAGAATAAGTCCAGACTTCGTGTTAATTGTCCTCAACCCGGTCTCATGTAGGAACCTGATTAAGAAACCGTGGGCCTTTCTTCGGGTTCCTTTTATGAATCCTACTATTTTGGGGGTTATAGGCCCAGGGTTTCTGAATCAGGTTCCTACATTAGGGCTTGGGAGGGCCCTCCATCACAGCGCCGGCCTGTAATGACTCTACTGACCAGCGAGCTGGCCAACTGTGCCAAGGCGCGCAAACCAGAAGCAAGTGCAGCTGTAACAAGGAATCATCTGTTCCTGGCACCTTCGCCACATAAAGAAGCCAATAATTAACCTGTGTAAGAATGATGAGGATAAATCTGTTGGCAGGGGCATCCGTCATGCAATGCTGTTAATAGCATGTATACATGCATGTGTGTTAACGGATTTATGTACATATGTACACAAGTCTAGAACACGTATACAGATCTGTGGTTGCACACGTATGTGTGTATGTTTGCGTAAATATATTGATATTGATATGTATGTTTATATGTGCAGGCCTATGCGTTGTTCGAAACTGTTCGAGCACAGTGCGCTGCACATTGCGGACAAGTCGGATCTTGCAGCGCCCAGTCATCTGAGTAGAGGCAGCAGATGACAATGAATTGGTCACGCAGTCCGGAAAGCAACCGCTACATGTGTTACCTGAACAACGGGCAACTCAGCTTCGACAAAAGTGATTTGGGCACCTTTTTGTGTGTGTATACTTATATACAGCTATATGTACACAGGTAGGAAAGTAAGCAAACCTGCACAGAGGTAGCCATGTAAAGTAAACACATCTTCAACCAACCAGATAAGCAAGTGAATCAAAAGTGCAAGCTCCAGAAAGAAGTAATCTAGCAAGCAAAAGCTGCGCACACACACATGCATGTTTATAGACATATATATATATATATATATATATATATATATTTAGATGCACACTTACATTTATGTTTAGAAGTATCTCGGTATGAATAGGCCCTCAGGCTCGTCGCGAATGCTGATGATTGCGCGCGTGCGCGAGTGTGTTTGTGTGTGTGTGTGGGTGTTTGCGCTTATCTGTATTTGTATTTCCGCATCTAAACGTATGTTTGATTTGCCGACATATCCGTTCACACATACATACATAGATAGATATGCATACGTAGATATGTATATATGTTTGTATTTCAATGTCTATCTCTCTGCCTCTCTACCTATTGTAAACTTATGCATCTGCGATGTTAGTCTGGGGCATACCGTGCATCTTGCACACACCGCGTGGGCTTTCCAAGGTCATCTTCCAGTCGATCACCCCAAAATCAGCGCTGCAGGCAGATGGTAATATGTTGGCTTTAAGAATGGTTGATGCTTGGAACTAGAGTAGGGTGTTGATGCATGGTATTTTATCTGTCTAGTTGTTCAGAGCCATATCTTAGAGTTGTCAGAAAACCCCGTATGCTGCAACCTAACAGCTGGCCAAGTCTGGAATTGTCCCCCAATCTTCGTGATTTTGGGTTAGAACACTGGCTCACGGTCGCTATTCTTTAATCTCTCTTAGGCCCTTATCAGCGTCTTTCTAACTGAGCAAGGTGCTGCACTGTAGCTGCTTGTAGTCAGTGTAGTACACGCAATGGCGAAGTAGACTGCCATAGCGAAGCAAACCACAGCACAGTGTTGCACTTGTGCAGGTTTATTCCGTAAAGCGACAAATGCAGTATAAGCTGCCAAGCGCTTATATATTTGCTGTATCATCTGCATCGAAAACTTGGGCAAAGAGACCATCCCCCGAGCAAACACTTCTGAAGGCGCTGTTTGCTGGTGAAGTCTTAGTGACTCTAAGGCCCAAGCCAGACCAGTTGAAGAGAAGCTCATCGCAATGACGGAAAACTGGGCCCTGAAACCTATTGAAATCGAAAGCAAATTCCGAACCCTGATCCCGAAACATCCGAAGTCCTGGGCTCAGGACCTGCGTGTGAACTTCCAGGCGAGCCTAGCTGCCCCTCCAGTGGACTTCGCGCAGATGATGCTGTCTGAGGCCCCGGGGGGCGCTGAAATCTCTGGCCTTCATCCCAAAGGTCAAAGGTTTCGAAGGTTCAAGCCGGAAGAGGGTTTGGGGTTTAGGGTTCCCCAAGCCGTAAATCCCGCTTGCCCCGATGCAAGCATCTAAACCCAATGCTCCAGACCCTTACACCCTAAACCCCGAAATCCTTAACCTCGAAAGAACCTAGACCCTCAAACCCCTAATCCCCGGAAATCATTACACCCGAAAGACCCTAGACCCCAAACCCTAAACCCTAAACCCCTATACCCTAAACCTTATAAGCCCTATACCCTAAACCCTATAAACCCTATAGATCCCAAGTCCTGAACCTGAAGGCCGGCACCGAGATCTACAAGGCAGCCCATAAGGCGCTCGAGGAGAACAAGAAGCTCCTCAAGCTCGATCTGTCTGGGCCTCGAGGGGGCTTTGAGGGTTTAGGGTTAGGGGTCGGGGCCTCGATTTTTATTTTTGATCTTTTTTTTTTTTTTTTGGTTGGGGGGGGGGGGGAGGGTTTGGGGTTTCGGGGGTTTTCGAGTTGTTTGGGGAGTTTGAGGGTTGTAGGGCTTGGGCTTTACGGCCTTGGGTGTGTATGTATGTATGGATTGATGCAGGTATGTGTTCACTTCTAGCAGCTAGCAGGAGTGGAGTTTCACGCCAGAATACGAGCAAAGCCCAAAGAGAGTGCAAGACAGTCAGAACGTGTGCAAGATTGGACGAAGCAGCATCAGACTTTGCAAGAGTTGCGATCGAGCGAATCAGAATAACGAAGAACACTGCAGCGTATCACGGGAAATTAGTCTCTGCCGCTCGGTATAGCATCGTGCACTCTAGCTGACTATGCAACAATATATACCAAAGTATAGCGCAGGGGCACCGCATGCTTCGAGCATTGTCGGGCGTTACGCAGGTCAGTCCGGTACAAACAGTCTGGCTTCATATGGTCCAAGGTGGCATCGTACAGCCTTGCAGATGCTCACAGTATGCGGGACAAGAACGCATCATAGCAGAGTAGATTGCAGTATGTTATGTTGCGATACAAAAGCCAACAATACAATGCCATGTAGACTGCTACGACTGCTACGAAAAGTATATTCTTGTCGTGTATAGTGTAGTATACTACGGCATAGATGGTCCTGCACAGGAGACATTGCACCATATTTGTGCATCTATGCATGTACGCAGCATGAATGTGTTGTTTCCTGCGTTGTCTTGGCCTTTTGTCTTTGCATGTACGGGCATGCAAACGCAGCTGTGATAGTCCCTCGGCCAAGCCCCCTGGCCGAAGCCCTAAGTTAAGCCTAAACTCCAAACCCTGGGCGATATGGGGCTGCTATCTCCTGGCCTATCCGGCCTTGCGATTGTGGGACGGACTTGCAGCCTCAAAAAAGGAGCTCCCAAAAAAGCCCTAAGCGCCGTTTGAGGATCTTGGTGCAGAGACACTGGCGAGATCAGATCTGCCGTGGGCTCATGAAGAACCTCGAGGAGACCCTGGCTTAGAGGGTTTAGATCTTAGGGTTTGGGTGTTAGGGTCTAGGCTTTAGAGTTTAGGGTTTAGATTTTAGGGTTTGGGTGTTAGTGTTAGGGTCCAGGTTTTCGAGTGTAGGTGTAGGGTTTAGATCTTAGGGTTTGGGTGTCAGGGTGTTTAGGTTGCAGGGTTTGGGTGTTAGGGTCTAGGTTTTGGAGTTTAGGGTTTAGGGTGTAGGTGTACGGTTGAGGTTTCAGGGCGTAGGTTTTGGGGTTTACACTCGGGTTTGGGGGCCTTTCCCAAGCGCCTTTCAGGAAGTATTTTAGTCTCCTGAGGAATTATTCTTTCATATCAAACCCAAGAGAATTTTGAAGCTATCATTTTTATTATGGTTCTAGGGGGGTATAGTTTGGTAATGCGCAAGGCAAGGGATATGTAAGCATAACGACTTTTTGTGTGTCTTCGGATCTTCTAGCTCTTGGGCTTGCGGCTTTTGGTTTAGGGGTTTAGGGTTAACGGCTTGGGATTTGGGGCTTAGGGTTCGGGGTGTGGGTTTCGGGGCCCGGGTGCATACATATGGGTGGTTGTCAAAATTACGGTCCCTTTTTGGGGTCCTTAATGTATTACGGCACCTATTGTTTAGGGTACTCAAAAAGGGACCCTAATTTTGACAACCACCCATATAGTGTGCGGATCGCGGGTGTGTGGTTGCCAGCTGGCCCACTTAGCGTCATCTTGTGTCCCCGCGACCCGAACTGATCCCAATGATGCAGACCTGAAACCCTAAACCCTAGGCAGCTGAGAGAAAGGCCCATTGCATTTAAAAAAAAAACCCTAAACCTGCTCTTCTGCGAGAGTTGGGAAGGGGCCATTGCACTTAAAAAAAAGCCCTAAAGCTTTCCTGAGGGGAGAGCACGGGCTGGGCTAGGAGGTGAGGGGAGAGCACGGGCTGGGCCAGGAGGCGGTCAACCCTAAACCTTAAGTTCACAGAAGGGCTTCTTTTGCGACAGGCAAGCGGGGAAAGGTGGAATTGGCTGTGCCAGGCAGACGATTCCTGCGCTGTTACCATATCGAAATATCGGTCTTTCACAGGTACCAATTTAAGTAGTCACAGGCCCAAACACATAAGAAAAGAAAACGAGGCAGGTAGCGAAAGTTCATCATGCTTATTCTGTCTAAGGCCTTGATCCGTACCAGTCTCTCCGAAACTGGGGTTCCAGTGAGACTGCCATTTTTTTTTACGCCAGGTTCTCCTGTCTCCGGTTCGTAGGTCGGAAGCTTGAATAATTACTTATATCAGTCCCTGAATTAGCATTATTATGTTATACCATTTTATGGCGCAAAACTCTGTTCTAATGATTAAGGACGGGCCTAAACCCTAAACCCCGCTATCTTCTGCAGCCTCTTGGTAAAAGGAGCTCAGAAAGAAAGACCTCTATCTTGTTTTAACTTGCCCGCCTTCCCGGAGCAGGAAAAGAGAAAGGATGGCCGCGAGGCATGCCTACCACAGAAGGCTTGGGATTTGGGGTGTAGGGTTTAGAGGCCTATTTTGGGGGTTCCTTATTATAGTTATAGTATAATGGACCCCAAAGCCCTGTCCTAATTATTAAGGCCCCTACATTGGGGTTTAGGGGTCAGGTTGGGGCTGTTCGGGGTTGAATCTGGGTTCGGGGCATTGGGCTTGGCAGTGTAGACAAGATGGTGTGCGGACACGTCCGGCAAAGCGTGCAAACGCAGGGGAAGCGCTTGAAACGGAGGGGTTTAAACCTGCAGGTAGGGGATGAAATTTGAAGGCATGTCAAGAAATCTGCAAGCTTGTTGCAGTACATTCTAGTCGAGACTGCTCTCGGCGAGACTCGGCAGGTATCATGCCCTAGCACAGCCTGATGTGAGGGGTGGGCCCTGCTCCACAGTCCTTGACGAAACAAAATCACAGCTGAATGCTCAGAGTTCTAGCATCCTGGCACAGGACATGCTTGGCTTAAGGGCCCTGCATGTCCGCATCCTCAACAGCAGAGCTCACCGCACCCTGCCATTTTTCATCTGCAATTAATTCGCAGGGATATGAACGATCATTGATGGTTGTTCCTCCCATGCGCTCGAAGTACAGAACATCTTGCCGGCTCCATTATTGCATGGTTCGTTTCAACTATTGCATTGGTTATACGTCCTGCCGTTCTGCTGCTTCTTAGTCCCTGGAGCTTTCTGGGCATGGCCCCTTTGGAAAAGCATGTCGCCCAAGCTGAGCTGCATAATATAGGGGCCTTAGTAAGTACCTATACTATTCGGGGCTCCTTATTATAATTGTAGTACAATGGGCCCCCAAAACCCTAGTCTAATTATTAAGGCCTCTACATTACAGTCGGCCATCTTCTGTCTTCTTTGTTGCAGTGAACTTGAAGTATGTGTACCTGCAGATGATCAGCCGTTTAACGCTTGCCTTAGCACCGGTTCTGGCTTCCTCTGTGCAATGTACACCCGTAGAGAAGTAGGCAGGCAGCTATGTAGGTAGGTATAAGGTGAGCTTTAGCTATCGGGCCAGAAGATTGTTTTGTTCTGTCCGGACAAGGCATCAAATGCCTGTGCGAAGTTCTTGTTGCTACGATCGCCACAAGTTTGATATCGGGATCTCGCTCACTCCTAATCTTGTAAGAGTAGAGATCTAATGAGTATCATGGTGTAGACAACGGTGTTTTTGCTGATGATACTGACGACGACGATGATGCTCTCGAGGATCATGATGCTGTTTTCGAGATCGACGACTGGGTCATGCAGACGGCCGTAGCGATAGCGACGATGACACTGATGAGTATCGGCGATGAAGATCATGAAATGATGGTAGTGGTGGTGATGATGGCGACGACGATGCTGATGATGACGGCGATGACGATTGCAAGCACAATGATGGTGATGCTGTTGATGATGACGCCCGGGTACCATGGCCATGACTTGACTACTATTATAATAATGATGCAGAATCTGGTGCTGACGGTGATGACGATGATTATCCTGATGCCTCTGATAATGACGGTCATCATGGAGATCGAAACGAGACAGCTGTGGCGATGGTGACGATGATAATGGCGATGGTGCTGATGGTTATGCGGACGTTCAGCGATGTGACTGTGATGGCTTTTCGGCTTTGGCGTTCCTGGCCAATTTCCATCAACACTGCAGCTCTTGGCTTCGAACCCCGTCTTGGTTGCGGTTCTTGGCCGCGAGCTGCACCCGACGACCCAGGCGCAGTTGTGCGCGGAAGCCTCAGCCTTCATGTTGCCGTGGTGACCGGAAGCTGGTTTTAGATTCATAGGGTTCAGGGTTTACTTAGGGGTACTTAGAAATATTTTTAAATTTTTTGGTTATTATAATCCCTAAGAAACAGCTAAACTTATAATTTTTGCTAGGGTTCTAAGTTCAGTATAGTTTAGGGTATGTCTGTGTGGCTGTAGCAGAGCAGTACGTGTGGCAAGGCCGGGCTGTATCAGGTAGCGACACAGAGAGCAGAGCTCAGAATCCTGTTGCAAGGCCTCGGGAGCATGCATGGGGCAGCGAGCCTCGTGCCATTGCTGAGCGTGTCTCGGTGGCCTACCCGTTTCTACTCAAGGAGCAAAGAGCCTGTTTAGTTCAAGCCTGCTTTGCACTACTGCACTTGGACTTGGAGTCAAGTTTTAATGGCTTGGGAATCAGCTGCAAGTGATTTTGCGAGCCAAGGTTCTGCTATGTCTTCTCGATGCTTGTCTTCACATCACAACTACGACTAGGACGCCAGCGGCGACGAAGACGACCTCTACTAGGGCTACTAGGGCAACTGCCGCGCCCTACCCCTACCCCTGACATTGTCGCTGTCGCTGGTGTTACTACCGCTACCACCGCTTGCGTCGCTACTAGCTGCTGCGGAGTTAACAACTACTAGCGCTGCTGATGTTAGTTGTTGGTATTCCCTAGGGCTCCAGTTACCTAAACTGTAGCCAGATATTAAGTAACATGTAACCCAGTAACCTGCCAATTAGGCAACTGGAGCCCTAGGTATTGCTACAAACTGCCATCGCTGCGACGACTCTACTAGGCTTGTCACTGGTACTGGTGTTGGTGCTCGTACTTGCAGCCCTGATGATAGTACCCGAACACTCGTGCAGTCGGAGTATCAGTGGCCGCGACAGCACCATTAAGATTCGTCAGAAACACGAGCAGTTCAATAGCAGCATCACTAGGTGGAAGGGTGATAGTGAGATCGGACACAGAAGCATTTGCTTTAGCATGGAGTGCCCCAGCAAAGGGAACAGTAGCAGCAGGAGTATAAGCACTGGAAATAGGAAGAGCTAGAGAGATAAAGTGAAACAGCGAGCTATGGGCGTAGCAGCAGAATATTTTACTGTAAAGAGGGGAAGCAGCCGTTGTCTCAATGATGCAACAGCAGCGGCCACTACTTCATTCTCAACCGCGGTAATAGACGATACATATATATACACATATATATATATATATGTGTGTGTGGATATATATATATATATATATCTAAAAGTCAGCACAGAAGAAACTATGACAGTCAGGACTGTAACATTGACTGCCTCACGAAGGTGTCGTCTAGTTTGCAGAAGCAGGAAATGTCAAAATGAGCCCGAACAGGCCATCACCATCTTCATGACAGCAACCGCAGAAAGGTAAAGTTTAAAATCATGTGGCTAGTAGAAGCAGCAGACGTACTGGTGATTGCCTCGAGCAGTTGTCTCATGAGCAGAAGCAGCTGCTGTGTTCATGAAGCAAAAGCAACCCCACCATCGTCGAAATAACGGCAGCAATTCCAACAGCAATGTTGTAGTTCTCACACTACCAACAGCCGCTCTACGTGTTGGTAGCAACTCCGGTGCTAATGGCTCATCCGAGGAAGTTCGTGCACAAAGCGTGCCCGTGCAAGCAGCACTGGCGGTCTATGTTTCTGACAGCGATCCTCAGAAGGAGCCCCGCTTGCTGTCTTGTTCTTGAAATCTTCTTCTTCTTCTTGCAGTCATTATCCTCCGCTGTGTACCTCTACAGTTATCACTATGAACTGTTGCTTTTGTTGCTTGCTTTTCTCATCTTTTCTAATTCGATTTTGTTCAGCACCGTGCACTTAGGGCTCGATTCTGACATCGGAGCATCGGTAACTAGCGGGGACAGTAAGGCCATAGTCTTTTGAAGCATTCAAGCTTGTCTCTTTGTATCCGCCACGTAATTCTAGGAAGTGCTTTTTGCATTGCCTTGAAGATCGACTAGTGGAAAGGCTGGGTACCGAGAGGCAGAACTGATGCCCCTCACGTGGGACTAAGTGGGAAGTTCCGAAAATTAGGGGGACCCCAAAATGGTAGGATCCTTCTTGTAAGGACCCCAAAATAAAGTACCCCAATTTTCGGAAACCTTCAAGTGTCTCCAAGAGCCAGGAGCGGATCCCCTTACTCCTAAGCCTCCCCAAATCTGCCCTGAGCCCTGAACCCTAAGCCCTAAGCCCGAAACCCTAAGCCCCAAACCTTAAGCCCTAAACCCTGAGTCCTAAAGCCTAAGCTTGCCTAAACCCGTTTAAAGACCTGCGCGGTTCTTGGTCCACTGGTCAGGGCGCCATCTCCGGCAACGTCTCCATCCGCGGCCCAACGCATCTGGGCGGAGTTGAGCGCTGGTTTCAGTATTGCTTCAGTTTAGGATGTAGGGTTTAGGGATACTCAGGGTGTAGGGTTTAGGATGTAGGGTTTATGGATACTCAGGGATGTAGGGTTTAGGATGTAGGGTTTGGGGATAAAGGGTTCAGGTTTTACTGTGATCGGGTTGATGGTTAAGGTTTCGGAGGTTCCGAAGCAAGCAGGCACGCTGCGGTTTAGGGTCTCGGGTTTAGGCTTCCACCAAGCACAGACTTCTTGCAATGCCCAGTTCAGTCAGTCAGTTTAATATAGGGGTCATAATTACTAGAATAGGGTTTGGGGGTATATTCCACTCGAATTATGATACGGAGCCCCCACAATACTGCTGATGGACAAAATCCTGCATGACTCATTTCAAGGAATATACCATAGTTCCCGTAGTTTAGAGTCCTTATAGGGTCATGCAGGATTTAGTCCATCAGCGGTAGTATTGCTGCCAACAGCAAAGGCGTGATGCCAGTGGCCCGGACATTGAGTTCTTCTCGGTGCCTTGTCAGGATTCCCCCAGCGCTGGCGTAAAAGAGGGGCCTAGGATAATTAGCTATACTATGTTGAGGGCTTCTTATTATGAGTATAGTAAAATTTACCCCAAAACCCCTATTCTAATTAGTACGGCCCCTGGAGCAACCCGAAGGTCCTGATCTTTTTTTCGGCATTGGATCAGATTATTTCTGCTGTTGTCGTCGTAGTAGTTTGCACCAGCAATACTAGCAGCAGCAGTTGCACTGTCGGTAGCAGTGGGAGTGGCAGTGGCATGAAGACTGAACCGCAATTGTGCTGACGTGCAAGACACATGTTGCAACATTGTTTGTAATGTAGGGGCCTAAATAATGACCTATACTATTTTGGGGGTTCCTTATTATGATTATAGTATAATGGGCCCCAAAACCCTATTCTAATTATTAAGGCCCCTACATTAAGCGTGTCTGTGTGACAACGAAAGTCCTGCGAAGCCCATGCTTGCAGGTCTACTGGGGATCCGACACGAGCACGCCTCTGTCTTCCTCGCCAGTGGTGTCTCCAACTCGCTTGGGGTGGTAGGGTTTCCGAGGCAGGTTCCGGAGCGAAGAAGGGTTTATGGTTTTGGGTGGGGCTTGTGCAAACATGTGGAGATATCCTTGAGCAGAAAGGGATCTTTTGGACTTGTATATAGCTGTCCGACATGGTCCACGCGATCGCATAGTTGTTGCAAGCAGCCAGGCCGTTGTCCCTGCTGTAGCAGACCCTTCAAGTACTCGGCCGACGTGCACGGACTCCAACGACGGCGATTGTGGCAGGCCCTCTTTGTTGAAGCTGTTGTGGCATTCTTCCGATGGTGTGTGAGAGATCGGAGACCTTTCGCAGACCTATCCGCTTTCTGCGGCGAATGCCAAGGATCGTCATGGAAACCACTGCTGATGGATGGACTATCAGCCGTACAGGAAGATACAACAACAACGAGTATGCATCCATAGAGCTTCAAGGACGCGCGCTCTACTCTTTGGAGGGGGGGGGCAGAGATCAAGGTTCCGCTGGAGAATTCATGCCGCGTAGGGGAGGATGCACTGGTTTGTTTGAGGCCCCGGCAGCATGACGCTGTGACTTGACTGCAAGAGGGAGAGGCAACCGATGTGCAACTTCCACACAGCGGCCGGGCACACCGTTTGAGACTAGATGTATGCGAGTGATCGCCATCCGAACCAGGACATACTTGGACATAGAGGCAGGTTGGGATACCCTTTGCCTGGACGGCTATTGCTTTGGAACGACACGTGGCCGCAATCCAGTACGGCGTTGCTGGATCTCAATGATCAAGAAACACGGATTGCGTTCCAAGCCGCCCTCGCCTCAAAGGAATGATGTGGGAGTTGCACGCAGCTTCTCTCAAACGCTCCCGGATGGCATGTAATATGGGGGCCTTAGTAAGCCTTATAATACTTAGAATGAGGTTCTGGGGTATAGTATACGATAGCCACAGCAAGGAACCCCAAAATAGTCTTGGTAAATATTTAGGCCCCTATAGTCTGGTGCCGTGTGATCTCAGCCCTAAACCCTGAACCCTAAACCTCAAACTTTAAACCCTAAACCTTAAACCCTAAACCCTGAACCCTAAACCCCAAACCTAAACCCTGAACCCTAAACCCTAAATTAAACCCTAAACCCTGAACCTAAACCCTCAACCCCAAACTTTAAGACCTAAACGCAAAACCCTGAACCCTCAACCCAGCTCTCAGGGCCACTCTGGTTTGGATGACGGACTCATCAGTCAGATACGACGGCTGGACCGTGGCGTACACAGGCGGTCAACAGGCTGGTACGTAGAGGGCACGGGATACCTTAAGCTGGTTTAGGGTATAGGGGTTTAGTGGTTTAGGGGTCCAGGGCTTTAGTAGTTTAGGGGTTTAGGGTTTAGGGTTGTCGAATTTGTCGAGTGTGTCAGCAAGTCTCCCTGTAAGCGAGCTCATGAAGCCATTGATGGCAGGCAACACAGAGTGCTGTTTTTACTTCCGCGTTCCCACCCTCCACAATACCTTCTGGCGCAACGCACTTCCTCGTCTATTCCGGCAATGCGAACGGTGAGATGGCTGCCCCATTGGCTGCCGAAATTCAGGATACCATCGCGCCTTGACTGCAACTGCTCTCGTTCTACATACTTGGGAACTCGGCCTGAGCCCAACAGAGACGCGAGCCTTTCTTCAGGCCTTGCCGTCGCCAACCTCGCTTTCCTTCTCGGACAGCTCACCGACCCCTGGCCGCATCCGGGGCCTCCTGTCGGTCTCCGCTGCGCAGAACGTGGATGTCGAGCGTGACCTGGCATCAACACGGCATTCCGGGCCTGCGGTCGTAGTGTTAGCACAAGCACGACGACGACGACGACGTCAAAGGAAACGACAACGACCACATCACAACTACTACTCCTCCAGTTTTCCTCCTGCTCCTTCAGCTGCTACGCCTGCCGTGGCTGCTACTAAGACGACGCTGACGACGACTACTACTAGCTGCTCCGCTGCTGCTACTGCTGCTGCCGCTACTGCTTCTGCCACTGCGACTCCTACTCCTACTCCTACTGTGCTGCTGCTAGTACGACGACTGCGATTGCAACAACCACAGCTTGCACATCAGTGCCAAGCAGCAAGATGAGCAATCATGATAGGTATGCTGATGGCGACCTCGACGTCGAAAGTACTTGTCACGATGACGAGGGTGACGTTAGTTATAGAACTACGGTTGATAAAGATGGCGATGATGTTGGCAGTATCGTTGTTCATAAGCCAGCAACAGTAAGACCTTGAAGAATAGCACGTTTTTGTTGCCAACTGCTCCGACAGCTGAATGCCGAGGTATCGATGTTTACTTCGGCACCGCACAAACTATCCGGCTTGGAGTTTGCGATGGAGTGGTTGGCTATCGATTCGAGCCAGGCGAGGCATCCTGGGAGTCTTGTCAGACGCTTTCACCTGTTGCTGTTGGGACAGCGTGACGGCAGGTGCGGGACTGAATAAAGACTGCCGGACACTCAGCTGTTGCGAGTGCTGTCGCGACATGTGGGTTAATATTTTCATCAGTGTATCATCACTAATTTGTCGGTGATTCCGTACTTTCGTGTGCTTGGTCGGTTTGATGATGATCCTTACCATTCATTGTGGCATTTCTTCTTCGTACATGCTAGTAAGTGGTGATTGGTCCAGCGTTGCTGGCGGATGCTACCATTATTACACTGTTTTTTTTCAACTTGTAGGCTTGTCCGTGTTGATGCTGCTAGTGAGATGTCCGTGGACCATGGGACATGATGGCGGGTTCTGGTTTCCCAGCAACATGATGGGTCCATGAGACTGTGGAGGTACCTACTATCCCCTTATACTCGGTTACAAATCAACTCTACGAAACCCCGAAACCGTAGTTTAATGCTAGTTCATAAATCTCCTTATGATGCCCATGTATATGAAGAAGGCTGATCCTGACCTTCGCTGACTTTCCAGGTATCTGTCACGCGTGATGATAGCTTTGGCAACACATCTAGAGATGTTGTTCTTGCTGCTGGTGATGGTGATGGTGATCATACGGTCTTGTCTTTATGTTACAGATTGTTGCTGATGATAGCGATGGTGCCGATGATGACAGTACATGACAGTGATGGTCATGATGGTGGTGATTGTCCAGGAGAAGGGCGTGCAGCACGAGGAAAAGTGGGACTGCGTAAGGATGAAACAAATGGTGCCGAGGAGGAGCAGGAGGATGGCAAGGATAAGGACGATGCAAGCAGGATGAGTAACCCTAAACCCTAAACCCTAAACCCTAAACCGCATGAGAATGAGGATTAGGGCCACAACTACAAAGATGGTGACGAGGACAAGGACTTCAGTCATCAGCAGAACCAGTTTAACTCCCTCCACCCACAGCTCTAGCTCTTATAGACTAGGACCCAGAGTAGGCCCTTATTCCCTTCTTTAGGGTTTGGGTTCCCTTTTAAGCCGCTCTAAACCAAGAACGGCACCCTTTTTATTCCTAGGTTACTCTTGGGTCTAGTAGAGGTTCATGGGCCGGCCTTGATCTGTGGCCCCTGGCTGCGGACTCGGTGCCCGGACCGGATGCTGTCGGTGGCTACGGACTCCGCTTCGACGGCGCCCTTTCATGCAGCAAGGGGGCTTTGGCTTTGGGGTAAGTTACATCTCTTACTCATGACAACTCTACATGCAATTCTGCGAAATACTGCGACTACAAAGACTACTACTACTACTACTGCTACTACTACTACTACTACTGTTTCTCCTGCTGCTGCTCATCCTCCTGCTGCTGCTCATCCTCCTGCTGCTACTGCTACTGCTACTGCTACTGCTACTGCTACTGCTACTGCTACTACTACTACTACTACTACTACTACTACTACTACTACTACTACTACTACTATGCTACCACCACTGCTACTGCGGCCAACTACTGACTACTAGCCACTAGCTACTAAGTATTAGCTATGAATTGCCAAATGCCAACTGTCAACTACTATCTATGCACAGCCAACTACTGACTACTACTGTAACTACTGACTAAACACTACCGGCTACTGGCTCGCAAACACCAACTGCTTGCTACTATGAACTTACTGCTACGTACTACTTGCTACCAGCAACTCCTACAGGTACTAATGAGAGTTTTCGTAGTTAAAAAGCACGATTTTGAGATACGGTTGCTGATGCTGCTACGAATTCTAATACTACCACTACCACTCACTCATGTGAGTTTTATGACTGTTTGTGCAAGCTTGTAGCAGTTCTGTTCTGAGGAAGCTTGATGTTGGAAGCATTGCTGAAACTGGTATTTCGGTCTCTAGCATCCTTTTCGTGGACCAGTCATTGGTTCTACAAGAAATCACTTAGCCGGCTGTGGGAGTCGCGCCCCTCCAACTACTGCCGAGCTGGCAAGATCTTGTCGCAGATCTGGGTCAATCCTAAACCCTAAACCCCCTAAGCCCTAAACCTTAAACCCCTAAACCCTCAATCCTAAACCCCTAAACCCTAAACCCCTAAACCGCTCATGGCACCTAAGATTCGAAGCCTTTGGGGGCTTGAGGGACGTGTGGGAGTTTCGGAAAACATACGTAGTGGTACCGTATTTTGGGGTCCTTATACGTCATACTATTCAGGGTACTATATTATAGGATCCCCTATTTTGGGAAGTTCCCATGTTGGCTACCCACTGCACCATGAACTGAACCTGACTTGCCCCGCTGAAGGGACCTTTGCCGCTGTCTCGACCATTCCGGCCGACTTGTGGGTTGCGGGAAGCTCAGACAGTCGTACGTAGGTGGCTTCTCCTGGGTTGTCCTTTCAGATCTTTTGTAATTTCCTCCTACTATTTTCTAGAGAACCATAATCGTGCATAATTTTCAAAGGGCTTAAAGGACAACTCAGTCTCTGCTATGACGGGCATGCACGTTTCTTGTTCGACCTGGTGCCTGTGAGATGCTACGACTCATGTCCTTTAAGCCCAATGGCCTGAACCCTAAACCCCTCATCCCGAAACCTAAAACCCTAAACCCCACAACAGAAAACTCAAGACCCCAAACCAAAAGCCCTAACCCAACAACAATAAATCCGAATCCCTAAACCCAAACCAATAAACTCAATACCCCAAGCCCTACGCAGGGAATTTCCAACATACAATGGACGGGCTGGACCGCCTCAGCCTGGGTCTACCCATCGGTGCCTCCATCCCTTCCGGTACGCTTGCTGGGACGATCGGGCTTCAACGCCCCTGAGTTGCACTCGAGCCCGTGTCCCCAGAGACTCCAATATTCCTTGACTAGGGAATATATATATATATATATATATATATATACACACACACACACACACACACCTTAAATCGCATGAAGGATCCTACTAGAATTTAAGGTATATTCCTGAATTAAGGGGCATTGGAGTCTGTGGGTCCCTGACTGATTGGATTCTGGATTTAGGTATGTTCGCTGCTTCCAAGGCGATGTCCGATGTGTTTGCCATGCAGCTAACCCCGGATTTCCTTGTGCGCTGTGTCGCCGCGGGCAATCCCGACATAGGCGGGTAGTGAGTGATCTCTGGCTCTAAATTCGGGTCAGAAAGCGAACGAAAGTTTCGGAGCCTGGTACTATGGGGGCCCTTAATGATTACCTCTACTGTTTTGGGTGGTTCCTTATTCTGATTATAGTATAATGGCTCCCAAAACCCTATTCTAATTATAAATTAAGGCCTCTATATTACGCCTTAGTCCAATGTACACAGGCCCCTATAGTATAGAACCCTGCTGTAAATCCCCTATAGACCGCTTGAAAGGATCCCTAGCAAGGATCCCTCTTCAAACTATGAAGGCCCCTAAATCACATGCTAAAAGGACGGCCCGAGGCCGAGGCGGTCCTGGATTTAGAGTACCTAAGCCCCACATTTACTTAGAATAGGGGTTCCTTTAAAGGGATCATTTAAAGGAATCCTTAAAGGGGTCTATAAGGGATCTATAGTAGGGTTCGATAATATTGGGGCCTTGATAAGTAGCATCGGGTTTTGGGTCCCATTATAGTATAAACACAAAATAGTTTTGGCAATTATTTAGGCCCCTTGATTACCACAGCTGTCACCTGTACAGGACCGGATGCATGTACATCACCAGCTGCACAGCCACTGCTCCAGAATACTTGGACACATGTGGTGTGTCAACACGAGATTAACTGGATGAGTGATCCATCGACGGGATCCACATTGAGGCCGGGACTACCCAGAGAGCCCAATGCCTCTGAATAAGCAATACCCCTTTCTTTTTTAGGTACTGTTAGCTTGTGTCGCAAGAAGTGAAGTGGCGCTGTTGGGAGATTTGCGTTGCTGATGTAGACAGCTTTCGGGTGTTGCTAGTGCCACTTCCAGTTTAACTCTATGATCATGCGCCTCCAACTAGCCCCCATCGCCTGACGACACTACTCCCTCAACCTCCCTAAACCGTTAATGCTACATGTCAAACGCTTTTGTCCGCATTGCAGGATATTTGTTGATGGTGTGCTGGTGAAGTCCTGCAGCACTGGCCAGCCTTACTGGACACAACCTGCGCAGCCGGACTGCTTTGTTTAGGGGCTGGTTTAGGGGTTTAGGGGTTTAGGGTTTGAGGGGTTTAGGGTTCAGGGTTTAGGGTTCAGGTTTCAGGGTTGAGGGTTTGTGGTTTAGGGCTCAGGGTGTAGGGGTCAGTGTCAGTGCCTTCCGCACGATCCAGTGCAGCCTTTGTAGTTGTTCGGTTGCAATTCTGGCGATACAAACTCTTTTGGATGACCTTTTCGAAAGTTCAAACCTCCATTATACGCCACAAATACCCCACCCCTGTAGACACCTCACATCCTACCTCCACTATATGCCATATTACCCACCCCTTCCGACTCCTCAGATCCAAGCTGTCAGTTGTGGCAGCTTCGGCGGTTTCGGCACCCTAAACCCTAAACCCCTAAACCCTAAACCCCTAAACCCCTAAACCCCTAAACCCCTAAACCCCTAAACCCCTAAACCCTACCCCTAAACCCCTAAACCTCTAAACCCCTAATAACCGAACCCAGGCCTGACCTGACGATCGGAGGCCATCCGGCCAGCGCCCCGGGTTTGGGGGAGAGGCGTTTGAGAGAAAGCGTCGAGGTACAGCGAGGTAATATGGGGGCAAATAAATACTGGGTAGCAGTACTATTTTGGGGGCTCCTTATTATAATCATACTATGATGGGCCCCAAAACCCTATTGTAATTGTTAAGGCCCCTATGTTACAGGCGGAGACTGTGCATGCGTCGGGGCCATGCCAGCCTTCAGCAACCAAGGAATTCGAAAGCTACTTCGATGGCCGGTTGGATGAAGTGGCCGTTTTTGACCGTATCGTTCCAGAAGCCGAGATCCAGATGCTGCGCACGGGTTACCGCTTCTCGGTTGCAATGCTGCCGGCATGGAGGGGGATGAGTCTATGTTCTCTACTGACTCAGAGGGAGCTAAGGGATGAAATAAGTAATAACTAATAACTATATAGCGCCTCGTCAAGTGCACCTTGACTATTTGCAACATTGCTGTTCCCCGCATGTCTTCATGTTTACAGAGATAGCAAGAACATTAGCTCAGACTGTGCAGCTGAAGGCATAGCCAGCTGGCCAGCAGGCGACACATCGTATTCAGTGGAGGTGGACACGGCCGTGCCCTTTAACGCGACAACGCTGCATGCTGTAGCGGCTGGGGGCCCAAGGCAAACTAATCGTTACTGCTGCTTCCGGCACCTTCATTAATTACTCTTTTTCTTATGACCACCACTACTTTGCTTAGTCTTATGGGTAGTTATAAGCGGGCTTATAAGTCCTTCAATATGGGCTATAACTAAAGTTATCCTACTTATCACCCTACTTATTGCTGTTCGATTCGTTGTGGGCAGTTTCGGGTTGTGGGGGAAAACCTGGCAGTCGAAGGCAGCATTTGCCGCGATGACCGCGAGCTACGATAGGGGCCTAAACATGTTTTTAAAATAATTACCAATGCTATTTTACGGGCTCCTTATTATAGATATAGTATGATGGGCCCCAAAACCCTGTTTCTAATTGTGAAGGCCCCTGTCGTACTTGTTGCTGCTGTTGGAGTTGATGAGGAGGGGTGATGATGATGACGAATGCAGTGATACGGCGGATGGTCATGACAACAGGGACGACGACGATTAAGAATAGGCTGCGGTTGTCGGTAGTGGTGGTCGTAGTAGTTGAAGAAGCAGCAGTAGTTGGGGTTGTTGCCGTGGTGGAAGAAAGGCGACGATGCCTGAGGACCGCGACGACTGCACAATTGAGGTCATGACGAAGTTGGCTATGGCGTTGGTGACTGAGATACTAATGATGTCCATGACCACGATGATGATAGCGATCGCGATTAGCGCGACAACGTTGATGGTGAAGATAGGGATTTGGAATTGTGGCGGCGATGACAGTGGTCTATCGTGATGACGACGATCGAGGTGATGATACTACCGATGATGATGACGATGATGATGATGATGATACTGATGATGTTGATTGTGGTGATGGTAGTGATTTCGAGGGCCTATGGTTGTTTTTCCGGTTGATAATGACCATGCTTTGAGCCCTAAACCAAATCGCCTCAACTTGTGAGAGCGTCATCATCAAGGTCGGGCGCTGGAACGAAGGAGCACCTCTGATCGTTGGTCTCGTGGCTGCTTGGCTGTCAGAGTCTTTCTAAGGCCCCTGAAATTTATTCTTGAGCTGACAGCTCTGGGACCCACCTGCCATGTGCCACCTTGTCCCTTCTTTGCAAGACGTGCTCGCAGTTATGTCGGTTCTCGCGGCTTCCTTGGCTCTCTCTCCTACACACCAAGCCTGCAAAAACACCTTCCCGGAGGTCTGGCATTCCCACAGAATACCTAAACCCTTCGTTCTGACCCCCTTTCCAGCGCTCCCCGTCTCTCCAACCTGCATCTTGCCTTCCGACCCCGACAAGGACAAAAGAACGTACCGGGATAGCCTTCGCAGCACCCGGTAGCGGTAGCTGTAGAGGAACACCTGTAGATGCTTGACCCCTTTTTTGTTATGACTACCTGTGTAATGTGGCTACCTATCTATCAGTCTACCTATCTCTAGACCTGTCTACATACTAGTTCCATGTTTGTATATTGTTGCTTGCATACATGTTATATATATATATATATATAACATGTACATGTGCGTATTTGTATAAGTAGAAATATCTATATATATATATATATATATATATGTGTGTATATATCTATAAATATATATATATATATATATATATATATAGATGTGTATTTCATGTGTGTATGTATATAAACAGGTCAGTATATGCATGTTCGTTTCTATACATCAACAAACGAACATGTTATCAGTATATGAGTATATGTATATATGCATATAAATATTCTTCTCGTTGCTGAGATGACAAGGATGATGCGACGCCTGCGAACCCACCCTTGGGAGTGACCTTCACGGACACGGACCTTGGTGCCGGAAGCTTCGGTGGCTCCGTGGCCCTCTTCGCAAAGATCTCGGGCTTAGGGTGTACGGTTTTAGGGTTTCAGGGTTAATTAAGAGTTCAGGGTTTTAGGGTTTAGAGTTTAGGGTTTTAAGGTTTAGGGTTTAGGGTTGAGGGAAGATAGGTCTAATCTTAGCCTTGCTTCAAGACTCATAAGCCCTAAAACCCTGAAACGACTCGTAACGCGCAAGTAGGGTTAGTGGATCTAGGCCTAGGTTTTTGGGGCTTTCAGGGATAGCGCAGCAGGGCTCCGGCGCTTTCAATCTTGAACCCGGGATCTGGCGTGGTGGGCTCAGTCCATGGGTAGAACCCAGAGTAGGCCCTTATTCCCTTTCTTTCAGGGTTTTTATTCCTAGGATACTCTTGGGTCTGGATGGATCGCAATCGGAATAATGAGGTTTTAGGGTTTTGGTCTAGGGGTTCAGGGTTGGGGGCTTTTTAGTAGTTGTTCTAGATTGAAGTAAGCAGCCAAAGTAGGAATCGGAGTTGTAGCAGCAGCAGCAGCAGCAGCCCAAGAAATTGCCAGAAACAGGAAGTCATAGACAGGAAGTCATAGTATCAGTAGCAGCAATTGCAAGAATAGCAGAAGCACTGGTACGGTTGATGATATAAATCCTGCATGACCCATTATAAGGAATATGCCATCATTCACAGAGTTTCGGGTCCTTAAGGTAATGCAGGATTTATATCATCCTAAACCCTAAACCCCCTATAGATCCCTTAAAGGAGCCCCCTTAGAGGTACCCTTATATAGATCCCTTTAAAGGAACCCTAGGATTTATATCATCAACAGTAGTAGTCGGAAACACAGAAGAAACGAAGCGATCGGTTCGTACTAGCCGCCAATGCTTGGAGTCGCCCCTCTCGGCCGGCCGGAAGGGGAGGGGAGGAGAGTATTTGTAATTGGGAGGTTCCGAAAATTAGGGGTACCTTATTTTGGGGCCCTTATAAGGATCCTACTATTCAGGGTACTATATTGGGGTCCCCTATTTTCGGACACTCCCATCTCGATGGAGGCCAAGACTTGAATGGAGCACGTCGAGGGCCGAGGAATTGTGTCGCCAACACAGAGTTGGGCGGCCTACTATAGGGGCCCTAAGAATTACCTATACTATTTTGGGGGGGGTTCCTTATTGTAAGTTATAGGTATAGTATAGTATAATGGGGCCCAAACCCTATTCTAAATATTAAGGACTCCTATAACTATGTTAGTCGGCCAAGTCATCACATTGGACTTCAGGTTTGAGGGTGGACTTCAGGGTTCAGTAGCAGCAAGGATCTCGTCATCGTTGGATGTCACGACTAGCACGGTTATCATTGTCATCTGTACTGCAAGAGTTAGTTCATGATGAAGTTGGCGATGCCCTTGTTTGGGATAGTTTATGCAGAATCAATCATGTTTCAGTGTTTCTAAGTAGTTCATGGGTTCTCGAATCGGGCGGCACAGCTGCCACTACACCAGCTAGACCAACAGCAATCGCTGTTCGGAACTTCCGTTATCCGAGCATGAACAGATTGGACAACAGAGAAAATGAGGTCGATGCCCAGCAACCCATGCTCAGGCATGATCACCTTGCACGACTTTTAACGACAGCAAAAGCTCGGCGATACGCCTGTCTCATGTGGACTTGTTTTTCCTTGCAGTCAGACGTGAAGCACTCTCTGCGCGGTGTCCGGCCAGAGTGTGTTTGTGTGTGTGCTGAGGTGGTGGTGCAGCGTGCATCAGACGAATCAGATTTGACACACTACGTCGCCTACTGGGGTCCCGGTCTTAGATAGAGCGGTGTGATGCATCGAGCTGATAATGCGACGCTATACCATGTCCTGAGGCACAAGCCCGACTGCGAAGATTCCCGGAACAAGCGAGCTCGGTTCGGTTAGCATCTTCAACGAGAGCGTGCAGAACGGTACCGCAATTATCAGCTTGCCGCCCGGACGGAACGTGATGCACCTACCCTAAACCCTAAACCCTAAATCATACCGCAAACCCCTCAGACCAAGACCAGGTGGCTGTGGTATCCCTCATGGTCGCCCCTCTCGCTCTGTCGCCAAACCCCAAGTTCTAAGCCCTAAAGCCCGTAATAACCCGAAAGCCTTTCTAACCCCCTGAAGCTCTTCAAAACCTCCTAAACTCCTAAACCCTGAACCCGTAAGGCCCTTCAAAACCCCGAATCCCTAAACCCCTAAGGCCCTTTAAGCCCCCCTAAAGCCTCCTAAAGCCTAAACCCCTAAGGCCCTTTAAACCCCCTAAAGCCCCTAAACCATAAAAGCCCTAAAGCCTATACCCTAAACCCGACACCCTAAACCCTACAAACCCTAAAGCCTCCTCAATCCCAAGGCCTCCGGGGCTCACGCCGGCCTCTGGGGCTTCCCACCTCGTGGTGGTCTCCGCCGTTCGTTTCGGGGCGGCCTTCGGAGATCCTCAGTCGCCTTTTGGGGTTTGGGGTTTATAGGGTATAGGGTTTAGGGGTTTAGGGGTTCAGGGGTTCTTTAGGGGTTTGGGGGTTTAGGGGTTTGGGGTTTGGGGTTTAGGGGTTTATAGGGGGTTTATAGGGGGTTTATAGGGGTTTATAAGGGTTTATAGGGGTTTATAGGGGTTTATAGGGGTTTGGTGGTTTATAGGGGTTTATAGGGGTTTGGGGTTTAGAGGTTTATAGGTTTAGGGGTTTAGGGGTTTGGGATTTAGGGCTTAGGGTTTAGGGGCTTGGGGTTTAGGAGTTTAGGGTTTAGGATTTTAGGGTTTGGGGTTTGGGGTTTAGGGCTTAGGGTTTAGGGGTTTGGGGTTTAGGAGTTTAGGGTTTGGGGTTTGGGGTTTAGGAGTTTAGGGTTTAGGGTTTAGGGGTTTAGGAGTTTAGGGTTTAGGGTTTTGGTAAATAGGCTAGTTCATGTTCTGTAGGGTTTGAGGGTTTAGGGTTCAGGGGTTTAGGGAGAGTTTAGGGCATTAGGGATTGTTTGGGGGTGTTTGGGGTATTTGAGGTTTACGGTATTTGAGGTTTACGGTCCTTGGGCAACTATTCTGGGGTTTACGGCCTCTAGGGTGTTGACAGCTGGGTAGAGACTAAAGGGTTAAGGCTTAAAGTTTTTTTTTGTAGCAGGGCAAACGAGGCTCCAGGGTATCTACGGCGAGTAAGTTTCCAAGAGTCAAGGGCGTTTCTTTCCGGTTTCAGGACTTCGCCTAAAGCCCATTGCGGTTTAAACCCTAGACCCCTAAACCCCTAAACCCCTCAACCCCAAAACCCCTAAACCGTAAACCTTAAACCCTAAACCCCTAACGACAGACCCCAGAGAGCGCAAGGAGATGGCAACTGGCGTCGGTGTGGCTTTGCAAGACTTTGCCCCTCCGTCGGTGCCCAGGCTGCATAAAATTATGGAGGCGTGAGCATCACAAAGAGTTAAGAGTGCGGCGTCCGAAAACCTGAAGAGGACTTCGGGGCATGTTCGACTTGCATCATGCGTAGTTTGCCCAGGCTTCTATGCTGGAAAGGCTGTGGTTAAAGGGGTTGGCTGCAAAGGGTGCTTTGTGCAACCACCCCGAATCATGACTCATTCAATTCTGCTTGCAACAGCTCATGACCCTGTCATGACTACGGTATAAGATAATGTACTGCCGTAATCATAAACCCTACGTAGCAGAACAGTAACCCCGAAACAACAGCTAACATTTCTGGCCATTTCCAGGCAGAAGCGCAGGGCATTTCCTTCACGGACACGAACCCCACCACGGGACAGGTCTCTGGCGACGTCGTCGTGACGCGGGCCGGTGGTCGAATGAAGACAACTAGCCCTTCAAGTCCTTTCGAGTAACTAGCACGAGCAAAAGCAGTAGTAGCAGTAGTAGAAGTATAGTAGTAGTAGTAGTAGTAGTAGTAGTAGTAGTAGTAGTAGTAGTAGTAGTAGTAGTAGTAGTAGTAGTAGTAGTAGTAGTAGTAGTAGTAGTAGTAGTAGTAGCAGTAGCAGTAGTAGTAGTAGTAGTAGTAGTAGTAGTAGTAGTAGTAGCAGTAGCAGCAGCAGTAGTAGTTTTTGTTGTTGCTGTTTTGGTGACTGTGGTGGCAGTGGTGGCCGTGGTGGCGGCGGTGGCGGTGGCGGTGGCGGTGGCGGTGGCGGTGGCGGTGGCGGTGGCGGTGGCGGTGGCGGTGGTGGTGGCGGTGGCGGTGGCGGTGGCGGCGGCGGCGGTGGTGGTGGTGGTGGTGGTGTAGGTTCAGTCGTCGCAGGTCGTCATAGCAGTGGTTGCTTGGTCGTCGTAGTAGTAGAAATTAACAGCACCGGCAGCAGCCCGATGATAGTGGAGACAGCGGCAGCAGCAGAATTGAAGCTGACTAAATTCAACAGCGCTGGATGTTGTGTTAAGCGGAAAAGCAAGCGCTGTGGTAAATAACTACACGAAGACGAGCAATGACCCATTGACATGGTAACGGCGGCATATCCAGTTTTCAGCATGACGATTAACTGAAGTAGAGGGGATTGAAGCGACATCCTGGACACGGAAAGCACTTTGTGAAAGCGAATTCTACAGACCTGTTGGTAGAGCTGGGTGTTTCGAACATGCTGTGAGTCTGGCAGGCCACCGACGAGACTGGAGTGGTGGTTGGCTCAGTATCATTGACCCTTGCACATACCGCGACAGAACATGCTTTGCCTCAGGAGAATTCCTGCAACACATACATCCACTTTCAGGCTTCCCTTACTGACTCGATGATTTTGTTTCAACTGCTATATCATGCGCACATAGTTCGGGCGCGTTGAGCCTGACATCTCTGTCAGATCCAGCAGCAAGTGGCATGAAGCATCTTATGCTTAAAATAGATGGAGTCATCTTTCCGTCGGGCTCATCGTAATCATCATCATCATCATCACTATATTCGTCTTCATTATCCGCATCTTCACCAGCAGTCGTGTTACCAACTTCATCGTCATTACCCTCCGGAATCATACCAGCGGCTCATATCGCCTATTACGAGGGCAAGAGTGAATGTGGCGGAAAGCGAAGGCGGTGCCCCAAGAATGGTGAACCGAAGTCTGGTGAAGCTCCATAGAACACAAGTGCACATACATACGCAACCCGCTGAGACCTCTTACAACCTCTACTGGGCCGACACGGCGCTCATGAAGCTTCTCCTTATCGCGAAGCTGCCAGCAAGCTCGAGTTCGTTGGAGCTTTGTCTGCAACAGCTGCAGGGTTGCCGTCCATACCTCAAAACGCAGAACATGAAGTCTACAGACTAAGTCAGAAGAGACGTGTGGTATGAGGTAGCACTAGGGCGGTAGCCGGAGAAGCTCCTCAAAAAGAAATCCCTAAGTCGAGCAAGGGATAAAGGACTGTGTGCGTATGACCGTATAACCCATACATACATCTACGTATATACATATATACATATATCCATCCATATATATATATATATACACATACATATACATATATACATATATATATATATATATACATGTATACATTTATACACATAGCAATCGTTGTTCTTATGATTGATAACAACATGCCTATCGGGCTGCCAAGCTCAGGGTTCGAGCCCTAGAGAGACCCCAGAGACTCCAATATCCCTTAATTAAGGAATATTCCTTAAATTATGGTAGGATCCCTTATATGATTTAAGGTATATTCCTTAACTAAGGGATATTGGAGTCTCTGAGACTGCTCTGTCAGACCTACACGCTCACCGATGCTGTCCTTCCAGCCGGCGCTGCGCACATCCTGGTCAGTCTAGAGGGCACGGGTGGTGAGACCGTTGCTGGCGTGGTCCGCGTCTCAGTGCATCCTCTCCGAAAGCTCCCACTGGCCGGCGGCCGGAAATGGCTTCATTGGTGCTTTCAAATTGCGCGGTTTATCGGGATTTGTGTAGGGGTGGCTGGGCATGGTGCATGGGTGTCTGTCCTTAGGCCACCACTGGCGAGCTAGACTACACGACGCTTACGGCGCCTCGTGACCTCATGTTCCAAGACGCAGATCCCGGCGTGAATCTATATGGAGGCCATTGCAATGTGTGGAGTAATGAAAAGTGCAAGCTTCGTCTCCCTGGTTCATGCATTATCCCCTTCATACCCACAAAGCTTCGCCTGAGATCCGGAAGGTCAAACACTCCATTACCCGTTTTAAAAACCTTGGTTTTTGTGGTTGAAGGCTGAAGGAGTATTCCTTGGTTAGAGGCTTTTGGATCAAATCTCACTGGGGGTTGCTGATGATTTACGAATCCCTTCTATAGCTGAACGTCGCAGGCTCTTTTCAAGCACACACTAGGATTATACCGTTAATACGCACACACTAGGTCTTTGTGGAAACCGTAGCTGCAAGGAGGATGTGCCCAACAAGACTATGCAGGAGTCCAACATCCTGTTCTGCTTTATAGTTCAGCGTTCTTGAAAACCCTAAACGGCCTAATAAACCCCCCACTCGCAAACTGTAAATCCTGAGTTCTATCCTCCTAAACCCTAAAGCTCAATGCCAGAAACCCCGGAACTCTCAAAGCGGACAAGTCTGTGGAAGATTCGACGGCAGGTGTCATCCATTTTCGACGGGCTGCTCGTGAGGCGCTATAGGGCACCATCTTAGGGCTTGAGGCTTTAGTACTCCCTTATAAACCCTCATAAACCCAAACCCCCTAAACCCGAACCCTTACACCCTAAACCCTATAAACCTTAAAGGGTCTGTTGGGTAACCTGAGGTTTGAGGGAGTGTTAGGATTTGAGGAATGCTCGGAGTTTAGAGGTAGTTCAGCGGTCAGGCTGCCGTAACAGATGCATGCATGCGCGGGTGCATACATGCTTACATTGTAAACTTGCATACTGACATGCTGAAAGATAGTTGCATGCTGACATGCGTACATGCATAATCACCTGCGTGCACACACCTGCAGACATGCTTACATGCGTGCATGCATAGTTACATACATACATACATACATACATACATACATACATACATACATACACACATAACATACGAACATACACAACATACATAACATACATACGTGCTTCTGCACGTGCGTGTGTATGTGTTTGTGTCTGTTTATGTTTATGCGTGTGTGTGTGTGGCTCTGTGTGTGTGTGTGCATATGGCTGTACGCACGCCTGTGAGTTCTAATGCGTTGCCGACAACAGCAGTGATTCTCAATCGAAGTTGTAGCAGCAGCCGTCGCAGAAGCTGTTACAACCTTCTTTGATGAACGAAACGTGCAGCACCACACAGAGTCGACAAAGTGCTGCAGTCTCGGCAGCCCAGCTGTTTTACTTCGACACCGCAGGCGACCGTCGAGCAGTATGAGATTCATTGGGCCCAGCTGTCTGGATCAACGGCCTCACCGGTTTCGCTGGTGGAGACTATTACGACGGCATCCGACAATGAGTTTCCTGGTTCGTTGTTCAAGGGTCGTTAGGGGACACCTCTCAATGGAACAGGGGCCTTGAGAATAGTGAATTCTCAGTGAAACCGGGGCTCTCGGGAGGAAGCCCTGGGCGGGAAACCCCCTGTCTTCGGTTTGCTTCTCTGTTCGGCACGCCATGTAATTCAACACTCTGAGGACCTTGCTGTTTGAGATGATCGACTCCTACGGTGATGGGTGGAACGGCGCTTACTACTACATTCGGACCTCAACCGGACCTTCAGCTGCACACATGTAACAGGGTTCAGGGTCCCGGCCGTGTCGGCGAAGTTGGACGAAGAAGTTGCGCCATGTGTTATTCAGATCTGCGTGAAATCTCGTGTGAAACAGCTGAAAGGGCGCGAAGCCACCATTACGCAGCGGGTGGACGGCCAAATGCATGAATTTTGCAGCTCTTCGCCTGCCCTGTGTGAGGAGAGTCTGTGGCAGAGGGCACCTTCCTTAGCGGCTATGGTGAGACACACACCATCGCTGGCGTCTCAGCAGGAGCAACGTTGACGCTTGGGCAGCGATTTGGATTTCCCAGAGACTCCAATATCCCTTAATTAAGGAATATTCCTTAAATTATGGTAGGATCCCTTATATGATTTAGGGTATATTCCCTAATTAAGGAATATTGGAGTCTCTGGGGATTTCCTCTGGTCCATCAAGCTTTCCGAGCTTCCAGCCTCCTGCGTGCCCTGAATCGATGTGAATTGCAGAACCTTTCGGCCCAGATTCCTTACAGTAGTATAGAGCCCTTACGCCACTTAAAAGGAGCCCTTGCCGAACTCTTGTAGAAATCCTCATCGGAAGCTTCTATAAGTCTGGCGTCAGTATTGCATGTTCGGCCTGCCGAGGACACTTACTGTGTCACGAGGTGTCCTGGTGTGCACGGGAGTCTTTGAATGGAACCTGCGGTGTCAGGGTCCACTTAAAAGCGCCTCTGACCCCCGGTGCCCCGCCCCATCTGCGTCTTCGTAGTAGTTCTGCTGTGGTAATGTAGTGTAGGGGCCTCCATAGTTAGAATGGGGTCTTGGGGTATATTCTACTACAGTTATAGTCAGGAACCTCCGAAAGTAGCATTATGGTGAATACTTAGGCCCTGAACCCCAAACCCTAAACCCTAAACCACCCAAAATGTGGGAGTCTCCGAAATTAGGGGTACCTTATTTTTATTTTGGGCTCCCTAGAATAAGGATCTTACCATTTAAGGTGATATTAGGGGTCCCCTATTTTCGGAAACCCCCAGGGTTGAGGGCTTAGGGCTTAGGGTTTAGGAGGGCTTTGGGGCTTTTTTTGAGGGGGCCTTGCGGAGCTTCGGAAGTTACACCTCTGGACGAATTCGTGTCGTCTGCCTCGCTTGTTGCCTGCAGCCGAGGAGCAGCCAAATCCGATGTTAAGAAGCACGGTTTAGGGATTAGGGCCACGCCGTGAGCCAACAAAGAGATAGACAAATGAAGTTCAAGAGTACGTAACCAGGCTCAAAAGCCTAAGCTCCCAAGCCTGAGCCAGAAATCCCCAGCCCTGAAAACCTAAGCTCCAACGCCCGAAGCTTTCTTCAAAGGATTGGCCCTGAACCCTCAAGCCTCAACACACTACAGCCAAACCCACTCGCATCGTCGTGGCTTCAAGGTAGCTGGCCATCAGAGATCTCATGGGCGGCTTGACTCATGGTCGGTTTATACGATACTAATTATATCAAGGCCCCGTGTCAATCCCGAAAGCTCAAAAGTTGCGAGTTTGAGTTTAGGTTTCTGCTCCAGTCTCGCATCAGCAGTCCTACGGCTGATAGACAAAATCCTGCATTACCCATTATATGGAATATACCATAGTTCCCATAGTTTAGAGTCCTTAGGGTCATGCAGGATTTTGTCCATCAGCAGTAAGACGATGGTTGTAGTTGTGCTTAGTTCTCCTGGTTGCTATCGGCTTGTCGCTTTAGGATCTCTCGGCAGTATCGTATGCGCCTACCGCGACACCACTGCTTGTTCTGATAATGACATGGTTCCGATGACTCTTCACGACCACTGAGGAAATTCAATGCTTGAAGTTGTCTTTGTCGCATTTCTTCATGCTTGGGCGGCTGCTGCTTTCTCTGTTGCTGACGCTACTACACCAACTATTTTGACTACTCTTGCTGAGATTGTTGGTGCAATTACACATGGTAGCCTTTTCTGGAGACCCTGTGGTACCCTACAGAACCCTTAAAGGAACCCTCATCGAAGCCTCAAGGGAACCCCTTACCGGACCCTTACAGGAATCCTTAGATGGGCCACGTTCCAGGTGCTCAGGACAGCCAACAACGAGGCGGAGAGTTCTAAAGATCGGGCTTCCCTGCGCAAAGCCTTGTCAGAGCAAGGTTTGACCGGCTTAGGTCTTAGGGTTTGGCGCGTAATAGAGGGGCCCAAGAAAGTACCAAAACTATTTTGTTGGTTCCTTATTATATCCATAGTATAATCGCCCCAAAACCCTATTCCAATTATTCAGGCCATTGCAGTAAGAATTTTAACGGCTTCGTGTGCCGAAGAACTGCGAGCCTCGCCGAAAGGAGATCCTGACCTCCTCGACGGAGACATTTCCCGAGAACCGGCAGTTTCGTGTGCCAGGTGTGGGGCCAAGTACTAATAGTAATACTACTCCTTACCAACAGTAATAATAGTAATGATACTAACGGTTGTCATATAAGGAATAGTAGTAAGATTATCAAGAATGGTAGCAATAGTAAGTAATACATTGACGTGAGTGATTCGGTGCAACTATTTAATGTTCTTTGTTGGAGGTCTTCGTTTAGGGTAGCACCTGGCTGAGCCCTAGAAGCCATGACAGTCTGGGATGCACCTGTCTTTGAAGCCTTGAGTGCATCCTGATCTGCTTTCAGCCAGTCTCAGAAATCCTGTGGCCTAAAACCCACATCCACCCCCGTAAATTCGAAGGCACTGGCAACTCCAACTCTGACAATGTTCACATCGACGGAGAGATGGTTCAAGTGACCCTGCCATCGGGCACGTCTCCTCCTTCGGGCCGGCGCCTCAAGTCTCCCTACAAGGGTTTTGGTTTTGAGGGCTTGGGGGTAAGTGTCCTGCCAAAGAATATGCATGTAAGACCTCTCCGTTTCTGTTTGTGGTCTCTGCACCACTCATAACTGCAGTCTATCTGATAGCCTATCTGTGGCCCGAGACTGTGTTGTAATTGCGATCATTTTGCGCCAGTGATTGTAACTATGTCAATAAATACGCGCAATCAGTATGAACCGTGAACTCATAGTGTATCTTGATACTGCAGGTTTCGAATTGAAAAGTAATGTAGACAATTCACTCTAGACATTACGAGATAGTTGCATGTCGCACATTCTGTATAGTGTCAATGTAGCATGCCGTAGCACGGACAAAGTACATAAACCTGTAAAGACGTACATGCCTACCAACATACATACATAGGTATATGTTATATACACAGGTACACGTACATGCATATTGTTTACCTACATGTGTGTGTGTATATATATATATACATATATATATATATATATATATATGCTACCCCCCCCCAGATACCAATAGAATTGTGTGTTTTGTGCTCTAAACCCTGCAATTCATGACACCAAGACACTCGAAGGTCTCAGATACTTCTAGTGCACGACCAGAAGGTGATTTTGTTCATCCCCTAGATCCCGCAATTCAAGACGCATGCATCCAGGAGGCGCTTAATACAGGGCCAGGCAAGCCTGACACATTGATGCCATACACATACAGGATGCTTCAGCACATGGTAGGTAGTAACGGTTTAATGGCACCCTCTGTATTACTTAGACGTGCCTCTAATCTATCACCCATCCTTCCTATCACACGCTAATAATAGTACAACCCTAACACCAACAACTACCACTACCACTCCTCCTCGTGCTGCTGCTGCTATTACTGCTACTACCACATTACTACATGTTTAGTTAGGTCTATGTGTTTCAGCGTCATTCCACATCTTGCCCCAAATGTATCCAGGCGACCTTTTCCTAGACCATGTCTTCTCACCATATTGCTCCTAGATTTCGTATCATGATATTAAGTTAAATCCTGTCACATATCCAACTATTATCAAGATGGTCATAACAAGCCATCACAAGAACCGTACTACGACTACAATCTACTACTGATACTACTACTACTACTACTGCTGCTACTAACTACTACTACTACTACTGCTACTACTACTACTACTATCACTACTATCACTACTACTACAACTGCTACTACTACTACTACCACTACTAGTCAATCCATAGTATTAAACACGATTACACTGTACCTTTATCCTGTTATACTACTACCGCCATACCCTTATGCTAATAATCATATTCCTGCCACAATGCCTTAAGCAAGCTTTTCCATCCTATCATAAATCAAAAAGCTACCCATATTTATGGTTTAGATGTAATTAAGGACACAGTATTAACATATCATTCACTTACATCAGTCTATCTCATTTACCTAACACACGTAAACAGTGCTCACTGAAGTAATCAAATATCACACTCATCACCCTAAACATAAAACGTCAGTGAGACTGGCAACCAGAAACAAAACACACCCTTCTACCATCTCCAACAAACACTTACACAAATAAGGGTACATTAACTAATCATAGTGAACCCCAGAAAGTTGGAACATTGATTTGGGGTGATTAGTCTTTGATTTACTTTGCCTTTAGTATAAGGGCATTAGGATACTGATGTTTCAACTTTCTTGAGTTCACTGTAGAATAATCTACAATGAAACCAGATCTCAAGTTGACGGCAAAACAAGAATCTGCTGTAAGTCAAAGCTAACAGAGCGCGAGAAGAAAATCTGCAGTGCGTTTTGCGCGGGCGCCGCGCGCGTGACGGAAACCTTCCAAAAGATCGTTTGATTGAGACAGTACAGTGGTTTCGTTAATTTTATTGTAAAAGTGCTGTACTGTCCCAAAAAAATCAATCCTTTTTTGCAAAAGTGTTGTAGTGTCCCAAAAAAAAACCAAAAGAACAATCTTCTACAGTCTTGGAGCAGCTGCCGTGTAGGGGCCTCCAATAGATTGGTTTTTTTGGGACAGTACAGCACTTTTGCAAAAAAGGATTGGTTTTTTTGGGACAGTACAGCACTTTTGCAAGAAAAGCAACAAAAAACACTGTACTGTCCCAAAAAAACCAATCCTTTTTTGCAAAAGTGCTGTACTGTCCCAAAAAAACCAATCTATTGGAGGCCGCTACACGGCAGCTGCTCCAAGACTGTAGAAGATTGTTTTTTTTTGTTTTTTTGGGACAGTACAGCACTTTTGCAAAAAAACGATTGGTTTTTTTGGGACAGTACAGCGCTTTTTCTAGTTTGCGGAGAAGTGTGATGCAGAGCGAGTACTCAAGTGCTGAGCATCCTGCTGCTATACTCAAAGTGGTGCAAGCGCCCTCTAAGGCCACAAAACGTTCATGGAGAGTCTTGTCACAAGTCTCAGCCAAGAGGGTGCTCGAATGCTCTGTTTTTGTCGCATGGTGCTGCCTGCAGAAGGAAAACACAGGAATGTATTGGTAATTTTTATACATACATACACGAATATGTCTGTTTGCGTGCCTGCCTATCTGCCTGCCTGACCGGCTGTCTGTCTTTCTGTCTGTCTGTCGGTCTGCAAGTCTGTATGACTGTATGACTGTGTGTCCGTGTGTCTGTATGTAGGTATCTAAGTGACTATGTGCGTATGTATGTATGTATGTATGCATGTATGTATGTCCGTCTGTATGTATGAGTGATTGGTCTTCAACAAGCTTATGCAAACTTATGTATACGTGCTTGTCATATGACATATAACTATTTAGATGGGGTCCATGCGCTGTCATGCAATGGAGAGTTCACATTCACTAGTAATCTAACGCGACATCTACACCACACTCTCTGTGTGTTTGTCAATGCCTGCGTTTGAATATTCGCAACCTGCAGTCGGCAAGGCCCAAAGTCTCAAATTCATCCCTAAAACCCACATATAGCAGCCGTTATAGTAACCATTAAAGGGACCCTCGAAGCCGTCAACCCCTGCGGCCCTATCATAGCACCCTTCTAGGAATCCTGAAGGAACTCTAGAAGCCGTAAACGCCGAACACCCTTATCATATTTTTAGGGTACTATTTATATTAGGGTCCGCCTATATTCGGAAACTGCCAACAGGCTACAGCATAGTTTTTGGAATCAGGAGCAGAACCTGTATAGGGGCCCGTGAGTAGTTCTCTAAATTCGGATGCAGTTTTAGGCGCCAAGAACGGCACGGCACCCTTCGGAAGTGGATCCTACAAGGAACCCCCAGTTTAGAGAACTACCCCGTTACCCTTAAGCCCCACACCCTAAACCCCCTAAACCCTAAACCCTTAAACCCTAAACCCTAAACCCCTTAAACCCTAAACCCTTCAACCCTAAACCTTAAACCCTTAAACCCTAAACCCTGAACCTGAAAGCCTTTTGAGGTGCCGACCAGATCCTGGCACTGTCGAGGCCCTTTCCTGGGCGCCGTCTTGGCGTCTAGGGGTTCAGGGTTTAGGTGCGAGGGCTTTTGGGTTTAGGATTCAGAGCTATAGGGTTTAGGATCCAGGGCTTTGGGTTTTTTGCTTCAAGGTTTGAGGGTTTAAGTGCTAGGGCTTTAGGCTTGAGGGGCTCTGGGTTTCGGGTTTTGGTTTGGTTATTTAGGGGTTCGGGGGGTTCAGGTTTAGGGGTTCAGGGTTTAGTGGTTTCGGGCTTTTGTGGGTACAGGGTTTAGGCTATGTAGAGTTTAGGGGTTCAGGGTTTGGGGGTTTAGGGATTCGTGCGACTATTGGGTTTCGGGTTTATGGTGTAGGGGTTCAGGGTCCGTGGGTTTGGGGTTTGGTATGAGTTACGGTTTGGGGACTTAGAAAGTCAGGGCCTGGGTTTTGAATTGGTTTGGGGTGAAGGTTGAGAGAGACGACGATAAGTTTACAGTTGTAAAGTCCTGCAGATGCTTCACTCATACACTTGGTGGAGGCTCACGTCGGGGAGCACGTCCATTGCTGTATGGGCAGGGGGCCCAGCTCAATTCCGTATAGCATCAAAGCATGGCAATCTTGAGGGTGATGTGGCGAGTGTCCTGTCGAGGTCGCGCTGAATGATTTCGCACCCCCGTCTGCATCCCCGACTTCCATCCAGTTCCAAGACACGGATTCCGGTGCCTCTGCAAGCACTTCATGCCTTAGCTTTCTGTCTTTGCGTTTGGGTGCATGCAAACTTCCCCTGACAGCACCCCGATTAGTGCTTCGAAAATTAACAGCGAAGGATGCCCGATTACAAACATGCCAGTCAGATTTTACAGAGGAGACGTTAATGAAGGGGCCTCAATCATTTAAATAGGGTTTAGGGGTATAGAGTATCTTATGAGGAACCCCCAAAACCCTGTTCTAATTATTAAGGCCTCTGCACGACTCCGGATCGCAAAGCTTTGAGCTTCATCCGCTCTGTACGACAGCTAGAGGTCTGCCCTAGGCTGGGCCAGACTTTCCGGATCGGTTTCCCAACGAAAGGACCCTAAACCCTAATCCTAAACCCTAAGCCCTACTCTAAACCCTAAACCGAGACAGATGCGGAGCAGAAATAGGCCCTTAAAGAAAAAACGAGACAGAACTGGACAGTATCTTTTGTAGCTTAGAGCAATTCAATCGTGAACTTGAAAGAGTTGTATTCCGCACAATGTCATTGCCGTCTAGTAAGTGGCTTGGAAGATATTCGAATTGTGAGAGATCTGATTTGCAAGGTATCAGACAGATCGCCGGCGTGATTAGCCTTGGAAGGGCTTCAGACGAGTCTGCCATCTCTGGCTACAAGGTATACTTTGGCAGCCCCTCTCTCAGATGAACTGAGGGAACTGGGTGCATACAGAGTCCAGGCTTTGATGTCAAACTTGAGTTGTCCAGCGTCTCGTAAATGAGTCACCGCACGTAGCGCGGGGGTATATATTTATATGTGTACATACATATTATGTATATATACATTTACACAACATATATATATATATATATATATATATATGTATATATATATATATATATATATATATACACACGCATAGATATGGGAATTGCGTCATGTTCGAAGCAGTCTCAGGCAGTGCGACGCAGAAGCTTCCGCCAGCAGTCCTACCGGGACTTGCGTACAAACTCTTTGTGTTCCCACAGCCTGGTGGCCGCAATCATAAGGCGTTTTGGGCGTAAGGGTGCGGGTATACGGGGCCTTGACCCCCCGGATAAGGATCCGATAAGGGTATGATAAGGCATGCTAAGGAAGTACAGTCCCCTACCTCCTCCCCCTTAATCCCCCCTCAGGGTCGGTATGGTGCAGCAAGAGGAAGAAGAGATTTCCAGAGTAAGACCACCGCCTGAACCCTAAACCCTTGCTTTTCCTGTAGAAGCTGCTGCCCACCGTGCCAGTGCCTGTTGCATGTTGTTTTTTTTCCTTTGCTTCCAGCTTACAACTAACGTCGTCCTGGCGGTTTCTGTGTCTGGTCTTCGTCTTCTCGGGCGGAAACGATCTTCCATCTTGCGGATCCATTCTGCCCGAACTACCAGACCTTGCGCCTCGAAGCCCTGTACCCCAAGCCCCTCAGCCCAGACAGCTAATATAGGGGCCTTAGTAGCTACCTATACTACTTTGGGGGTTCCTCATTATAATTATAGTATAATGGGGTCCCCGGCAATCCTATTCTAATTGTTAAGACCCCCCATATTACCTCCAAGCCCTTCAGCCCAGGCAGCTCAGAAAAGAGGCCCTCCAAGCCACAGCCATCCCCTAAACCCTAAACCCTACACCAGCTCAGGGGGAGCTCGCTGCCTTCCCTCGACGGCCGTGCGCCGACTTCGGAGGGCATCCATGCCTCCCTGGATTTCGTGAGGCGAGCTCAGCTTCACAGAAAGTGAGGGGGTTTAGGGTTCTATAAAGGGTTCCATAAAGGGTTCAGTGTTCGGGGTATTAGGGTTTAGGACTCGGGGTTAAGAGTTTAAGGGTTGAAGGGTTCAGGGTCATCAGGGGATCACTTAAGTTTCGTACTTGCACAAGTGGATCATAAGTATCGACATGTGAGTAACCCAGTAGCACAGGGCATGACATTGTGCTGATGCGCAGTCTTCGGATAACGTGCTTCGGGTTCCCAGTTTACATCAGGGCCCCCTGACTAGTTTGACAACTCCGCCGAGGAGCTGCAGTCACTTCAGGAGACATGTAGGACACTATATGGGAGTTTCCGACAATTAGGGGTGCCTAATTTTGGGGTTCTTGTAATAAGGATCCTACTGTTTCGGGTACAATATTTGGGTCCCCTATTTTCGGAAACTACCATTTTAGGAATACAGCCATCCGACTTCAAGAACGGTGCTCTGAAGCCTGAACCCTAAACCTTCAAGTCTAACTCCTAAGTTTGACCTTGAAACCCGAAACCCCAAACCCACACCCTAATACTAAACTATCCTACACCCTACGCCCCAAACCTGATTGAAGCCGGTTGAGGCAAGACTTTGGATCGCCGGAAGCTTTCAACACGGGCTTTGCCATACGATGGGCCGGCTTCCTCCACATCGTGACTGCCGGAACCTACTACTTCCAGACGTTTTCGGATGGCTGCAAGGCGATCTTAACAGACCAGAGCTCGTAGTTTCAGGCTTTGGGGCCCAGGGGTGTAGGGTTGAGGGTGGAAGTTCTCAAAGTCTAGGGTTCGGGCTTTGTAGGATGCTTTGGAGGTCTACTTGTATGGAGACGTGCTGATCGATGATGCCGGCGCCTCAGTACCTTTGCTGCCACATGGCACCTGCTTGCTGCAAGACTCCGCAACGTAGCACCCTTCCACATGCGCAACAGGGTTCTGAACCAGAGACACAGCACCCTGCGAGTTGCAACCTTCCAGCTTTGCATCCAAAGTCTCTCTCAACGCCTTAGGGCCCTCGGTTTGGGATTAGCCAAATCTCCTAGAATCCCAGAACTCAAAACCGTACAACACCTCGGACCCGCAAGACTTGCTCAGGATGTCTTGAAGACCAACGCGTCGTGGGGAACGGGAACCAGTCTGTTCCTTGAGCAGGGAGCACACTCGCTCCAGGTCGACTACTTCTTCGCACAGGTGCGGTGACTTGGGGCCTGTGAATGACTCCACGAAGCATAAGAATATCACGAAACATTGGGAACTGGGGCACGTGATGCTCTACTTCAATACGGATTCGGGGGTGCACGGGTCTTCATGCCGCATCTCACGTTCCCTCCATTCAATTAGTGAAGAACCCAGAGGGTCCATATATACTACCATTATGGAATTAGGTCCCGAAGGACCATCCCTATTATGGCTTTGGGGGCCTAATTTCATAATGGTAGTATATATGGACCCTCTAGGGAAGCGGGAGGTTTCCCTCCTACAGAAGCCTTTCGAACCCAGAGACTCCAATATTCCTTAATTCAGGAATATACCTTAAATCATATTAAGGATCCTACTAATATGTAAGGTATATTCCTCAATTAAGGGATACTGGAGTCTCTGGGAACCCTCGGGAAGGCTCCAGCGGCCCCAGAGGGCACGATGCTGCTGAACTATTGGGGGACCGACTCCTTGTCACAGTTGGGTAACATTTTTCATTTTTAGGGGTACGTAAACCCAATAAGGAATAAAAATTGTGCGTTTTTAATCCTATCCCAACCATGAACTAGGACTCAAGCGACATGTGGATGCCAGTGCCGGCAGACAAGCTCCTTTGCTGGGTTAGGGGTTACTATAGGGGTCCTAAATGATTACCTATACCATCCTTTGGGTTGCCTTATTGTGCATAATGGGCCACAAAAGCTCATTCTAAGAATTAAGGCCCCCCCCCCCCATATATTACGATTCTCGGCTGTAGGGTTTCGAGTCCAGGGTTGCCGAGTCTCGCTTAGGGTCTAGATTCGGCCAGCTCTAGAGCGACGGCACTCGAGACTGCAGACCCGCTATCCCGAAACCTTGAGCACTGAAGTCACTGAGCTCTTTCAGCCGCTTGAAACCCTAGATCCCAAGCCCCGCCAAATCCCTAATCCCCAAAACAACATGCTTTAGCATCTGACCCCAAATCCTCACACCTGTCGATCCAGAAGTCCCCTTAGGCTCTTCTCTGAACTCCGAAGCTCACTCGATCCCTAAGCTTGAAACTCCAAAACCTTACCCCCCCAACACATCAAGCCATGAACTCGGAAAACCCCAACATTCTCCACCCGATTGACCTGATCCAGCCCTGAAAGACCTTGGAGCCCCGCAGAACAGGCTCTCTCATGGAGTGAACGAGACGGACTGGATTGCTTACGTGAGCGTATCTGCACAAGGCACGTGCTAATTGCTGCGATATGGCACAAGCTTTAAGACATAGGTCAAGAATATCTCTGATGCAGGATACAGTGACATCATCGTTTGCCAGGTACAATCCCAAGAGCTGTGCATGCGCGTGTACGTGTGTGTATATATATATATACATATAATATATATGCATGTACAGAGGTAGGCATATATTGTCATACGCATATGTGGTGTTGTGTTATGCTCTGTCAAGCTCTGTTATGCTATGCTTCGTGATTTGTGTGTATGCATACACTTGACATTGAACAGAATGGCATAACTTGTCGTAATTATATGTTCATGCTCATTTTTGCAGTATGTATATTTATATGATCTTGTATGTGCGTATGTGTATACGTATACACACACACACACACACACACACACACACACACTACAGAGCTGTGGCTATAGGTGTGTCGTTCCTCTCGGAGGCACAAGGCGCTGAACACTTCTCAGAAGTCGTCACCTCACCAACATCCCTCGTGCGTCGGTTTTAGATCTTGGAGTCTAGGGTGCGGGGTGTAGAGTTTGGGGTTCAGGACCCTTGGGTTCAGAGTGTAGGGTTTCGCAACTTTGGAGTTTAGGGTTTCTGGTGGCTATAGAGTCCACGTTTACGGTTCAAAGACGTCTTAGGTCTTAAGATTTGTGCTAGACTTGATTTCATGGACACTGCTGCACCGCACTCTTAGACCCTGTGCAGTGTTGGCAGCGAAACCCGAACCACATCTGATTCTTAGCCTCCAGAACAGGCGATCCACTGACGGTGGACTTGCCGAGCACCCCGGTGCGCGAGAACGCCACTCACCTCCTGGCCTTCGGCGCCTCGAGCACAGGAGTTCCTAGGCGCAAAAAACTAGAGCTCGGAATCATGAGCACTGCTGTCCCTGTATAGACTCCGTTTAGAATTTGCAGAACTGTAACTCTATAGATGTGAGCGATCATCTGCCTCTACTACTCCTACCTTCGGCTTAAAGCTGTAGAAAGGCTCCGGCTTTTTTTTAGGTGTAGGGTCGCAATCAGGAGCTGTTGTTATGCTATGCAGAACGGGCCCGGGCTGCATGAGCCAATTCGAAGTAGCGGGATTGATTTTTAGGAGTTTCCGAAAGCCGACCGGGGTGAAGACGCCGATGACGCGCTCATGGTGATGATGATGGGGTTAAAAACCCTTCGCCCAGAGACTCCAATATCCCTTAATAGAAGTATACCTGAAAATGTAGTAGGAGCCCTAATATGATTCAAGGTATATTCCTTAATTATGGGATATTGGAGTCTCTGGGTAATAGAATCACAGATACAAGATGTATGAACTACTTTTTTTCGGACCAGGGGACCACCTTGCACGTACCCAGACCTTGTCGTCTATTAATTGTGTCAAGGACAGATCGCGATGCCTGGTAGTTTGGGCTAGTAAGTCACGGAAAACATCAGAGCAATGCATAGATAAGTAGCCATCGAGCACCAGATGATGAGGGTGTTGTTAAAGGCACCGTGGTAACGTATGAAGCTACTGTCGTGACCTACGCCCTTTGGATGACATTGATATATATATATATATATGTACACACACATATCTCTCTATCTATACATCTATATATATATATATATATATATATATATATACACATACATACACGGATATGTATGTATGACAACTGAAGATGGTTTAAAACTTGCTCGACACCTCGAGTTGAGGCGAAGGGATTCAGACTGGAGGTGCCATAGATTTCAAGGTTTTGAGGTTCCCTTCACAGTACCACTCATGCCATTTTAAAATGCCTCTTTCACGCGGCGAGCGACGAAGCAGTGTATGTATGGTACATATAGTTTGCCACCAGCAATAAAATCTGTGATGTTCCCCTTATCTAACACTCAGCCCTAAGTTATAGGCCATAGACCGCTTAGCGGACCAGTCTCATCCTTTGCGGTCTGACTCTTGCCACCTGAGGATAGCGTTCAGTGGCTGGGCGGCACGAGTTGAGAGTGGAAGAACGAAGGGTGTCGATAGTTGGCTGTAGTGTGAGAGCATATTTGTGTTAGATTGTATTATGTTGTATTGCTGTATTAAGTTGTATTGTACTGTGTGGTGTTATGTTATGTTATGTTATATCATGTTATATATATATATATACACTGTCTTCTTGTATAGTGTGTTGTATTATGCTATATTATGTTATGTTATGTTTTGTTAGATTAATTTGTATTCCATTTCACTCTTTTATACTGAGGTATATTAAATACTATCAGTTTGTATTGTGTTGTTTACTTTATTAACATGTTGTATATTGTACTGGAGTGCAGTATATGACAGTCCATTGTATGAAGCTGTATATAAGTGCATGATGATCGAGGTTCCTTTGAAGGCCCTGCAACTTCCAAAGCCAAGGCCATAAGTCTCAGATCAACTCTTCCAGGGTTCTTGTTGCGACACTGCAAGCGATACTATAAAGTTAACGTGCCGACCTACTATAAGGGCTTCTAATAAGGGAATCTCTCAGGGATATCAGAACAAGCCTTGAAGGGGTGTAGGGTTTAGAGTTTGGGGTTCAGGGTCTGGGGTTTAGGGCTGAGCATGCAGAACCATGGTCTACCGTTTACTCCGAGAAGCTCTAAACCGTCTGTCATCAGCACCCAAGCCCCCAAACCTTTAGACCCCCTTCTCTCACCCCGAAGCTATTTCAATTCTTGAACCGTACGCCCCAAGAAGCCCTAACCGCCAAAATCCTAGACCCTATAGGCCCTAGACCCAGACAGACCGTAAACCCTAAACCCTGAACCCTAAAGCGAACGTCTTGAGGTTTATTGCGACCCCTTTCAGTGATTTGGTCTTGCCGACGGCTGTGGCCTCGAATGCCCCAGAGCTGCCTTGGACACGTCCCAAACGGGTTCCATAGATTATTCGTAGCTGAGTGGATACACTTTATACTCTTCGGGATAATACTACCCACCATAAAACTTAAAAGTGTAACTTTTTGGGGCTTGTGAACTCAGCAACTAAGGGTTGTATACGGATACAGGTTCAAGGTTCCAGTCCCGCAAGGGGAAGTGCACGGTTTGGCTTAGGGTTAAGGGGTTTGGCGAGTGCCGCTTACTATACTTGCGTGTTTTGGGGTGACACACTCCTGCGTGCTTGGGATTTGTGCTCTAGGTCTCGGCCCTAACCGTCAGCCCTCAAACCCCAAGGCCACAAATTGAGAGTCGGGGCCAGGGTCTACGAGTCTACTGGCTCTCCGGTGCCCGAATCCAGAGCGCTCGCTTTGTGAGGTCACGTTCGCAGATTCTGATCCTGCTGTTGGCCAGTACGCTGGCCCAGTGACCTTCTTGCGTGGAGAAGATGAAGCCTCCATTACACATTACCTGCTCTTTTGGGGCACGAGCACCTTAGCTCTTTAGCTCTTTGGGTCGATTCAGTGTCCTTTCGCCGTGATGGTGTGTGCGTGCAGTAGTACCAGAAAAGTTAGAGAGAGGTCCAACATCGCCCTCCATGGACCTGGGTGTCCTTGCTAGCGTCTCGGTGGCTCCGTCCTTCACGTGCGTGCCGATCGGTGGATACTGGGCTCTTGTAAAGGAATGTTAATTTCAGCTACCAAAATAGGGATCTATAGTAAATAACATGGTCTCCTTATTATGGTAACTTAAATTTAATCCCACCCAGGATACTACTACGGTGTAGAAACCTTGAGTTCCACATGGACCTTCGTCTCGAATGCGGACGACATGACCTCTCCCGAAGTTGTGGCATTTCAGCAGTCCTGTGAGGACTACTGCCTGAACAGCTTGCCCGCGTGTGCTGGGTTTGCCATGTATCTCTTCGTGAACTCTCAATCAGGTTGTGAGTATTTCGGCTCCGACATTGGGCTTGGGCAGTGGATGAATGGAACCAGCTCAGGTGGGTCCATACTTTGCCAGAAGACATCCATCCTCGGATCTTACGGAACACTGCAGCTCCCATCCACCTCGGCACCTCAAGGCATGACACACCTTGTGGTGGTCAGCGCCTACGAGAATACAACCATGGCAAGCGGCGCCGGCGTTGCCCTCGTCGACTACAGCACAGTCGACGTCGTCGCAACAAACCTGTCCTTCGAGGATGAGAACTCCATGGCAGGCTTTATCCAGGGCACTGTGAGTGTCAGCCCTGCCGTGGATGAGTCGGAGATCTCCGGCTATGCAATCTATTGGGGTCAGAGTGCCTCGGCCAAGCTGGATGGGGCCGAGCCAGGTTTGCAGGCCCAGTTCTTCGCTATGTCCAGCTGCCCATGCTCCAGCTGCACCGTGGACTTTGCTTCTTTGGGCGCACCTCTCCTGGAACAAAGCGAGACCGAGAACTTGTACTCCTTCGCCCGTCCCGCAGGTTCTTTGTCGGTATGGCCTGGTCTCAACAGAAGCGAACTCTTTGCTGCAAGGTGGCAGGGCAGAGTGACGGTAGTCAACCCAGGGACGTACATGTTGTCTATGGTGTCCGATGATGGAGCACGCTTTTTCATCGACGGGGCAGAGGTCATGTCTACAAGTGGCAGCACTGGCGTGACCAGCAGCACAGCTTCCGCGTACATGCCAGCAGGCCCCCACGAAATAGAGCTCCAGTATTACCAATGCCGTGGTTCTTCTGGTTTGTCAGTCCAGGTTAGTGGGCCGGACACGGCTTATATGGATGCTAGCCTTTGGGCAGTTGCCCGGCAAGGACCTCTCCTTCGGCCGCCACTTCTGGTTTTGAGCAAGACGGGCTCGGATGTGACAGGAACCGTCCCTGCAGGAACCAGGGTCCCGGTTGGGGCGACGCACTTGTTGGCCTATGCTCAGGCTTTGAATGGCTTTGACTCGACTTCCTGGATAGGCCTTGAAATCCAGGACCTGGTCCGTCCGAACGGCACGGCTCAGTCAATGAATTTCACCGACGTGAATCCTGAGGCCAACTTCATACAGGGCATTCTGGTGATCAAGCGTGCGTTGGAAGAGGCAGAGGTGAACTTCTACAATGTCTATTGGGGCTCAAGCGCTACAGACATCCTGAATGTGACCTCCCGCAGTGTGGCTGGCTTGGCCGACACTCGCCCCACTTGTAGCGGTTCAAGCTGCAGCCACATCGACATAACCGCAGGAAGCAGCAGTTCTGAGTGGATCGTGTCCCGGGGTGTCTATGACAATCATGAGAATGCAGCCATCACGCTGGTAGGGCCGGCAGAGATTCGCTTCACCTACCTGCACACCGAGCGCTGCTGTGATAAGCTTGAGCTTTTGGACACCTTCTACTCCGGCTTCACAACGCCCACCGCGACCATCACCCTGACGGAAGGCATCCATGTGGCTACCTGGAACTCAGATTTCAGTGTCACGAACAACGGTTGGAGCTTCACTTACACCTACCAGGGCACCTCCAGCGGACGTCCCGGGCTGATTGCCAGCCTCCCGAAGCCGGAGGGACGACAGGACCTCGCCCTGCCCGTGGCGTCCCAGGAGCTCCTTGGGCCTTTCTTCATCGTGAAGACGGCCTACAACCTCACAGAGACTTGGGGAGACTTAGAAACATGTTTTTTAGTTTTTGGTTGTTATAATCCCTAAGAAACAGCTAAAATTATAACTTTTGCTAGTGTTCTAAGTTCAGTATAGGAGAGCAGCGCCTCCCTGGCTCTGGAGATCCAGGACCTGGCGCCCAACACCATCCCCATTCAGAGCGTGAGCTTCACAGACACGGACCTCGGGATGGGCGTCTTGGGAGGGAGCATCTCCATCACGGCAGCTTCCAGCGTGACGGGCTTCCGGGTCTACTGGGGTCGCAACGGCACGCACCCCATCGACGGAGGCAGCCCAGGGCTACTGGCGGAGTACTTCTACTTGACACCAGGTGCCCGCTATGAGGTTATCCCTGACCTGGACTCCATGGTGCCAGATCTCGTGCAAGTGGAAAGTCAGGTAAATCATCCGTCAACTTCAGATGCATTCCCGGGTGTCGCTGTCTCGGACGCTTTTGCGACGCGATGGACCGGTTACATCAGCATAGGCTCTGGTGGCAACTACATCTTCACCCTTAACTCGAATGACGGCAGCAAGTTGTACGTGAATGATGTACTTGTCGTGGACAACGACGGGCTGCATGGTATGCAGTCCTTGAGTGGGGATGCTTACCTCTACCAAGGCATGCACAGAGTCAGAGTCGACTTCTTCGACTTGGAAGGCTCACATGGTGTCATCCTTTCCTACAGCGGCCCCGATACTCGGTTCGAGAGCATTACTGTGCCAACAACTGTGTTGCGACATGGATCTCTGGACAGCATCCTCGTCGGCGAGTGTGTGGCTCAGGCTGGATCCTGTGTAGTGCAGGTCGACAACCTCACCATCCCCGCTGAGGCCTCGCACCTCCTCGTAAGAGGATACGACCAGGACGGCGAGAGCACAAGCGGCGCGTCTCTGGCGGTGGAAGATGCATCAACGCCCACGCAGACAGCTGCCGGAATTTACTTCGAAGACCGCGATCCTGTAGCGGGCCAGGTGGCTGGGACCATCGTCCTCGAGCCAGCAGAGGATCCTAGCCAGATCTCCCACTACGTCATCTACTGGGGCACGTCGCCCACTGCCAAGCTCGGCGAGCCTCTTGCAGAGATTGCAGCAAATGCGACTGGCAGCTCCTCACGAGGTTCCTGTGGTCAAAAGGGCCCGGACAGCACCCCTCTGCGCTTCACTAGGAATGGCATCAATGGACCGAAAATCGTCAACGGACAGGATGCTACTGAATGTGAGTGGGGCTGGCAGGTGAGCCTGCGCACAGCCAGTGGCTTCCACTTTTGCGGAGGCACCTTGATCTCCTCAAAGTGGGTGATGTCAGCGGCTCACTGTGTTGATGGAGGTGGCAGCATGGTGGTCGTGACGGGAGATTTCAACAAGGACTCCGACCAGGATCAGCACGAGCGAACCTATCAAGTCCAGCAAGTCATATCACATCCGGACTACAACTCGAACACCATGACCCATGACTTCGCTCTCATCGAACTGACGGAAGAGGTTGAAATGGGATGCGCAACAACGGCATGTCTTCCCGACGTGGAGGTGCCGGTGGGTCAAGAGTGCTTCATCACTGGCTGGGGCACTTTGGCGAGCGGGGGCTCTTCACCGTCGATCATTCAGGAGGGCATGGTTCTCGCCCTCAGCAACCAACAGTGCAATTCTGCTTATACTGGCCAAATCCTCGATGACATGCTCTGTGCTCAGGGCACCTCCGATCAAGGAATCGTGGATGCATGCCAGGGCGACAGCGGCGGCCCCCTTGTCTGCCCCACCGCAGATGGCACCCTGGCTTCATTTGTTTATGCCGCTCCTAGACTCCTACCCTGACTCTAGAACCACTTCTACTACCGCAACTACTACTCCCACTTCTCCTACTCCTTCTACCTCGACTGCTACGACGACGAGGACTACTACTATTACTGTGCTACTGTGACGACTACTACTGAAGCATATGGCGAGGACGACCACCACGACAATAAGACTGCTACAGAAGCTACTTCATGATATTTCATGATTGCTCGTCACAGAGCAACACACTCTCCAGTGATATGTAATGGCGACAACACCGAATTCGATATCGCTTTCAAAACCGAGGCAGGTACGTGCTGCACGGCGCAACATCCTGGGGCTATGGGTGTGCTGATGCTGCCTATCCAGGGATCTGGGCACGCATCACGTGGATCCTTCCTTGGATCGAGAGCCATACAGGTGGGGCTTGCCTTGTATTGTTTGCTGTCCTCTTGCGATCTTTTGCTGCAAAGCAACAGCGAGGTAGAATCACCTAGAAAGCCTCCATGCTTCCTCTCGCCAGGCCTGACGCCTCAGACCGGTGGCGATGGTAATCTGACTTACAACATCACTGGAGAGGCCATCCCGTCAACGGCTACGCACCTTCTGGTGTTCACCTCCATGCATGGTGCCGAGATGACGACCGGCATTAGCATTCCAGTGGTGGACTTTGCTCCATCTTCCACCGCGCCTACCTCCCTCGCGTTTACCGACACGGATCCTTCTCCGGGAGAGCTGGGAGGCACAATCATCGTTGGCCGAGCTTCTGATGAGTCGGACATCACCCACTATGCCGTCTACTGGGGCTCCTCAGATCAGAACGTCCTGGAGCTCTTCGCCCAGGTGCCTAAGGGTACCGGAAGCCTCGAGATCCCTGTGCCCGCGAACACCCCGCTGCCGACGGGTGCAACCACCTTCCTGGCCTTCGTGGTGGGACTTTCAGGTGGGGTGGTTGTCAAAATTAGGGTCCCTTTTTGGGTACCCTAAAGAAATAGGTGCCGTATTATAATAGGGACCCAACAAGGGACCCTAAAAAATAGGTGCCGCATTAAAATAGGGACCCCAAAAGGGACCTAATTTAGGTGCCGTATGATATCTGATAATAGGGACCCAAAAAGGGACCCTAAGTTTGACAACCACCCAGGTCAGGGCTACAACAGCGTGGCGACGTCGATCCAAGACTTGGACCAGTCGCGAGCTCCCGGAGGTCTCAGCTTCCAGGACACCGATCAGGGGCTTGGGACCGTGGGGGGCACGGTGACTTAGTAGCTGAGAGGATATACACTTTACACTTTTTGCGGATAATATAGCCCCTTATAGTACTGAAAGTGTATACTTTTTGGGGGCTTCTAAACTGAGCAACTAAGGTGACGATCCAGAGGGCGGCCAGTCAGACGGGAGTTACGGGCTACAACCTCTACTGGAGCACAGGCTCTTGCGCCACGCTGGGTGGCCAGATAGCAAGCGTGACCGTGGAGCGGAGTGGCATCGCCCCCTACTGCTTTACGGGGGATGCATGCAGCGACATCAGCATTTTGCAGGAGGATGTGGGAGTCTACGTCGTTTCCCGCGGCATGAGTGGGTACCGCAATGATGAGCGCGCAAGCCTGTACTTGGAAGGCCCGGGCACCATTCGCTTTTCTCGTTTCGGAACTGAGGGTGGCTATGACACACTGACCATCGATGGAGTGGCGCATTCCGGTAGCAACGTGCCAGCGGATGTTCAGCTTGGGGCAGGGCAGAAGCAGGTGGATTGGTTCTCGGACTTCAGTGTGACTGGAAGTGGTTGGGTCTTCCAATACGAGTCTTCGGGGAGCTTCGGGGATGTGAGCTACCAGCTGGCTTCTGGCACTTTCCTGCCCAGCTCCGCCACGGAGATGATGGTCTTCTCGGTGAATGAGGGCTCAGAGTATCGAGAAGCCTGTGCTGCCACAGCCGTGTCGGACTTTGCACCACCAGCTCAGGTACCGCAGGCTTTGTGGTTCCAAGACCAAGACCAGGCTAGTGGAACCGTCGGAGGTGATCTTATCATCTTGCAGGCTCGTGAGCACAGTGGCCTGGAGTCTTATCACGTCTATTGGGGTGCCAACTCCACCCATCGACTGCCAAATGTGGCCATGTTCGCGGCCGTGACGGCCACATCCCCTTCAACAAATCTCACAGTCACCATCGCGACTGGAACCCCTTTGCCGGTGAATGCCAGCTACCTCCTGGTCTTTGCCTCTTCCGCCAGCGGAGAATCAAGCGGGCGGCTCAGGGTTTCGCTTTGATGCTACTGCTTCGAGTCGTTCTACCCTTCAATCTCAGACCCAACATCCATACTGCTGATGGACAAAATCCCGCATTACCCATTTTCAGGGATATACCATAGTTCCCATAGTTTAGAGTCCTTAGGGTCATGCAGGATGTTGTCCATCAGCAGTACCAGACCACCCGGAACCGCCGAACCTCCGAGCCCCACCTCCTGCAAGAAGTCTAGCCGAGGCACACCCGCGAGTGTAGCCGTCTTCGACTATGAACCAGCCCAAGACGCGGCGACGTCCCTTTGTCATAGCTGGGTAAAATTATATACTTTCAAGGGTAGTAAAACCCAATAAGTAATAAGACTGTAAATTTTTATCCCATCCCAACCATGAACTAGGTCCATCACCTTCGTGGATGTCGATGCAGGGGAAGGGCTCGTGGCCGGAACTCTTTTCATCGGACGGGCCAGTGACTATGCCGCCCAGAATAGGCCCCATGTTTTCCTCTTTTTGTAATTAGTCCCAGGTTCCTTCTAAAGTTACCCAATACCAAAAAAAGGGCATCCCAGGTGATGAATCCTCCGTGGACTTCTATAATGTCTACTTCTCCCTGGGCAGCCAGAAGCTGGACCTCATAGGGTCTGTGCCCGCACCGACACTTGCAGCAGGGCACTCAGCATCGTCCCAACCGGAGTTGGTAAACGAGCCATTGACTGTAAGAGAGTGGAAGTAAACGTGCCAGAAAGAGGGGCAGGTGGTTTTACGATAGGCTTGTCAGTGGATCAGCGGGAAGTGATTGGATTGGTTGATTGATTCATTGATTCATTGATTGATTGATTGATTGATTGATTGATTGATTGATTGATTGATTGATTGATTGATTGATTGATTGCGTTGTTGAGCCAGCGAGTGCGTGCATGGGTTGGTGGCTGGGTGGCGTTGGGTGGGTGAGTGAGAGCGTGTGTAGTTGTTTGCTGTTGGGTGGCTGGGTGGGTGAGTGGGTGAGGCTGTGGTCAAGAAAGTCTTCTCTGCCAGTAAGAAGATAAGCAGCTTAGCAGCGCGCGCGAACTTGTACCTTGTATGAATAACGGGTCCAAATCATGGCCCCCATGGAGGGAACCCTGTAGAATTCATCCGTCTCTGAATACGGCACCGCTCCCGAAAAATTGGGAGCCCAAGAGGGACCCTGGCCCTAAGGTTTGGATAAAAACCGAGCGCATGTGTGTTGGGTACTATATAGGGGCCTGAATAACTACCAATTCTATTTTGGGCACTCCTTCTTGTAATTATGGTATAATGGGCCCCAAAACCCAATTCTAATTCTTTTTAATTACCTTATTGTAGTTATAGTTACTTATTTATTAAGGCCCCTATATTACCGGACCTGAGCCCAGGCCAGACCAAGCTGCAGCGGCGCCAGCTGTAGCGAGATTGACATCCGCTCAGTGGCCGGCGGCATCGCCTACGAGGTCTTCAACGGCTTGGGGTGTGCCCTAAACCCCTGAGCAAACCCTAAACCCTAAGCCCTATACACCCTGAACCCTAAACCGTGTGGGTTTGCGCGGATTTCGGGCTTGGGTTTCGGGTTCACAGTAGGTTGGGATGTGGGCTGTGAGGTCTCTCGTGGCACCTCCTATGGCAATAACGAGGTGGCCAGCATCGCAGTCACAGGACCTGGCATGGTGAAGTTTACCTTCTTCACCACGGAGGCGGGCTACGACTTCCTGACCATTCTGGGGACTGCCTACTCCGGAAGCAGCATGCCCGGGGATATCGAAATCCCGGCAGGGACCCACGAGATTGTGTGGCGATCGGATGGCTCCGTGACTACAGGAGGATGGATCTTCCGCCTGGAGTCCGGTGCGAGCGCCATCTTGAGCGTGGAGGTGCCCCCAGGCACATCCATCCCCCGGACTGCAGACAGTTTGCTGGTCCTGACTGCATCAGAAGGTGGAGAGATGGCAACGGGAATTTCAATCCCGCTTGTTGATTACAACCCTCCGACGATCTTCCCCGTGTCTGTGCAGTGTGAAGACACTGACCCCAGCATCGGTGTGTACACGGGCTTCTGCAATGTCCGCAGAGCCGAGGTGGAAGTTGGAGTCGTGAGCTATGACATCTACTGGGGAATGAATGCATCCCACCCCATCCCGGGATCCCCTGCGCTTGGCCGGGCGGTCTTGAACGCTTCGGCCACGGCCCTGGTCACGGCCCAAATTCCCAGCACTCCGATCCATTCCTCCGCCTCGCATTTGGTGGCCTTAGCCGCGGGCCCGGGTGGTGTGGCTCCCCGGGGCGTGGGGACCCCGGTGCTCGACAACTCCGGCTTGTCCCTAAATCCCTCCAGTCTCAATGTGGTGACGACACCAGGTTCCACGACATCCAACGTGATCACCGTCACCAGTTCGGCCGCCGAGGACATCACGTTGCAGGCTCCCTACATGCCTTTTTTCGAGTAGTCACATTACTGACACATGGCTACATAACTGTAGCTGTAGGTCTTGCGAAATCTTGGCGACCCTTTGTTTCGTCCTGCGGTGTTCCAGGTGGGCATCGTCTTCGAGGACGATTCGGCACAGGGTGCGCTCCCCGAAGCTATCGCCCCAAGCACGGCCTCCTCGGGAGTTGCGGGCACCAGCCATAGCCTGCCTTCCGTCTGCCAGGGATCAGATGCGCTTCTGCAGGGAAAGAAGCGCCTTCTCTTCAAGACAAAGGCTAAGAAGCTGGATGCTAGGACAAGGCGTTTACATGCCAAGGGCGTCGAGGCCAAGCATGGAGTGAAAATCCAGGCTTTTGAGCGCCTGGGTGGTGTGGCTTTTGCTGAGATGAAGAACGCAACGGCGAAGCAGTTCTGCCAGATGTTCCTTGATCTCGACAACGATCCGGTGGTCGAGTATGTCGAAGAAGACCTCATGTGGCTTCCCCTTGGCAACAAGCTCCAAGTTGAGGACATGCTCTTCCCTCCACCAAGACCGCAACCCGAGCCCAAGCTTCACGGGCGAATGCACCGCCGTCCGGGTGTCTGTAGCAGTAGCACCTGCGGCCGCACAGAAGGGCACCCCAACGATGTGGACTTTGATGACCTTTGGGGTTTACATCAGGATACCAGGTGGCACTCTGGGAAGCTTTGTAATCTGTTTTAAGCTCGTGTCGACATGACTATTCATAGATACTGCCGGGGCTCTAAAAGCCCGCAAACTACAACCCAGGACAATGATGTGGACATCGATGCCCCAGAGGCTTGGGCTATCCACCAGGGAACCAATGGGAAGGTGATCATGGCCGTCCTTGACACAGGCATGTCTGCGACACAGGTTGTTTCATACAGCGGCCTTACAAGTAACAATTAGAACAGGGTTTTGGGGTATATTTTAGGGGGGGTATCATTAAGGAACCCCCATTAAGGAATGATTCAGGCTCTTTTACTAGGGTCAGCTTCGCAAGCTGCGATCACGAAGGCTTCAAGGCAAACAGGTGCAAAGTTGTAAAGAGCAGCCGCGCATGACAGCGTGCCTCGCAGTATCCCTAAGGTTGAGTCACCCCTTTTGCGGCGTTCGCTCCACCGTTCTACGTCCACCAAAGCACGTGCCTTTCCGGATTAAAAGTCAAACTTATCCTGATGTAGGCATAGCACGGGTCATGACCACTGAAGCAAGTGCCACAATGACGGACACAGACCCACGACCTGCATCTCTCTCATGTCCAGTCTAAATTTTCTACTGGGATGCGGCACGCCTCAAACTTGAGTGTATGGCATGGCATGGTCCGTGCAGACGCTCATTCGCTACTAGCTTAGCAGCGACGCCCTTCAAGGATCGTAGTCCGCAAGCTTTCCGTGATGAGAACAAGAATAGCCATTGAATAGCTGCTGCCACGTTGCCACAAATAAGCGGCTGTGCCTCATCATTGTGCCTTTCGGTTGGAAGTTGCTTGAATGACAGGCGTGGACTACAACCACGAGGACCTCCGCAATCAGATGTGGGTGAACTCTGGCGAGATTCCGGGTGATGGCATCGACAACGACGGCAATGGGTATGTGGATGACGTGTATGGCTACGATTTCCATAACAACAACGGAGATCCGATGGACTCCAATGGTCACGGAACCCACTGCGCAGGCACCATCGGTGCAGAGGCTGGAAACTCTATTGGTGTCGCTGGTGTCTCCTGGAAGCCCCAGATCATGGCATTGAAGTTCCTGGGAGCAAGTGGTGGCAGCACAGCGGATGCCATCCGTGCCTTGGACTACGCCGTGATGATGGGCGCCCAGATTAGCTCGAACTCCTGGGGCGGCGGAGGATACTCGCAGGCACTGGTCGACGCCATCGATGCAGCTGCCGAAGCCAACCACCTCTTCATCGTTGCGGCGGGCAACGACGGGAGGGACAACGAGATTACTCCAACCTACCCGTGCAACTACGATCGACCGAACATGATCTGCGTTGCATCTACGGACAGTGCGAACGACATCTCGTCTTTCTCCAACTGGGGCACAACTGTGGTGCACATTGCCGCCCCGGGTTCCCGAATCTACAGCACATACCCCAACAACCAGTACGAGTTCCTGTCAGGCACATCCATGGCAACACCCCATGTGTCGGGTGTTGCCGCCTTGGTGCTGGACTATGTGGACACACTGACCTATGCCGAGCTTCGGAACCTGATCTTGACGTCTGCTGTCAGGTATGCCAAGTTCGATTCTCGGGTGTCCACGGGTGCTTTGCTAAATGCCCATGCTGCTCTCCAGATGGCTGGGCAGTTTGCCTGGGCCCGTGTAACAGGCCCGGCCGCATCCGGAAGCATCACTGTGCCGGCTGGAGGTTCTGCCCAGATCACCCTGGAGCTGGGCAACGACCGGATGGAGGAAGGAGAGTACCGGGTGGCTTTGAGAATTTGGAAGCAAGTCAACGATATTCTTTACTCACGCCTGGTACCGGTTGTGTTTACTCTGCATCGCTTTGGGTCTGCACCTACAGTCGGTGCTGGAGGCATAGAGTTCCAAGACACAGATGCCCGACGAGACGTCATCGCCGGGGCCCTTACGATTACCAGAGCTACTCCCGCACAGGAAGAGACCTTTTCTCAGTACCACATCTTCTGGGCAGACGCAGCACAGACCAGGACCAGCGAGACGCCACTTGCAACTGGGTTCTGGTTAAGGGATTTGAATATACCAGAATGAAGAGACCATACTGCTGATGGACAAAATCCTGCATGACCCCAAGGACTCTAAACTATGGGAACTTTGGTATATTCCTTATAGTGGGTAATGCAGGATTTTGTCCATCAGCAGTATTCTGTACTCTAGATTTCAATTATAACAAAGTTCAAATTAAGTTCCTTAACAAGAACTCAGGCAACTTTGGACACCGGGAACGTCCTCCAGGACAACTTTGCGTTTTTCGACAACTCCTTCTGGTTTCCTCCAGACTCGGATGTGGCAGGGGCAAGCTGGTCGGTGTCCAGCGGTGCGGCCATTTTCTCCGGGCAGTTCGATACCTCTCACCTCACGATGGCGCGTCGTTTTGCACCACCCTTCACGATGAAAGCCAAGGTGCGAAAGACGGCCGGTGCCCTGGCCCACATGGTGATCCAGGTCGGTGGGGACTCCGTCAGCCTCTTTGGTTCAGGTGGACTCCGTGTCATGTTCCTAGGGTCTCAGAAGATTTTGGTATCACCAGATGGGCAGCACTACTCAGTGCCCTGCACCTTGGGCACCTGGTTCGAGGTGACGATCACGGTTCTGGCATCTTCGGTCACCTTTGCCGACAACCAGGGGTGCCAGGAGATCATGCAGAGCATCCCGAGCTCGGACGAGACGAGAAGCATCCGAATCGGCGCGGACTGCGCTGGTGAATGTGCTGGGAGTGTTTGGGACAGTTTCGAAGTCAGCGGTGGCCTATACGCGACCTTCAACGTCCCTCCCTCCACAAGCATCCCTGCCAATGCCGCCGGCTTCATCGTGCATGCCTGGAATGTACTGGGCTTGCAAGCCACTGGCCTGTACATGCCTCTGTCCGACCACCGAGTTGCCATCCGGGCTGCGCAGCCCACTCAAGTGACCGCGGGCTCTGCCACGACGTCAAGTCTTGTCCTGTCTTGGGTTCGAGGTGCCCTTAATGACTGCAGCGGGGGCTTCGAAAGGTACGAGGTCATGATCCAGGGCGCAAACGGCGGATGGTCTGAGCCGACGGGTTGCTCTATGCTGGTGAATGTGAATGTTGAAGGTTGCACGGCCACCCAGCTTTCCAGCGACATGGCTTACCAGTTCAGAGTTCGATTAATCTGCATCTTGGAGGAGACACAGAGCCTATGTCATACTTGGATAACATTTTATATTTTGGTGGGTACCTAAAACCGCAGAAGGAATAAACATGTACATGTTTAATCCTATCCAACCACTTTAACTTCTGGGGTTTCTGTATGACAATATTAAGGAGGCTAAGAGTTTCCCAAAAGTTTAACTTTTAGGAGGGGTTCAGAAGTCAGCCAAGGAGCCTTTGGAGTGAAATCTCGGAAACGGCCATGACGCTTCCACTGCCGGCTGCGGCTCCCACGCCCCTCCGACGCAGAACGGGAAGAGTTCTTGGGATGCGGTTGCTAATTCCGTATTGCGGTTTATGATAAGGACCTACTACTACAAACAAGTATAGGTTTTGATAGTTTAAGTCTGAGGTAGGTTAGGAAGCCTCAAGAATCCAGGGCAGTTCGCGCGCGGTTGCCGAGCTCCACCGCGCCCGGGGCCCAGCTCTGCACTATTGAAGGTTCCAGGAGGGAAGCTTTGAGAGATTCGTGACTCGGGTCTCAGAGCTTGAAGGCAGGTGAAGAATCCCTTCTCTGAGCAGTGTATCTTGAGAGCTGCTCTTCTTGCGAGTTCTTCCGATGCTTTGCATCAGGTTGTTGGTGTCCTGGGAGACGGGGTTGTTGAACGACTGCGAGTTCGAGGAGGCCGTCGTGGAGGGTCAGACAAACGGAGGAGCCTGGTTCCAGCCAGAGGGCTGCACGGGGCTCACGAACTTGAACTCCTACCACTGCACAGCAGAGGGCCTGACACCCGGCGCGGAGTACGTCTTCCGAGTCTGGACCAACTGTGCGGATCGGATGTCCTCGAGCCCCGACAGTGCTCCGAGCCTGCCGATCTCCACGCTGGTCGCCGCACAGACCTGGGAATCCTCACAGCGGCGAGTTCTCTCCGTGAGCATGAGCACCGACATCGACTACAGCGAGGTGCAGGCCAACCCCGAGTTGCAGAGTTCCTTAGTCTCCAACATCATCGAGGCAACAGCGAGCAAACCCCAAACCCGATACCCTAAACCCTAAGCCAGAAACGCTCAACCCTCAACCCGAAACCCTAAACCCGAAACCCGAAACCAGAAACCCTCAACCCGAAACCCTAAGCCCGAAACCCGAGCCCCCTGAAAGGCAACAGCGAGCCGGATGAATGTGGATCCTTCAAGAGTCAGAGTCGAAGTCTTGGCAGGAAGTGCCCTCACGGGCCGCAGGTTGTCTGCTCTTTCCACCGTCTCCAGGCTGTTCAGTGGTACACTTGTTTTTTAAAAAATAGTTTTTTGTTTACACTTTTTTACTTTCAGGTTTCTGGTTTCCTATCAGAAGATAAGAAGCCGAAAAAGTATATATTAGATGGGGCCCCGGCCCACTAATAGTTCAAAAATAGGTTTATTATCAAACAGACAGGCCAAAAGTAGCACAAGGAAATCTGATCTCATTCGGTTTTCCAGGGCCAGGCAGTGTTTTGAATCCAAATATGTTTGGCATAGTTTGGCGATTAGGGCTGTGAGATGGGGTCGGACCGGCGAAGAGGTTGGGAGGAGCTATCTGCAACTTACCAGCGAAGAGGTTTGGAACCACGGTTTCGTTGCCATCGCAACCTGGGCCCGGAGACCTTCTTTCAGACGGCCTGGACGCGGGGACTGGACTGGCCCGGCCGCCAGAGAGACAGAGCAAAACTAGCACCAGAAAAGCACAAAAAAAAAAGCACAATCGGACCGCGTCGAGCACAAGAAAAGCACAACAGACAGAGACAATTTTGCACCAGAACTGCCGCGCGCCAATGTGTTTTGAAATCATGGAGCACAAAAAAAAGCACAAACATACAAACACGTTTGGTTTTTGGAGCACAAGAAAAGCACAAAAAAAAAGCACAATCGGATCGTTTCGAGCACAAGAAAAGCACAACAGCCGGAGCGTTTCGAGCACAAGAAAAGCACAAAAAAAAAGCACAAACATACAAACACGTTTGGTTTTTGGAGCACAAGAAAAGCACAAACAAAAACACAATCGGATCGTTTCGAGCACAAGAAAAGCACAACAGCCGGAGCGTTTCGAGCACAAGAAAAGCACAAAAAAAAAGCACAAACATACAAACACGTTTGGTTTTTGGAACACAAGAAAAGCACAAAAAAAAAGCACAATCGGATCGTTTCGAGCACAAGAAAAGCACAACAGCCGGAGCGTTTCGAGCACAAGAAAAGCACACAAAAAAAAACACAAACATACAAACACGTTTGGTTTTCGGAGCACAAGAAAAGCACAAAAAAAAAGCACAATCGGAGCGTTTCGAGCACAAGAAAAGCACAACAAAAAAGCACAAACATACAAACACGTTTAGTTTTTGGAGCACAAGAAAAGCACAAAAAAAAAAAGCACAATCGGATCGTTTCGAGCACAAGAAAAGCACAACAGCCGGAGCGTTTCGAGCACAAGAAAAGCACAAAAAAAAAGCACAAACATACAAACACGTTTGGTTTTTGGAGCACAAGAAAAGCACAAAAAAAAGCACAATCGGAGCGTTTCGAGCACAAGAAAAGCACAACAGCCGGAGCGTTTCGAGCACAAGAAAAGCACAAAAGAAAAGCACAAACATACAAACACGTTTGGTTTTTGGAGCACAAGAAAAGCACAAAAAAAAAGCACAATCGGAGCGTTTCGAGCACAAGAAAAGCACAACAGACGGAGCGTTTCGAGCACAAGAAAAGCACAAAAAAAAAGCACAAACATACAAACACGTTTGGTTTTTGGAGCACAAGAAAAGCACAAAAACAAAGCACAATCGGATCGTTTCGAGCACAAGAAAAGCACAACAGAAAAGAGGTTTCTGTGATCGAAATGTCGCGCCCGGGTACGCCTCTCAGTACTAAACTTGGTCGAAGAGGCCAGACCCCGGCCCGGCCTCAGCCCGCCCCCCACCCCCCCGTCCGTTCAGCTTTCCAGCCCAGCCCCCTCAGCCCCCCCAGCACCCCCAGCCCCCCCCGCCCCGCCCCCCCTAGTCGCGCAGAGGCATTGCAGCTCCTGATGTTTGCTCAAGATCGAATCCGAGAAAACAACAGGGGTGTGACTGTGTTTGCAACTCATGGGGTGGCAGTTTACTTGTTGTCTCAGTCTTGCGTTTTCCAATCATGCGAGCATGATCACAAACGAGTCAACATTTCAGCATTTCCCTGGTGCTTCATCTTGTGCTTCTGTTTCTGACCACTATTAGTGAGGCGGGGCCGCACACAAAGTATATACTTTTTATTCCCAGTGGGTTACTGAACAGCCTAGGTCTTCTCCGTGGTGGTGGATGGAGTCTCGGAGGACACATCGGCTGAGCAAGTCTCTGAGAATCTTTGTCATGTTCGGGTAACATTTAAAATTTTTCTGGGTACTTAAAGCCAATAAGGACAAATGTTCAGTTTTAGTCCTATCCCAACCATGAACTAGGAATGTGGCAGCAGAAGTTTCCACGGTGGTGCAAGCCGAGACAGGCACGGCCAGCGAGGTGCAGGTGTCGAGTGTCAATAGTCTCGTTGCAGCAGTTCCCCCGGAGCGCATTACCTGGACGATGCTTGGACCTGACCGCGTTCAGCTCCACTGGAACGCGAGGCCACTGAACGACTGCTCCTTCCTCGCATGGCAGGTCCATGCCCGATCCGGGGATGTCGAGCTAACACCGCCCGGCTGCTCAGGTCTCGTGAACCTTTCAGCCACCTCCTGTGTCGCCAGCGGCTTTGCCACGGGCGCTGCATACACCTTCGCCGTGTCGCTGCTCTGTGCAGATCCGGCTGTGAGCAGTGAAGCTTCGGAGGAAAGTACGCCCTGGGTTGTGGGCTCGGTGCCGACGCTGATTTCCGCGGAGTTCACCGCAGGCTTTACCACATTGCTTCTGACTTTCGATGTGGTGGTGACAGAGCTTCTGACAAGCTGCGCAAGCGCCTTCAGCGAAGCGATCAGCCAGAAGTTCGGCAGTGACTTTGGATGCAACGTGGCCGGGTCCCAGTTGGCGGTTACTTTAGGACAGGGGGCCACCTTGGTCCTTGGGGATTCAATTAGCTTGCAGATGACGGCTGGCCTCGTCGGCGTCACCTCAAATCTCCCGGTGGTGGAGGTCTCCGGCTTCCTCTCCGCCTCCCCTCCGGTCGTGTTGCCCTGCGTGCCCGTGACGCTCATCTTGCAAGCCACAGGCTCTGCGGGACGTGCGCTTCAGATCGAGTGGTTCACGACGACTTCCCAGTCTTCGGAGCTGACGTCGCTGTTGGCGACCGCCACGGCGACCTCCTCCACCAGTGCCGAGCTGTCGCCCTCCATCCTTGCGAGTTTGACACAGCCCGGCCTTGACAGCCTGGACATCGGCCTGGCGGTTCGCGTTACGAATTGGTTGGGTCACAGCATGATGATGAACACATCGGTCAGGGTGCTCAACGATGGCCAGGCAACCGCGAGCATCATGGCAGTCGGCCCAAGCACGCTCACCCGGACCCTGGACCAGGAAGTAGAGCTTGAAGTAGCAACGGGCATTGTGGCCCCTTGCAATCAGTCAGAGGAGGTGACGGGCACACCCATCACCACTTGGCACTATCGAGCCAGCTCCGGTGCATCCTGGAGCACCCTGGCCGAAGCGGGTCTCGTCGACGAGTCTCCCCTGCCAAACAGAGTTCGCGTGGCGGCCTTCGCGCTCCCACCGGGAGACCACTCGTTCCGCGCCTCTGCGAGCCTGCCACAAACAGAGGTTAGGGGACCCAAACAGCACATAAGCATAAGCATTTTTATAGGGGGATATCCCTACCTTATTGGGCTTCATTATAAGGGGATTTGTATGGGATATCACTATCCTCGTTTTTGCTTATGTGCTTTTTTGGGGCCCTAAGAGGCACAAGAAGTGGTCTTCCATATCTCCGTGGCGAACATCCCTCCACCGAGCCTCGAGGTCACGGGGCCTCGGAGCCTGGGACCGGGATGCGACCTTCGTTTCTTTGTCATCGACGGGTAGCAATTTTAGGTTTGTATGGGTACTTGAACCCGATAAAGATTTTTATGGGTACTTGAACCCGATAAGGAATTCTTATGGGTACTTGAACCCGATAAGGAATAAACATGTACATGTCTAATCCTATCCCAACAATGAACAAGGTCTGGGCACTTCCTGGAGCGGTCTGGTCCACCCCAGGGCCACCCTCCTCTACGAATGGACCTGCCTCCAATCCGACTGCTCCAGCATCTCGAACTTCGGTTCCCAAAATGATGATGGAAGGTCCGGGGAATCCATCGAGATGAGTGGAAATGAGCTTACCATGGGCAGCTATAGCTTCGGCCGGCAGCCCAGATACTTCTTGGTAGTGACGCGGTGCAGGAGGGAAGCTCTCATTCCACTTTGCCCCGCAACACCTCCTCCAAACCCTACATCCTGAACCCCAGAACCCTTGAACCCGAATCCTAGAGCCTTCATTGCCCAAGGTGTGACCATGACGCAGGTCATCCCCGGTCAGACCTCGATCAGCAGCTCAGCGGAGGTGCCCTGAACGGATCTTGAGCGAGGGTTTTGATGGGCTTTGGGGGTCTGAGGGTTTTGGACCTCAGGTTTAACTTAACTAGACAAAGACTTGCAACTCATCATCTCCGGCTGGTCAGTGTAGCACGATCATAGTCCTAGTCTGCAGTGAGCTCTGGGTAGTTTTATAGATAAGGCTTGTGCATGCCTCGTGACGGCTGCTCTGAGTGGGGGACCTATACAGCTCGGAGAGTTCAGGCCCAGGGTTTCGAGTTTGCGGATGGGGGTTTAGGGTTTAGGGTTTAGGGTTTAGGGTTTAGGGTTTAGGGTTTAGGGTTTAGGGTTTAGGGTTTAGGGTTTAGGGCTTCGGGGCAGAGAGGAGTCAAGAACTGAGGACGATTTGATTGGAATTGAAAGGGATTCGGCTTTTTTTGGTTTCAGGTGTCTCGATACACCTGCTGCATCGATACCGTCGCGAGTACTCTTCACCCAAGCATTGCTACTACGATTGCTACTGTTGTTCCTAGCATCGGCGCTAGATAGATGATAACGTAAGTGTCATGGCTTTATCACTCTTCTTCCTCGCCCTGTTATTTCATCAATGTGCTAGTTGAAGCACCATTTTCATGATCGGTGGTTGCGCTGGTGTTGCTGCTTGTGCTTCTTGTTGTTGTTGTGGTGGTGGTCGTCGTCGTCGTTGTCGTTGCTGTTGTGGTGGTTGTTGGTTGTCGTTTGTCGTTTGTCGTTTGTTGGTTGTTGGTTGTTGTTGTGGTCGTCGTCGTCGCGAACATGCTGATGACAGAGTTGAAGGCTGCAGGTCCATCTCAGCCTGTCAACTGGCAGTCCAGCACCTTCTAGATTGTCGCTGTAGATGCACTGAGAGGCAATCGGGTTCTTGTCGTCGCATTTACTTGATGCCGATAAGAGCACGACCAGTAAGGTCAGTCGTAGATGGTCGTAATGCTACTAATAGCAATACAAGTAATACTGTGTACTAGTAGCAGCATTCATCGTATACTGCGCGCTGCAAGAAATCACGGCAAGAGTGACCCTAAGCCCGAAATCTGCTTAAGAGAGGTGACCGTCACCGTGCAAGCTGGTGGGCCGCTTCCCGTGCAGATCGCCACCCCCTGGAGCCGCATGGACCGCATCTCCCTGCAGGCGGTGGTGGAGGGGGGGGCCTGGCGTTCTTTACTTTTTACCTTGTTCAAAGGCGTGGGGGGTGATCTCTCTGCATGAAGCGGACAGCGTTGAGTGCTCTTGTTCCAGTTGAGTTCCAACATCAAAGTGTGATTCTGCCAGGCTGGGCAGCTCAAGGTGCCAATCACGGCTACAATCGGCAGCGCCGCGGGCGGCTGCCAGGCAGCCTGTCACAGTCGTGAAGCTTTCTGCGAGTGCTTCGCAGATCCTACATCCGAACACCTCTATGGCCGCAAACAGTGCTGCACAGGTCCCCGCTGATTCCACTTTCAAGTGGGTTCTGGCGCAGCAGGAGGCGACCATCTCATTAAGTAGTGCTGCAGTAAAGAGCAAAGACCAGGTTCCTGCTACTCTTCGTCTTCACTTTGTTTTCTCAGCTTGTATTTGTCACTGCAGCTTACTTAGCCTACTTATGACCATGACATGATTCCCGAACTGTCAAACCTCATTGTGCATTACTTGCTGACGTAGTTGTACCCATTCGTTTACATGTGAACGTGCAGAGGCACCGCAGCAGATTGTCAGCCTTCTGGATAGCACGACCACTGCAGGCCCAGAGTTCTGGATATTTGTGCACGAGCAAAGAGGACGTATGACTAAATGTATCAAGAACAAGACTAGACAAGCACATGCATACACTGCTCCTGAATATGTCAAGTCACCAACACATACACATATGCTTCCAGTTACATTTGTGTGTGCATGTATGCGTGCATGTATGTATGTATGCATGTATACAGGCAGGTGAATGTTCAACCAGAGTTCACGTGTCTAGGCACGCACGTGTTTATGCATCGTACGTGTTCATGCATGGCTGTGTGTATCATGCAGCACGTCTGTATGGATAGCAGATAGCACGTCTGTACGGATATGCATGTTTATCCGTATGTGTATATACATACTTGCGTGCCCACGCATACCTGTACATTTCCGTAAACATATACATAAACCATATACAAAGACACAAGACACACACACACACACACCTACACGTGCACATATGCGTACATATACGCATACATATACATGCATCCATACTTGCATTTGTACCTACATAGTGCATACATGTGCAAACACACACACACACGCACACACACACACACACACACAACACACACACAACACACACACACACACACACAACACAACACACACATACAACACACACACACAACACACACAACACACACACACACAACACACACACAACACACACAACACACACACAGCACACACACACACACAGCACACACACACACAACACACACACACACAACACACACACACACACACAATACACACAACACACACACACACACAACACACACAACACACACACACACAGCACACACAACACACACACACACAACACACACAACACACACACACACAACACACACACACACACCCACACGCACACACGCACACACACCCACACGCACACATGCACACACGCACACACCCACACACGCACACACGCACGCACACACACACGCACACACGCACACACGCACACACGCACACACACACACACACGCAGACACACAGACACACAGACACACAGACACACAGACACACAGACACACAGACACACAGACACACAGACACACAGACACACAGACACACACACACACACACGCACACACGCACACACGCACACACGCACACACACACACACACACACACACACACACACACACACACACTCTCTCTCTCTCTCTCTCTCTCTCTCACACACACCATACTGTGCCAGACCCAGACCAGACCACGATACCATGCGATACCATCCCATGCCGCACCCCATACTGGCACAGTACCATACAATGCCCTTCCAAACCATACCATCCCCTACCATATGTACCATGCATAAAGCACACAATATTGTATAATTATACAAAACACACGCACATACATAGCTACCACATACCTACACACATACACACACACATACACACAGACACAGATAAATACATAATTGAACACGCACATGTACACATATGTATGTATATATGTATATATAATGCATACATGAATACGGACATTTTACATACGTATACCACATATATATATATATATAGATATGTACATACACGTATACGTACACATACGCATACACCGACACCTACACGTACCCATACACATATGCATACACATACGCATGCACATACACATAAAAGTACGTACATGCATACATACATACATACATACATAGGTGCTCATACATACATAGATATACATGATGCATGCGTACATAAACACACATACGGACGGACGGACGGACATAACGACGGACATACACAGACAGATCAGACATGCACAATATCGGCTTGTTGATTCGGGAGTGCACAGTGAAGGTGTTTCCCCTGTGGTGTCGACTTCTGCATTCATCAGCTCGGCATTGGTGCCCGCGACCACCTATGTCTACGCACTCCTCAGTCTCGTGACTGTGGAATACTGATCTAGAGTTGTAGTTTGACGTTTCTGTTTCGTAAACCTTAACGTGGATTCCAAGCGTCTGAGATTTGTGTTTGCAAGCCGGCTGAGGTGCAAGAAATGCATCCCATCTTGCTATGGGTGAGCAGTCAGCCTCCCTGCAAGACGCAGCCATCTACGGCATCCAAGTCACCCTGCTGGGGCCTCGGGTCCCCAAGCAGAGTGACTAATTGCAGAAGCCTCAATATTATTCCTGAGGGGTCCTGATTATAGTTGTGCTATATAATATCCCCAAAACCGTATTCTAACCCTTTCAACCCTGAATGTGTCCCCTTTTTTTTTCAGCTTCAGACAACCCTTAGGATGACACCCCCAAACTGCAGGAGAGATCCGAAGACCTTGGGTATTATAGGGGCTTGAATACAGCCTTGTCCTTTTTCATGGTTCCCCCACAAGAATAAACAGACCGGCTAGTAGACCTTCTTCAATATTTGGGGTATAGGTATGGGGCTCTGTCTATTGTTTCTTAAAGGACAAGGGCGCTTGAATAACTTTAATTACATTACAGTACCATTCTGGGGTTCCTTCGTATAAGTATACTACAATGGGCCCCAAAGCCGTATTCTAATTATTCAGGACCTTACAGTACTGCCCCCACTCTGTAAGAGTTAGATTTCAGATAATATTTTTTGCATCAATACGTTGGTGTATCCCTTATGCGAACGGACTGCGATGCCTTGTCAAGTTCTAAGGTGTCACTATAAGAGCTGTGAGCAAGACCGTGTAAAGTGCAGGAGAAGGGGGCACGCTACGCGTCCCTCGACTCTAGGGGGCATGCTACGCATCCCTCGTCTTTACCTTTCTATGTGACCGCCAACGCAACGTTTGGCTCAAGTCAATGCCCATAGCTAAGTGCTATATGTGTCTTCTATCCTGAGCAATCAGAGCTATCCCGTTGCACAGACGAACCGCCGCCGGCAGTGAGTGCAAAAGGAACGGCCGCCGGTTCTGCCTGCATAGGATCGCACGTGTGGGAGTAGAGAGAGAGACAGGGTCCAGTCTGTGGAGAGTGCTAGCCAGCCACACCTATATTCATTACAGCTCTGGTGGGGAGAGCAGCAACCAAGTCGAGATCAATCCCCCACGCAGGTTATCAGCCGTACGCGGCTCTGCCTTTCTACAGCAACGACTACTTGATCTACTACGACCACAATGAACTCAGGATCAAGTCAAGATACGACAATGACTTTCGGTGCCGATGTGGCAGCGCCAGCCGTTGGTGAGTCAACAGCTGATGACACAGTGGTGCAATCCGTTGATAGCTCCACGGAAGATGACAAAGGTCAATCTTCTGCGCTTGCCATTGCAAAGGCAGTTCCCAAGGGGAAAGCAAAGAGTCTACCAAGAGCATCTACGCCTTCACGTCCGACATCCACAGGTTCGAGGACGGGCAAGGCTTCAGAACGACGGGCCGAAGCGTCTGGTTTTCAGGCACCTCGGACTACGTCCAGGGCTAAGGACAAAGGAGTCAAGACCTTGGAGAAGAAGTCAAGACCATCATCTTCGAGAAGCTCTTCAGCACGATCGAGGACTTCGGCTACCCGTGGGCGTGACAAGTCCATGACTTGGAATCGGATGGTTACCAATCAACCACGCGATTCTGATGATCTGGACATGACTCTGGATACGATTCCTGCACGTGGTGATGCATCATCCGTGGCCACGCCTGCAATAGCTGACGGTCCGAATGCCTACCAGGAGCTGACGATTTCGCAACAGTTCGAAGCGTCGAACCTTGCACAGCAAATGTACTATCGCAGTCAGGTGCAAGAGTACGAAGGAATCGTGCAGACCCTGATGGACAAGATCAAGGAGATGCAACAAGAAGATGAAGGATCTGGAATTCGCATTGAAGAATTGGAACGACAACGTGATCATGCTTGTTTAGCCATGAGGCACATCAACAATGTCAATCAGGAGATGAAGCGAGACTATGAAACAGCTTTGTTTCGCATGGATGAACAGAACTCTGCTCAACAACGTCAAGCACATGCCGTTGCCGAGGATTTAGCTCAACAGCTACACGTGTTCCGCACGGAGGCAGCCACCAACTTTGTGCAGTTGGAGGCAAGAGCGCAAGGTGATGGTGAGCTTATGGCACGTGAGTATGAGCGTCTGACTCATGAACTTCATGAACACGCCAGAGAGAACTTGGTCCTCCGATCAAACACAGCAAGTTCGGAACAAGCCTTACAAGCAATGCAGGAACGATTCCACTTGGTCAAGAACCAGGAGTTGCGGGCCGTGAACGAGATCCAAGGGCTAGCTGGAAACAGCGCAGCCATTGAACAAGAACGATTTCGGCTTCGTGAACGTCTTGGTGAAGAGGAAGAGTACCGCAGAATGGCTGTGAAGAGGATGCAAGAAGCAGAGGAACGACTTCATCAGAATGAAGATCATGCAAGGCGATCATTGCCTACCTTGCACGACGAGCTGAGTGAACTCAGGAAAACGCTCAAAGCGCAAGAAGATCTTCAAGCGAGGACACGCAGCGAATTGGAGGCAGCACGAAACTCCCACCAAGGAGGAGCGACGCGACCTTCGAGCATGCCCATGTCTTCGAGGACTACTGAGTCTGGCTGGGAGCACGTAGGAAAGGATGTAATGCCTGCATTTTCCGTAGGAGATGAGGTACGATCCCCTGAAATACGGTCCCCAAGTCAAGTTAGTCCAGTCGCCAAAGAGAAGTTCGCATTCTCGGAATCGGACAAGGACAAGAACCTTGTGATGGACGGAATTCCATTCACCGGTGGAAATTTCTTCACTGGCCGCAGTTCAATGCCAATCGTGGCGGATGCAATGCCCGAGCACCACGTGCCAGGTATTAGCAGTCCAGCGCTTGCGCGTTCCACGCCTAGTGCAGCCACGTTGTTTGGCATACCAAGCGGATTTCATGGGAAAAGTGATGCGGCAGCCGTGCGTGATCGACAGCTACGCGAACTCTTGGGGGATCGCGGGATGTTGGGATCGAAGTCCACAGCATCGGCCAGCTCCTCAAGACCTGTTGGCATCGACGGTGTCACCGCATCTACGAAGGGCAACGACCACATTGGTCCCCCTGTCGCCTTTGACGATTCCATCCATGAGGCAAGGAGGCGTCAGATCGAGAAAGAGATCGCGGAACAGTACGAGGAGAAGATTGCTGATCTGCGTAGTGAAGTACTCAAGGCTCAGAAAGCCGAACAACGTCTCAGAGCTGATCGTGATGAGTGGAGATTATTCGCTGAAACGATTCAAGAAAACAATGGAGACGATGACGGTGACGAAGCTGGCGACGAGAATGGAGAGGAAGAGCATGATGAAGGTACCGGCACGGGGTATGATCCTCCAGATCCGCCTGACGATGATGATGACAAGAAGAAAGGTGGAGGGGGCAAACCCGAATCGGATCCTGGTTCGCATGCGCGTGATCCTGATGGAGATGCGGATCCTGAAGTTACAGAGGTGAGAATTTCCAGGAGGGAAGCCGACAAAGTGACCGTTCCTCCATGGCCTACTCTTACTCATCTCAACAACTGGCGATCTGTGTGCACGGCAAATGTCTTAGGGGCATCAGCCGACCCACATCATGAGGACTGGATGTTATGGCTGGCACCAGCGTTCAACCCATTCCCTGATGTCGAAGCATTGAATGATTCAGGACACAAGAAGTTCAAGAGCATCGACGTCAAATTGGGGATTGCCATGGTCGCAATGCTACGTGCCGGTGGTGACAAATCAGCTGACCTGTACCTCGAGGTGAACCGGAAGGCCAACGATTACATCAGCAGGCCTGACGTGAAGATCATCAAAGGACGACAAGTCATTGCGATGATGTACGAAAGTTTTCGAACGCATGATCGTCTTGACATGATCATCACTCTTGAGTATTTGGTGAAGCTCCAGTACCAAGGCGACAACAAGCTTCATACGTTCAAGCAGACGTGGTTGGAAGTTCTGGGACGGATGAGACCAGAGGACATTCCATCCAAAACAGCTCTCCGTGATTGCTTGTACAGCAAGATCAAGGACTCGCCCGCAATGAAAATGGACTTGGGCATGCATATGAACACCTGCCCTACAATCATGAAGATCGATCGTACGACAACCTGATGAAGATCATTGATCGTACATCATGCGGAAACGAGAACAGTCAAATCTCACTCAGACTCAAATTGGCTTGCGCCAGATGCTTGAGGGCAAGGATTTGCTGGCTGCACCGGCCAAGGTACCTGAGAAACCTACGCCTACCGCAGCTCCATCCGCAAAGGTCAAGGCTTCGCCGACCAAGCCGGATAAAGCAACACCTGTACTACCTCAAAGCAAAGCGAAGAGTCATGCGAAGACCAAGCCAAAACCCAAGAAGAAGACGAGGAGTGAGTCAGCGGACAACAGAGGTGACAAGAGCAAGAAGCAAATCCGCTGCAAGTTCCATTTCACAGATGCAGGGTGTCGAAATGGTGATAAGTGTCCATTCAGTCACTCGAAGAAGACTCCAGAGCGACCCTTCACGCCGAGGACGAGAACTCCAAGTCCATCTGGAGGAGGAGGAAACAGGATATGCTACTCGTTCAAGAACACAGGCTCGTGCTCAAGAGAGAATTGTCCTTTCAAGCATGAGGCAGCAGCTACCCCAGCTCCGGAACCAAAGGCAAAAGCTAAAGCTAAATCCGAAGCGAAGGCAGCTCCAGCGAAGCCGAATGCCAAGGCCAAGGCACTTCCAGCAGCACCCGCCATCAGATTGTGTCGAAGGTGGAATCCATCAGCTCCGGCTATATGGAAGCGATCTTCAAAGCAAGATGAGGAGGAGTCAGATTGTCCATCCGTTGACAGCGACGCTGATTCGGATTGTTCAACAGACGACGAATCCTCGGGAACGACTACGTCGACCCGAAAAGTGACAAAGCGCAATGTGACATTTGCCAATGACGTGAAGTTCATTTCTTCGTGTCCGAGACGATCGAAGAAAGACAAAGAGCGGAAGGTGAAGTACGTCGACATGGAAGCGTTTGTCAATGATGAGGATCGCGCTGTGAGCTTGGAGTTCGCCAAGCACAAAGCGAGATTGAGGGCACAGATCATGAGAGACATGGTTGACGATGATGATGATCAATGCGGAGATCGAGTTTCATTCGTACGAATCCCAGGAACGTCTCG